TGTTTGTTGTCCCCGAAACGTGCAGGATCGCATCCACACTGTCCTTTGGCCCCTCAGACACGCTTTTCTTTCTGTACACATGTGCAACATGTGGCCCGGCTGTAAAAAACTGCTCTGTTGCAAGATTACAACTCAGCTATTTTTTTTTATCATCGTGCTCATGTGAGCAAACTCATGGGCACATTTTTGTAAACGTTAAAAAAATCTAACCTATACTGCATTTCACAGAGAAAAATATATATTATCTTTAAGGCCTTACTAAGAAATGTAATTAGCCTTCTGTGTTGATACTTTATCAATCGAAAGAATCAAAGTTCTTTAACCGAAAGAAGAGAAACAAAAATCAGCAGTTGCCTTCTGTTATGATTCAGATGACTTCCTTGTTTTTCTTATTCTCAAATATTATCTTGTGATATCTATATACCTGTTAAATTCTAAGAAAAAATTTGCATTTGAACTAAATAGCGTGTCAGCATGCAAAGTCATTCTTTGAGCTCTGAACCAAAACCTGAAACAATGGCCAGTCCAGTTGTTCCTTTCTTGCACTTGTATCCAGCACATTAGTTAATTCAGCTGAGTAAATGCAGTTTGGTCATTAAGGTTATGGTTAATTAAATGTTGCCCACTTTGCATCGTAGCACGGCATAGTGTGCTAAGAGTTTGGTTTCCTCTACCTCCTTGGAAAGGATGAGTCATTCAAACACTGTTTCTTTTTTTGAATATGTAAATTCTAGTTTGACGGCAGCCGACAGAAACGCCTGGGATGGTTGGGTGAGTTTTAGTTTTAGGCCTGCTCGGCCTATTTCTGGACTCAACCAGAAGCTTTTCCCTCTGCTTTTCCTCATCCGACGCCCTCCCCCCCACCCCCTTATCCCTCTGTGAAGTGTGAAGTTTGAAGCAGCAGGCTCTGCGCTGTGATAGCAGTAATTGGTCCAAAGATGGAAAGTTCACTCTCACTTTGTCACTGAACTAAGAAGCAATTTGTTTCCAGTGAGTCCTTAAACAAAGGATAGTTAAGAACAATATAACATCAAAGTGGCATTTAACAGCAATGAAAAGAGGGGGGGGGGTGGGTGTGGGTGATGGAGACTGGCACTTTTTGTTTGGATGTGAATAGCAGCACTGGGTCCTGCGCCGGGTGGCTGAGAACGGCTCCCCTCTTTGGTACCCCCTCGTCTGTGGAGGCGAGCTTTGCACTCAGACTTCTCTTTATTAGCCTCAGTGGTCTGATTTGTTTAAAGTTTGGCTTGGCTCGTATTTTATCCTCGTGCGAGTGCCAGGGTTTGGTGAAAAGAGACCGCGTAAAGTAAGACTAAGCGGAGTCACCCAGAGTACACATCTACAGTTTCACACAGTGGGCTCTTATGCTTTCTTGATTGTGCTGGCTGCTAAACACAATTGTTCTCTCTCACAGACATATGGAGAGAAAAGTCCTATCACCGAGCAGAAAATTATCAAGCTTGTTAAAGAAGACAAAAACAAGTAAGAAGATTTCAGCAGAAAATGTTGCCATATGAAAATTGAGTCGTTTTTAAAGACGAAGGGGGAGAAAGGCGGACTGTTTAGGAAGGCCTGTATTTAAGCCACTGAGTTTGTTTGACGCTTCCCTCCAAAAGGTGATGTGAAAATGCAGAACCTTATATCATGGCTCTATATCTGGGTTTCAGATCAGACGGAAAAGTTTCCAAAGTTTCAACTGGCATTTCCACTTTGACACATCACAGTCCAGTGGCTGTGTGAACGAGGCTGAAAGTGTGTGGTGATGACCGAGCCGCTTTCAAGGCAGGCTCGAGGTGATCCGATCATCAAGTTGGCATTCATTCATTTAAAAAAACGGATCTGATCAGCTTCAAAGGTTGAGACTTGTAGATCCAGTGGACAGTTCATCAGCTAAAGCAAAAATAATCTGATTCAACTCATTTTTCAGGTTGTAGTTGCATGTTGTGCTGCAAAAGATCCCATATTTCCAAACCAAAAGGATGATTAAGTAAATTATTAAGTTTGAGCTCTATTTAGCTTGAGTTAATTTCCAATCTCGAAGCTGGACCTAATCAGATTTGATGAGGGATTGGAACGGATTGAGATTTAAGAGGATTCTAATTCAATAAAATGTTATTTAGCCTTTCGGGCCAGTATTTGCTTTTGATTGACTAAAGCCAGTGTGCAGACTGCCTTTAATGGCTTTTTTTCTTGCAACTCATCAAATAAACATTTTTCTCAGTTTCTTTTTTTTCTATATCGATAGAGAAACTTAAGTTGTTTGCAGTACCCAAAACTTGACCCGGATTGCATCCAAATGACATTTGGTTGTGTTTGGTTGTGTTCTGACTGGCATAAGCCTGGCATGAAAGCTGGATTGGGGGACTTTTACATAAAATATAACGTCACAAATGAAACTAGTTCACAGAATGCTGGTTAAGCCTAAAAGCGCCTGGTAAATCTCAGTATTTTACATTTATGTACATTAATATTACATATTACGTATATATGTACATTATTGGAATTTACAGCCTAATTCAGCTTTGCAATGAGAAAATCAGCAGGCACACACACACATTCCTGGTGAGATGATGCTGTCACATGAATTTAGATGCGGCTGTTAACATTCCCTCCCTTTTTTTTTACATGCAGAGCTGCATTAAGATTCTAACCTGGCCCATATTATATGATTAGCACTGTGATCCATGGCTCTTTTTATTAATCAGGTTTCTTTTTTGCTGTAAGAATGTCTTAATTGGATTAATTTGTAAAGAATCTCATTTGTAACTGTAGGTTCTTTTAAATCCTGAATGGCCTCTTTTTTTCCCCCTGACAAAATAGTTTCTCAGTGTTCGAATAGTCTCTAGCAAATCCAGAGCATAAAAGACAGTTAACAATGTCTCACACAAACCTCGGCTAAAGGTGGCAGATGATGGCACGTGTGTCGTTTTGGTCACTTTGTCTAATCAGGACTGATAGTGTGGTACAGCACTTTTCATTCACTAGTGCTTACAAAGATCTCAAATAATCTGTTTCAAGTTTCAAGCCAGTGCAAAGTGAAATTCGGGGACGCAGAGTAGCCCCACTAAGCAATGATTTATAAGTGGTGTGTTATGCTGCATCTTGTGGGTTAGAATTGCAGAAATGCTGCAGAGATAAGTTCTCAGCATTAGATAGCTGCTGCTTTCCGCCGCTCCTAGAGTTCAGGCTGATGAAGTTAACTGCCTAAGTATTTGCAATAAAACCTGGACTCTGGATGCGTCCTTCATGGTATCTTTAAGTTGTGCTTACAAGCAGATGTTTATTGGTCTTTTAAAGCATGCCAGCAAAAAACAAGTGAAAAAAACATTCAGTTGGAGGGTTTATTCAGCTCACTGGTGACGAGTAATTAAGGAGTGTGCAGAGATGAGGAGACGTGTCTCAGAGAAGAGCAGATTGTAAAAAAGGCCTTGGCGACTGAGAGCTTAACATTTCTCAATTGATTCTGAATCTTAAGCTCATTCACACTGCTTTTATATTCAAGGCTTTGCGCCAGTATGAGCAGCACTGCATGCCGTTAACTTAATTTTACTCCCTCTGGTTTTCATGGCCGTGTCAAAGTGAGCACAAAGAGCAGTAATGATCACACTGAAGGCTCTCTTATCCTTACTGGTGCATGCCCCTGAACGTAACTCCCTAAATAAAAATAAAAAAAATAAAAAAAGAAGTGAGTTTGTCACTGCTAGGCTATAAATTCTCCCCACTTAAGCAGCCATTCTCGGGCTCTATTTTTCTCCCCTTTCAATTAATAGGAAACACATCAGCTGAAGGAGAGTCTTTGTTGGTTTGTGAGAGTCCATACATCACCTAAACTAGAGCACTCGCCCCCTCCTCTCCCTCCTGCCTCCTAACACACACACGCACACACACACACACCCACACTCCCCGACAGTCCCCATCTGCTCCCAATCATGGGTGCAGCCAGCGGTCAGGCACGTGCTAACATACTCGCACACATAAACATACACAGCGCTGGCATGGAATGAGCCAGGCAGGCACGCTCTCACACACTCAAAGTGAACTCGGAGATTTGGTTTTAAAGGTTCTCCCTCTTCCAGCGTGGTCTTAGCATGCGTTCAGTCGCACACACACACACACACACACACACAGCGTGGCACAGTAGCAGATGAACATTAGACATCCTGGTGGTGTGCTTTACTGATGACAGGGTGTCATGGAAACGCCCAGTGTTCTCCATGGTTACGCACTGTTTACCCCTACGGGATTGCTCAGAAAAGAGACATCAGCTACTACAGCATCTCAGCCTGGCCAAAAACATACTCTCTCTCTCTCACACACACGCACACGCACACACACACACACACACATACACAGGTTTCTTATCAGGATCTAAATGGACTCAAATTAGCCCATTATGTGCGATTGGGATTAGCACTGAGATTTAGCCTAATAGTCTGCTTTTGCCCTCGTACTCCAAGTCGGTGAAGCATGGGAGATATTTTCCAATTAAGTCTTGACGTTTCAATCCACTTGTATGGATTCTGAGCTCGTTTAGAGGAAAGATGTGGAAGCACTTTGTTGCTTTTATGTAGGTAGTGGTTGAGTGGCTGAATTCAGGATTACATGATGTCGCCACTTTCAGGTTTCAACCGTTTGGCTTCCTGTAAAACTTGTGTCTCAACATCCCTCTTGGTGTGTCCGTGTGTGAGGGAGTGTGTGTGTGCACGTGTGCGGCTGTGGGAGCGGTCTGTGTGTCGATGCAAATGCACAGGAGCCATGATGTCTGTGTTCTGTGCATGGCACCCATAATGAAGACAAAAGCCCACAGCGAGGCTCGTTCACAGTTCCTTCTCCTCATTAAGGTGCTGACGCCTCTTCCTGTGTGCATTTTCAGGCTGCTGATTAATAATGCTGCTTGTTATTTAGTAGTATGAGCTCTAATGAACATGCAGTGTGTGAGTGGTAAACTTTCTAGGTGCTTGTGTAATTTTTTTCCCCCTCTTTCTTTCTCTCGAATCTTCAGACTTCATTGACCTGACCACAAAGGACCACACCCCCAGAGCGAGGGGCGGGCGGCATCTGATCATCCGTCATCTTGGCGCCGTCACAAGGTGGGCTAAGACCCGGTATGGTTGGCATGGTAACGGCCTGCTGGTTTCAGGTTGAGCAGTTTGTCAGAGTCAGTTTCTTGTTGTTGCCACACTCTTGCAACATCCCCCAGACCTTAGCCCAGAAATGCAGAAAAAACTGAGGGTTTTCCGAGACAAATGTTTCGTGGAGGTGTACTTTTTTTTGGGGTGCGCCTTGGGGTTTTTGGACCCCGAAAAGTAGAATAGTTTCTGGAAAGGGCAGTCAGTGGGCACAAGTGAAACAAAGACAGTTGAGTGTTCTCAGGCAGTTGAGAAAATGAGGAGCAGCAAGACAGCAAAGAGACAGGAGGAGAAATCAAATTATTCTTCGTGCTCTACCTGCCACACAGGCTGAGAGAGAGCATTAATCTTTCTCCCCATTTGCAGGTGACAACGACTCGCACACGCACACACACTCGCACGGCGTCTGTGGCCAGACACAAGCAAACCCCGCTTTCTCTTTCGTTCACGTGTGTTCACACGCAGGTGGCTGTGCAGCCCCACTGCCAGAGCAGGAGAGAGAGCCCGGCGGAGGTTCTGCTCAGAAAAGCAGAGAGGAGAGGACTTGGCTAACTTGTTTACGGCATTGTAGACAATGTTCATAAAAGCAGGAGAAATATTTGGGAGCGGATTTTAAACCATCAGGCGAAAGTAAAGAAAATGATTCATGTCTCCGCAGGTGGCTGGCAGTTTGAGGGCTTCAGGGGTTTTTGGAAATGCGTGATACACTCCCAGTTTAATCAACAGTGCCAAAAAAATGTCAAACGATTGGAATCGGAGTTTCCTTATGTTTTGTCCAAAAACAGTTCAGGAGATCCCCTAGTATTCTTTTTTTTATTTTCTATTTTTAAGGATTCAAGTTGGCCACTCTCAATGGCGTGTTTGATTCCTCTCCGCGTGTAGCCTTTGAGGGTTTACATGGCCAAACCAGGGCTGTGTGTCGCTGTTTTGTCAACAGAGATTATGAAAGAGCGGCAGGCGAGTAGGCAGGGCAGGAGGGGGGCGGGTGGTGGCGGTGCAGCTATTTGCATCTCCTGGCCTGAGCACGCCTGCCTCTCTAACTCTTGTCACCTTCGCTCTTCCCCCTCCTTCCTCTTCCTCCTCCTTTTTGTCAGCAGCACTCGGCAACCTGCTCCGATCCGACCAGCCTTAGCAGCCTCGTTGAAAAGAGATGTGGTGAAACACGCAGAGTTGGGGCCACATCTCTGTCATTTAAGCAGAGAGTGGTCTGTCCACACTGTTTTATGCCTATTTTTGCTGTCTAATGTGCAAAAATGCTGAGGCTTAACCTTAACTGGTCCCCGAAGATTTAAATTTGAATTTAGTCTCTCAAATCCAAATAAGTCATTCTTTCTGTATGTAGAAGCAAATTCTCAACAGATCAGGGCATCTTTTTTTTCTGTTCGCTTGTCGTCCGTCCTCTGTAAGTCTTGCCTACATTTTCTTGTTTGCTGCATTGTTTTTCCCTTCTGCTGTGACTCACTCTGCTGTGGGAGTTCTTTCCGCTCCCACTTTGTTTTCTTGATTTTTTTTTTTTTTTGGCAGTCTCCCCAAACCTCTGTTTTCTTTTTTTTGCCGCCATTTATCATCACCACAATTCCAGAATTAGACTGAGTGAATATTCAATAAATATCCCAAGCTCCAAGCCACAAAGACTAAAAGAGCTTCTGAAAGTGGGACTTCAGATAAATTATGTTAACAGTTTCTGCACAAACCCTGGAAAACGAAGCAGAGGGCCAATTAAGTGTTCAGATTTTGGAATGCAAATATAATCTGATTGGCATCCATGAAATGATCGGTTAATATTTAATCATTCCACTCTAAGCTCTGCGGAAATTTTATAAGTTGTTGTTAGGAACTTTTGCAGAGTTCATTTACTGGTGGTGTGCCTATAAGATTTTTAGATGATGCTACAGGGCTGTTTTTTCTTTAGAATGAGGCGTTATTATACCACACACTGATCTGTAGAAACTTCCCCCTTCCACAAAAGATGTTGAAAAAGGGCAAAACCTCATAATTCAGACACAAAGTCTAGATAAACAATCACTTACATGATAAATAAAGAGCACCATTGTTCTGTTCAAAGGTTTTAAATAATAGGACATGATAAAATCGCCTGGTCCTTCCCAGGTGTTGAAGTGAGGTCAGTGCTTTCTCAGATAAATTACAACTCTCAAAAGCTAAGAAGCAGTTGTTGCTACCCATAAATTTGGATAGAGTTATGAGGTAATGTATGATTAATTTAGAATCCACAATGGATTAGATCATTCACAAGTTAAACATTTCAAACCAACTGACAATCGGGAATCAACAGGAATGGTGTGAAATTTAAACTTTAGGTCTGCTCTTAGTTTGAAGGGATTGGGATGTTTTAATTAGATCTCTTCCGAGTCAGTTTTGCCGTTTCACATCTTGGTTCCTGTGTTCGCTTTGACAGGATTCCCAGTTTACGAGGTTAACTGTATCCTGTAAACTCTGTTGTTGTGCTTGGCTCCAGGTCACTAACAGGTTAGCGTCCTGTGTCAGAACTCAGGGGATTAGGCTCACCTCCAGCGATGACACGGCGGCGTTGACCCAAGCCAAACCTCCTGTCGCACCTGTCTAATGATCCAGAAAATATGTGGGTCAGCGTAAAGGTTGTGACCCCGTAAAACCACCCGGGTCAAGATCAGGGTTGAGAGCCAGGTCACACTTGGTGGCAGTCCCACGGTAGATGTTCTCATCTTTCTGAGATTTAAAATGAATATTTTTTTGCACGCAATTTTCTGTAGTTGTCTGTAGTTTTTTTTTTTTCCTTGTAAAAGTTCTTCAAGCATGTCATCTCATGCTCTTTGTGCATGGATAGATTCTCTGAAGGACTTGCTGCGTGTTACTTGGGTCACCAGCCACACCCAAACAGATTCATCATGCCGATGCTGGACGCTCCTTGGAGGCAAAGGGGGGGGGGGTTCTGAGCCAGTTTGGCTATCTGACAGATTGAAATTAGATCTTCCGTTGCCTGAACTCCTGTGCCATGCTTGGCATGTCATAGCACCAAACAAGAAGCTGTTTTAGATCAGCCAGAAGACTGATTTTTAATGACTGACATGGGGCAGCTCCACCCCTCCACTCTCTTAATGTTTATGTGTGCCTGATAAGGGGGTGGCAGGTATTTTCAGCAGTAAACCTGGTCACTGCAGGGATCCTTGCTTATTCTTTAATCTTGCCGTACCTGATTCCGTCTGCTTTCAGTTTGGAATATCTATCAGCCCATGTGCAAGAAAAGCAGCGCGCTGTTTTTTTTTTTTCTTTTTCCCCCTCCACACACATACACACACACAACGCCATGCTGTCTATTGTAAATTTCCTTCTTCGTGCCCATTTCTCTTTTTCCTGCTGCCCTCAATTCTGCCATAACCCTCTGCCATTTCCCCCAGTGTGCATCTCATTCCCACTGCCCCCTGCTGCTGTATTGTACCCAGCACAGCCGCGCTGCCTCTCTGCCACCAGGCCCCACTGCCTGTAGCGTGTAATTGACTTTCTCCCCGTGCTGGAAAAGCGGACGGCCCGCGCCAGGCTGGAGGTGACCCATTTCCCTGGGGCATTCAGCAGCCTCCTAATCAACCATTCTCTGGGGCCGCCTCATTCACTCTGCAATTAGAGCAGCTCCCCCTTTGAGAGAACTCCATCAATAGGCAGGCAGGCGGGCGGGCGGGCTTGCTTGATCGGTGTAGGAGCAAAGACGGAGTTTCACTCAAAACACTTTGCCTTGGCACTTGGAGCTCTGAATCCTCCGACTTTGTACGTCCCCCTTGCCGTTTTTCTGCCGCCTCGACTCCCTTGTGGTCATCAGACAGTGCCGTGCGGGGGTTTTGTCTAATGAGGAGCAACAGACATGGAGGCAGGTAGACGGGTACGCAGGGAGGCAAACCGGGGGAAAGACAAGACGAGATCCAGGTAGACAGACAAAGGCTGGCAGAACGTCTGATAGGAAGGGACTGCAGGGATAGATTAAAGGAAAAATCAGAAGGCAACTCAACGAGGGAGGGATTGAGCAACACTGTCAGGGTATCTCATGCTTTTAGAGGAAGATTCATCAGTATCCGCTGTTGTTGTGCAAGAGAATGCACTGTTTTTGGCTTCTTTTAAAAACATGCGTGGAAGTGGCCCTCGTGTTGATTTAGGCTCAACAAGAAGGCGTGCTCATCTCTAGTACGACCTAACGGCTATCAAACACTGAAGAAATCTCCTCTTCCAACACAAACAAGAAAACCCAAACACAATTAGATGGTTTCTCGGACGGCTTTGATCCCACACAAAGGAGCTTGAGATGATGGCGGACGATGATTAAATAACAGGCTGGCATCTCTCTCTTGCCGCTGGCCTGATTTGCTATGCAGGAGAGGCAGTGCTCTGGTCAGAGGATAACCATGTAATCAATGGGATGAAAAAGCTGCTCTGGCTGTGAAGGTTAAGAGGGGTAGTGAAGCTTTCAGCCCACTCTGTGCACCCCACGTGCATTCAAAACACACTCCAAACAGTCCACCTCCTCCTTTAATTCCTCCTCCTTTTACCTGTTCCCCATCCCTCCTGTCTTTCTTTGACATTCCTTTATCTTTTTCCCTCAGCTCGCTCCCTCCCACTGCCTCCGCCTCTTTCCGCTCTGATTACCCCTCCTCTCTTTTTTTCTCCCTCCGCATTTTCTCCCTGTATTCACTGTCTCCCGCTATATTTGTGCTTTTTTTTTTTCCCCTTCATGTACTTTACTTCCTTTTTTCCCTCCCTCCAACCTATCCCCAGTGTCAGCCGCTGTCACTGTGACAAAGAAAGTGACCAATCAGCGTTTGCTTCACGGCACAGGCTTCTCCCTCCATCACTTATTCCTCCATTCCATCCCACCCATTCCCTTCTCTGTCCTCTTCCTCTTCATTTGCCTCTCTTCCCCTCTACCTTTATCAGCTCACTTCCTGGAGACAATATGTGATGCATTATGGGAGACAGACGGCTGTCTAACGGGGTTAGTTGTGCGCTGTGGCTTATCATCAGAGACACTGCTAATCCGGTGTGTGTGTCTGTAGACGTGTCGTATGAGCTGATGAACTCATGCATGCACGCAAACAAACACAGCCCCACATGCTTACTCTCATATTCTCCACACAGGAGGAGGTGGTGGCGGAGAAGGCCAACCAGACATGTTTATGTTCGTCAGTTTCTGTCAGGAGAATACAATTTGCATGTTATAAGCATATTTCATCCTGCTGTGTGCTGCTTTGCAGCCTGCATCTGTTTTACCTTTTTTTATGCTGGGTACAAGAGGATGAACGTCTTCTTTCCCTTCACAATTACCTGTATAATACCAACTAAAAGCCTAAAAGTTACTACGTAATCCCTTTCTGTGCCTGTCCTATTTACACTCGTCTGTGTGTGTATGTGTTGGTGTGTGTGTGTGTGCTTCTTGCCCTCAGGTGCTGATATGTGTACACCATGAGCGGACTGGGGGAGAACTCCATGGAGCCTCTGAGCTCAGAAAACCGGAAACGCAAGCTCTCCACTTGTGACCTACCTGGTCAGGGGTGAGTGTGTGAGATCAGCACACGGGAGGTGAAAGGCTGTGGGCTACACTGTGGGTCAGTGGGCTACTGGGTCAGCGAAGCCAAGCAGCGATTACTGTGATCAGCAATGACTAAACTGAGGCCTAAACTGATCGTTTTGTCCTACATCTCCTTTTCCTGTTTACAAACCTTCAGTGTGTGCGAAAGTCTTAATTCACACCTAATTTTTAAAAAAAAATGTATCACTAAGGACACCGACTTTTTTAAATAACTTTTTAATGTGGATTAGGGTAGAATTCGTTCTAGGTTTTTTAATGTCTTTCAAAAATGGACAAGAGATGGACAAAAGAAAAAACTGCAGACAAAAAAACAAAACAACAATGTACTGGGATGTCCAAAAGAAAGCAAAAAATGCAGAAAAGACCTGACACAAAACCTGAGATTTTATTCTTAACTTTCAGATGATCCATCCACTGTTCCCTAAAGCTTAAATGGTCTCTGTGGAAGTCTGGTTGTGAATAAAAAATTCATTAGGAAAAAACAGGAAAGGCTGATCCATACCAAATGACAAATCAGTAGCAACAGGTCCTGCAAAGATATTATTCCTTTCCTGAGCCTTCCAGATCTCTACATTATTGTGGTAGAGTTTAATCCTTTTGACAGAGAACGGAACAAAGGGCACCCAACATCCAAAGAAGAGCTTTGAAATACCCTTCATGAAATGTGGAGAACTACTCCTGAAGACAACTTGAGGAAGTGAAAAAAGCTTGTCTGACAGGGCTCAGGTTGCAGTTTAAAGGTGGTGTTCAAATATTGACTGTGCAAACTGCCTGATAAACATATATCACTATATATCTACAACTAAATATCATATTTATTTGATACTATATAAAAAAATAAGGCTTTTGCAATGCACTCAGAAAAAAAGACGTAGTATAACATTAAAGATGACTGCCAATCTAAGCTGTGTAGAGAGTTCTGCAAACTTTTCAAAAGTGTCATCTTCCACCATTGGCAAAGACTCAATATGGCCATTGTTCTCAACCACAACAGACACATCACTGACTTTTCTACTGAGAGTTTTTGACAAATCCCAACAAACAATGTGCTTTGCATCATACATACTTTGGGCGCCAATGCTGTGAATAGTTCATTGACCAAAAAACGACACTCCTTTTGGAAAGTTTTAGACAAGAATAGTGTTTTAATGATGCTTTGTGTGTATTCTTTGGATGAAAACGGAATGGAGCGCTATGAAAACTGTTCAAATGAACATCAAAAAGAAACCCGATGCTTTGGGTGTCCTGAAAACTTTTGCCTCCCCAATCTCCCCCTCAGACCCCTCACCCACTCAGGTGGAAATAAAGATGTGTGTTTTGGTAACCAGGGTTTTTTTGGCTTGTACCAACCAGGCACCAGTGTGGCTCTCAGACATGAAAATTAAAAACAAAACAAAAAAAGTGCCGACAGTCTGAGAAAAGAGGAGCCGTGTTTGGTTTAGTTTAGTCTGACCTTTGTACATTTTCCCTGCAGGTGTGAGAGGAAGAGACGGGAGCAGGAGAGCAAATACATCGAGGAGCTGGCGGAGCTGATCTCCGCCAACCTCAGCGACATCGACAGCTTCAACGTCAAACCAGACAAATGTGCCATCCTCAAAGAGACGGTGCGCCAGATCCGTCAGATCAAGGAGCAGGGTGAGGGGACACAGTTGTCTGAAATGGTGAAGGCTGCTGATGGCTTACAGCCGCGAGTTCTCACACACGCACGCACACACACACACAGCCACCGGCCTAGTCAGGGCCCAGGTGCAAGGGCAAATCAGTCGGTTATCTACCACAAATTTCGCAGCTCTAACCGTCTACGCTGAAACATCAGTAGTACTTTGCGAGGCTATCATTCCTGCGTATGTGTGCGACTGTCAGCGCGAGTGTAGTACAACCACGCACAGCTGTGCGCAGGGCCTCCCCCCTCCCTCACCCTTTGGACTTCCTCTGTGGACATTTTCTGGTAGTGATGTCCTCCCCCCCCCCCTCCCCTTGTTCTACCGAGCTGCGCTGCCCTACTGCATGATTACATCTGCTGTATTCACAGCTCTGTCAGTTATGTTTTGGTCATTTTTGCAGCCGATACGTGAAGAAGCTGAGCTGCAGACGGACACAATTGCACCGTTGGGGAAAATTGTGACTTTTTAAGATTCTTTTTGAGTCCTCCTGTATTGAGACACAGGGTGGGAAAAGACTCTGGGTGGAGGGGAGAAAGCCCCGGGTGAAGCTGGTTCTTTCTCGTCTCTGCTCGGCTCAGTCAGCGTCTGCCACCTCAACAGGAAGGGGAAGAGACTACAGCTGGCCCAGACTGGCTGCTGACAGGTTGCCATAGTTACAGGAAGTGAAGACAGAAATGACACAGGCGCTTAGACTTCTCGCTAGCACTCTACCTGTTCCTCTTCTCACTTTCAACTGCTGTGTTTTTATTTTGTTTCTTCCTCCATCAATCTAATGCAATTTTTCATCCCACTTGGATGGGAGCTCTTCTGCTCTCCCCCCTCGGCTGCTTTCTGCTGCCATCTGCCACACAAATTTGCTCCTAAAATCTTATTCAACAGTTTGAATATATGGTGGAGTGCAGCCCTGCTTTGCCACCTCTGTGTCTAGGTCCTTACCTTTCATTTTCTGTCCTTACCTGAGTCTGCAGTGTCTAACTGGGTGAAGGAATGGCTTCAAAAATATTTTAAAAACTGTGTGAGCATCTCTGTGCCTGGTAGGAGTTAATCGGATGAGATCAGAATGTTTCCTGGACCCGAACAGCTCCCACCTCATTTTCAGACCAAACCCTGCATAAATGCAACATCCCAACCATAATTCTCCTTAGTGCGATTTCTATCCACATTCCACCCTACTGTCTCTCCTCCTTTCTCTCTGGATGCCTTTCTCTCTCCCGGTCACAGCCCCTCCATTAATTCAGGTGCCTCAGCTCCTGCCCCTGCACCATTACTGCTTCCAGAGCTTTTCCAGCTCCCTCCTGCTCCCTCTCTCTCAGCCTCAGCCTACCAGATAGTTCCTCGTAGCCTAACACTGAATATAAAGCGTGAGGATGGCAGCTATCTGCTCCACATGCACCCAGCCCTCTGCTGCTCCTGATGGGCTCTTCGCGGAAAAATATTTTTTCCTTACCTGTAGTTTTTTTTACACCCCCCTTCTCCACTCTCACCCCAAACTTTATAAGAAATGCTTCGACTGAGAGAGGCTGCCCCCTGCTGGTGAAGGTACTGCAGTGAGTGAGATTCAGGATCTTCTTTTTTACGGGTATCGTGGCTCTCACCTGGTGTCTCTCCTTTGCTCTTTTTATTCTTTTTCTTTGAAGAGTTTGCTTTTGTGTTTGTTTTTTATTCAGCTCTCCATTTTTTCCTCCCCTTACAGGTAAAGCTTCATCCAACGATGATGATGTTCAGAAGTCAGACGTGTCCTCAACCGGTCAGGGGGTCATTGACAAGGATCACCTAGGGCCTCTCCTGCTACAGGTGAGTACAGCCCCACCCCCGTCCTGACAAATGGGACATTTAACTCTATGATTCCACTTTGGATGACTTTCTGCTGCTGTGCTGCCAGGCGCTGGACGGCTTCCTGTTCGTGGTGAACCGGGAGGGCAGCATCGTGTTCGTGTCCGACAACGTGACCCAGTACCTGCAGTACAAACAGGAGGAGCTCATCAACACCAGCGCGTACAACATTCTTCATGAGGACGACAGGGAGGAGTTCCATAAGAACCTACCCAAAACCAACAGTGAGAACCACACACGCGCGCACTCTGCCTGCCTTCACTGACAGATTGCGCGTCGGCTCAGAGGTGAAGCGCGCCCGTCGCCCTCCGCAGAGCCGAGGCGTGAAACAAACTTTGAGAGGTTGCAGCAACTCGCGCACGTCAACGTAAACTCGCTCATTTATTTATTCATGCTCCTTAGCTCTCCACTCCATCTCCTCCTCTAATGAGGAGCTCATGGGAACCCCGCTCATGTGTATGAGAGCTGTTCAGGAACACACACACACACACACACACATGCCTGACGAAACACACGTGTGCTCAGGAGCACCCACCCACTTGGTGCTGAGCAGGCAGAGCGTAGCACAGCTGTCAGTCACACTCAGTGGTCCAGACAGTGTAAAACAGGCCCGGGCTCCCATGGCAGCCATCTGGAAACTACGGACTGTTGAATAATGCAACCTCCACACTTTCCTCCACTTAATTCGGCTTGTTTCCATTTGATATGTACTTGAGTTACAGTACTTGAATAGAAGTACCGATTCACCGACTTGGCTGCTTACCGTGCGAATTGCCACGCTTATGATCCGACTGCAGTTTTAAGGTGCTCTGTTTGGTCTGAAACCCAAATGTTTGTGCACGGTACACTATTTATGAAGCCGGTTAATTATGGATGCGGGTGCTCGACTGAACCTGCCGCACGATCAACTCTGCTGTAATGCTCGCAAGCAGCGGTGGCTCCGACAAGTCACCAACACGTTGTTTCACTTATTCAGGCACCTCTGTGGCACACTCAGCCATTAATTCATTCTCTTTTTATCCACCGTCTTCACCTTCTTTTTGCTTTTCCTCCGCATCCTTCTCACCTCTCGCAACTCACTCCTTCTCGGCTTCATTCATACTTAATATGGCTGCCTAGTAAGATGCATATTGTGCTTGTCTGTTCTTCAACCTGCTTCTGTCGCCGCTCTCTCAGCCCTCATTGTGTCTCGCTCTGCTGCTCTGCCCCTTCATTATCTTTCGGGCCTGTGAATGAAATGCGCTCCCTCTGCACATTCCTGTGGGATGACCGCTGACCATGCCAGCTATGGTTAGATAGACACACACACACAAGTTAGACGCCCACATATTCCAACAAAGGCATACATGGCACAGACAGAAAGAGGTGTAGCTGTTAGCTTGTGTGTTTTTGACCCCTCTGTGTTGCCTCGCTGTCGAGGGGAGATTTTGGCTCTGCCAACTGTGATACTGTTCACTTTTTTTTCCTGTGGACTAGAGAAAGCCAAGGCCTTGCTAAATCACCTCTCACTATCACACAGACCTCCCCCCCTCATTTGTAGCATCCTATCCTCCTCCCACTTGACATGTTCAGCTCTCCTGGGCCCTCTCTCGTATCCTCCTTGCACCTGCCAGACAGAAACCTCTGGCCGGCTCAAGGCCCTGATAAGGCTTCACACAGAACCTTGGACAACATTTGTCTCTTTGAAGTTTCCTCCCTCTGTGAAGGTGACCCCATCTCAGTGTGTATGTTTGTGTGTGTGTGTGTCTGTGTGGGTGTGTGTGTGCTGTGATGGGGAGTCGGGGCCTAAATGAGGATAGATGGCCGTTTGTCCTCCGCCTGTGCCCATGGCATAGCAGGCCTAGAGCGAGAGATATTGGAAATCGACACCTGGCCTTCATTAATCCCATGGTTCAGTTAGCCAGGAATCCAAACAGCACGAGAGGCTTCTGCTTCTTAGTTTTAGAGAGACAATTCATGCTTCAGAGTGGTTTGTAGTGTTTGTGCCAGGACAGGGTGTGAGCGGTTTTGGATATTTGACTACAGGCAGTCCACTCAGAGCTGCACAATTGACGCTCTCCACTTTATTCGCTTTTTTTCCAGTAAATGGGGTGTCGTGGGGAAGCGAAGCAGTCCGACAGAAGAGTCACACCTTCACTTGCCGGATGCTGGTTAAATTTGGCCACGCCCATGGGCCAGTGGAGGAGGGGCCAGGAGGACCGCGCTACGAGACCATGCAGTGTTTTGCTCTCACTCAACCAAAGGCCATGATTGAGGAGGGAGAAGGTAGGTAGTGGGAAGGAGGGCTACTCCAAGGAACAAGTTAACTAAAAAAAAAAGGTTTTTGTTTTTTTAAACTTTGGTGTTTCAGATGCATGACTTCCAAAAGAAGAATATGAAAGAGATGGGCCTTACACCTTAGCTTCACCAGAGTTATATATTATTGTCAAAATGAATAAAGTTTGGGGAAAAATATTTAAATATAATAAATTTTAATTGTCTAGAAACTTCCCTGAGTTCAACATCTCCTGAATGGCACTGAACAGCACACCCCTCATGCCATCGTAGATGCTGGCTTTTCAGCTGTGCACTGATAACCAGCCTGACGGTGGTACTACCGCGTGGCAGAATCTGTGATGACCAGAGAGTACATTTTCCACCTCGGCTCAGTCCATCTTAAATGAGCTGGGCCTCACAGAGGGAAGCAGTGTCTTTGGATTGTGATAAACGATTCACACTCACATTGCAGCTTTGACCTGGACGAGGTGCTAAAGCAATTCCCAACACTTTGGTTCTTCATCCATCTCCTACAAACATCCATGTTATTAGGCTAAAAGGAGCTGTGTTACTTTACTCAGACATTGGAAATCTTTGGTTTAGATTATTTGCATGTGATTGCATTTGACTTATTTTCAGAGATGACTAAGTATTTTTTACCTTTTTTACCTATATATATATTTAGAAGAAGGCATTTTTGTATCACAAACCAAAAATATGGCTACACTGACTAATGAAATACTTTTAAGAGACTGCTATTCTTGAGCAGAAACACCTGGCTCTATCTATAATAGTTATAATTCTGTCATTTGAATCCAAAAACAGAAAGCATCAACACACATTGCTGGTTAATCATAACTGATGGTGCTCTCCTTTCCCCTGCAGACCTTCAGTCGTGTATGATATGTGTTGCCCGTCGAGTCACAGCCATGGAGAGAACGGAGAGTTTCAATACCCGACATGAGCTTTCGGGTAAGGCGCTGCATGCTTACAAAAGGCAGTCAATTTCAAACAGGCCCTTCTGATCATTCTTCATCGATCAATGAGTTGGACTCATCCGCCCTCCGTCTCCCTGTTTCCTCCCTTCCCTCGTCCTCCCCGACAGGTAAACTGATTCAGATCGACCCGAACTCCCTGCGCGCCTCAATGCGTCCGGGCTGGGAGGACTTGTTGAGGCGCTGCATTCAGATGTTCCTTCAGCACAGCGACGGGCAGCCCTGGTCGCACAAACGCCACTACCATGAGGGTAAGTCACACCTGGATGCTGGCGCAGCTGGAATCAGCAACTGTAGCGCCCTAAACTTAGTGGATTAATCTCTAAATCCACGGCGAAATATGTGGAGGCAAGAGCATGAGAACGCTGCAGCGCTTAATTAACTGTGCAGTCTGTTGTGTGTTCAGCATATATTATGGAGCTCTGTTTATAGCAATGAATGTTCACTTTCTGACTGAAGTTATTTGTCTTTGAGTTTGTGGTTGCTTTCTATCTTATCAGACATTTCCTCTGAATCTCAATGAGATCGGCTGTGTAAACACATAAGCGTAGCTCATACTTTAATATTGATCTCATGAATAAGAATGTCTGAGCGTTGCTACGCTGGCGCTCCTTGTGACTGCAGAGCCAGTTTCAACGTAGAGGAAGTGACTGATGACCTTTGTTGCCGGGTTTTGTGTTTCGGGGTGTTTACTTTAATCTCCCTGTGCAGCCTTTCTCCAGGGTCATGCCGAGACGCCCCTGTACCGCTTCTCTCTGTCTGACGGCACTCCGGTCACAGCCCAGACCAAGAGCAAACTGTACCGCCACCCCATGAGCAACGAACCGCAGGGCTTCATCTCCACGCACCTCCTGCAGAGGTCTGAAAATCAACATGCACACATTTCTTTTCAAACCGAATAAACAATTTCATGTACTGTGTTGATAGGGGTATGGGTGGGGTGGTGGGGGCCTGCCAGACAGCTATGGCATTCAAGACACATAAATAGCTTAAGAAGCTTTTATATGCCGACGCACTGTGAATAGGGAGAGGAAGACTCCACACAAGAGCTGGTATTTCTGTAGCACTTGTAGTACACCGAGCGTGCACAGTCTGGGAGCGATGAGTGTGGGAGACATGGTGCTTTCAAGGTTTAGCTGTTTGTGTTTTTGTTTTTTTTCCTCACAGACATTTTCCTTTCTTCTTTCCTCGCAGGGAGCCGAACGGTTTCCGCTCTGCGCCGGGTAGTGGCATGATGTCCGGCGCCATGCGACAACAGGGCATGGGTGGCGCTAACCCCAACGCCCAAATGAATGTGAACACCGGCGGGGGGATGGGAGGCATGGGGAACATGAACAGAGGTTTTGCCATGAATGAACAGGGCCACATGGGTCACATGGGAGGTGGCTCGATGTATGGCGGCAGCGCTGGAGGCGGCAGTGGAGGCGTGGGCAACCGCATAATGCCGATGAATCAGATGGGCCAGATGAATCAGGTGGGGCACATGAATCAGATGGGTCCAATGAATCACCCAGGCCAAGGCATGCAGCAGCACCCGCAGCAGCCCCCGTTTCAGAGCAGTGGTGGGTTTGGGCTCAGTGGCATTACCAGCCCGTCGGGAAGCCCCAGAATGAGTGGACCCCAGCAGGGACTCTTAATGTCACCCCGGAACCGGGGCAGCCCAAAGATGGGCAGCAACCAGTTCTCCCCTGGAGGTAAGACAATCAGCGGCTAATAGCCCAGTCACCCAACAACACAGTTTTATATGAATCCATTATAAATATGAACAGTATCATCAAGAGGTTTTTTTTTTCATCCCAGGTATACATTCACCTATGGGTGGTATCAGTAGTGGTGGAGGAAGTGGAGCGAGCACCTCGACCTTCTCCAGCAGCTCTCTTAATGCGCTACAAGCCATCAGTGAAGGAGTAGGGAGCTCCCTCTCCTCTACTCTGACCTCGCCCTCACCAGCTCACAAACCAGACAGCTCTCCAAGCATCCATTCCTCCTCCTCTTCCTCCCAACCTGCTCAGCAGGCCAAACCTGGTCCAGATGGCTCCAAAAGTCCAGCAGGAAGCTTAGGGTCTGGACCGGGTGACCATCACCACCCGGCGGCGCACCATCATCACCATCATCCGCACCCGCAAGCCGAAAGTTCTGGAGAACGGCCCGACAGCCAGGCAGCTACAGCGGCTAAAGAGTGTGGGGAAGCAGGCAACGAGGCGGGGGCGGCGGGCTCAGAGCCAGCGCGCAGGGTGCCGGACAGTAAGGGCCATAAGAAGTTGCTGCAGCTGTTAACCTCACCGACTGAGGAGCTGGGGATGGGTGGCAGTGGGCCAGCGGGGCCCTCTGCAGCCCCCCCGCCAAACAGCAGCAGTACCCCGGCAGGTTCAGACAGTAAGGACCCCATCGGAGGAATGACCAGCCCCTCCTCCACCGGGGTGTCCTCATCTTCTTCAGCCGGTGCCAGCTCGGGACAGGCAGCCGGTCAGGGCAGCGCGTCGGCATCCATCCCATCAGCCCACTATTCAGGCTCGTTGCAAGAGAAGCACAAGATCCTCCACAAGCTGCTTCAAAATGGCAACACTCCCGACGAAGTGGCTAAAATCACAGCCGAGGCGACAGGAAAGGTGTCACTTGCGGGGCAGGAGGGTGCAGAGGCGGGAGCGGGGGGCTCAGGGGCCGCATCGGGCCCTGGACTGATTACAGATCCCAAACAAGAGCAGCATAGCCCCAAGAAGGAAAAAACCCATGCCCTCCTCCATTACCTCCTCAACAAGGACGATTCCAAAGAGCCTGTGGATGTGAAGCCCAAGCGTGAAGAGTTAGAGGGGAAAGGACTTCCGGGGACCGCTGGCGGCCCTTCACCTGAGCATCCCGAGAACAAGATCAAGTCTGAGCCACCAGATGATGTAAGATTGTGTTTTAAGATATAACTGGATCGCTGCTATTAAATGAGTATTAACTTTGTTATAGACTGATGTCCTTTACAAACGGTCTTTGTTCTGGATAGATGTAAACCTTCCTAGACATTGACTTGAAGACTCAATCAGTGTTATTTTTCATGTTCAGTTACACAACTTGGAGTCTATCCTGGGAGAACTGAGGAGTTCAAGCTCTGACTTTTACCCTGATCAGTCTGGTGGAGGTGGGGCTAACGACACAGGAAACAAACCACAGGGTTACCTTGACGACACCCTGCAGGGTAAGTGGATAAAGGATTTTTTTTTTTTTTTTTAACTGAAGTGAAAGTTTCATGCGGGTTGGCTGTTTCGATTACATCCCAAGCAATGGTATCAAAACAAAATGTCAGCAAAACTGCTTCAGGCACCACCAAATGCCACCTCTCCAGGCTGCTTCACTCCTCCTGTAAATGGAAGTGTCCAACAAGCTCCCATCAGCTGTGGCTTTATGAAGCTGTGATGAAGTCTGCCCCTTTAAATGTTTTGTGCTCATCCACGGACAGAACAAGAGCAAAAATTACGACCTTAGATTCAAAGCCAAAAAAGTAGTTAACACCACGCTCTCTGACTTTTAATCACTCTCTCTGGAATAATAAATACAAAGATATGTAAGCAGATGCAACACTTGACGTTAAGAGCCATTTAAAAGTACATCATGACTCCATGGAGGTCTATTAAAAAATGCACTGTGTGCTCCTACGGTGTGAAAAAAGGAGGAAACAGAAGACCACAGTGGGAAGGCTGAAGAGGGGAGAGAATTTTGTAGCACAATTGAAGCTCCGGTATTGTAAATCTTATAACGGCGGCAAACAACCTCTCGCTGTGTGAAGATATAGTGGTGCGCTGATGTTCTCGCCAGTGTGTGCAGCCTCCCTCCCCTCCCTGTGTGCCTCGTATTTTCCTGCTCATAAGCGCTCTGTTGTCATAAGACAGTCTGACCTAGTGAAAACATACACACACACACACCTCTTTTGCAGAGAGCAGAGTTCTCTCCCTTTTTTCTCCACTGAGTAACAGACATTCTCCAGTTTGACTCCCTGAAATGGAGGGATGAAAACGTAGTCCAAACGCAATCCAAACATAAACATAAATTGGCCCCACAGTGGTTTCAAATGGGCATCTTTGAAAAAACACAAAGAAGAAGTACACTATAGAAGTTACCTCATTAAAAATCTTGGTTGATTTTTTTCCTTTCGATTTGTTCATCCTTTCTGAAACTGAACGATGAAGTCTTGTGATATTTTATCTGTTAGGGTCAGTTATTTCTTATTTCATTTACTTTTTTTTAGTGCAGAATACTTTTCATATGTTTTCATGAGTTTGTACCAAGGTCTTTTACAAGTATTTTAACATGCATTTGTGTTAGTTTGTTCAGGGAGTCCAGCATTGGGCCCAGGACATCGAGGCCCCTTCCAGAGGGCCATGTCCATAGAAGGGAAGCCTCCTGGCGGGCCTGGGGCAGCAGGTAGACGTCCCATGCTTATCAAGCAGGAGAACATGATGGGCAGCCCAGACGGCTACGCAGGAAACATGGGTGTGTTTTTAGCACAAATTCTTCTTATCACGTTTCCTTCTGTCTGTCTCCATCCCCTCAATTGTTTTTACGGTTTGCGTTCACCAATTACAGCTCTTGACTCTGTCTATGGTAAACCATCCCTTACACAGCAATTGTAGGTGTGGTGCAGGACTCAGACAGACACTAACTCCCCTGTAGCACTTTCATGATTCTGACATTATCTGGTGTCTATGCTTCTTCAGGTCCAATGAATAGAGGTACAGTTCCCCAGAGGTCGCCTATGGGCGGTTCAGCTGATTGGGTCATGCCCCGCTCCAGTGGCAGCCCCATGGCGTCGGGAGGACACCCATCCATGCTGCGTCCAGGGATGGAGTACAACAATGGCAAGAGCATGATGTCAGGGCCCATGGTCAGCCGCTCCAACAGCATGCCGGGCCCCAGGTCCATGCTGCAGCAACAGCTCATGGATATGGGTACGTGTGCCACACGTCTGCCTGATTTTGAAGGTATTTGCGAATTCTTGCAAACCCCTGAACGCCAGTGAGCATAAAAAGACTGCGAAAGCAGAGCGATTGCTAGGTTGATAGCCAATGTGGGCCCAGGAGAAATTAAACTAAAGAGTGAAGAATCAGTCAAGAACGCTGGATTTATCCGTAGTTTAACTCTCTGTTGACTGGACTGTGGCACCTGTGTCTCTCACTCTGTGCGGTGACTGCCAATTGTGTTTTGGAATTCTGAGTGGATATTTTATTTTCTGTTTGTAAGAACAATTTAATAGTGACACAAAGCACCTCCTTTTAGCTGATTGGTCAGTTGTCAATACACCTTATCCACGCCAGACATTTGAACACGGCACAAGATGAGAAGCACCAGTGAACCAAATGATGTTAACAGTGGCAGACTGCCTTTTTAGAGCTCCACTGAGCCTAAAAAATGCAGCTAGAGCAGGACCTACACTCAAGTGAACTGCAGCCATTATTATTAATGATATTACGTCAGGGCCGCTGATACATCTCATGGGCCATCATAAAGATTCAGCTCGATACATCATGTGTTTGTGTGAAGAAGACCCATTGGTGCCTAAGGACTTGAGAGGCAACCTGTTTCCTTTAAAGGGAGCATGTCATACGAAATGTCTTAGTTTGACAAAGCAATTTGAGTTGAAAGCCTATTTTCTTCAATATTCAGCTTGAAAGGCTCTACCTGAAATGATTCAATTTGTAAAAACACAGCTGTCATTATACTGAAAAATAACCGATAAGTATTATAATGGCCACAGTTTCCTTTTTAAGCTAACATACTGTCAGAGAATTCAGGTTTTAAATGTAGAACATACATGTATTTTTACACAGATACTCTCAAGACTTTACTCACCTCTGAAAAGCAGAGTTACACTTTTAAGATGAAGATTTTTCTTGTTTTTTCATCGGAATAGCCTCTTGATAGTATTGTGGTGTTTCTGTGTGCCGACACAAAACAAAGATCCGTGATGACATTAGTTTTATTTGTTTGTTTGAGTAAAACCTGCCCTGTGTTAATGATGTAGGGGGATCTGCTGACATGGGCATGGGTATGAGCCCCTTCAACCCGCAGGGCCAGCCCAACCAGTCCCCCTCCTGGCCCGACACCATGATGGGCATTGAGGGAAACAGGTTAGTTAAACGTCCCCTTATGGTATACACCAACATGGTTTTAGCTGAGATGATATAAACCTTGTGAACACTCCGTGTGTGTGCGTGTTTGTGCCCATTGTAGACGCCAATTTAGCAACACCCTGGATGACCTTCTGGTGCCTCCCACCACCAGCGAGGGTCAAAGCGATGAGCGGGCACTTCTGGACCAGCTGGATTCACTGCTTAATAACACGGACGGCATCGCCTTGGAGGAGATTGACCGAGCTCTGGGCATCCCAGACCTCGTCAGCCAGGTAAGAATACGCGACTGAATTAAACTTACTTACCTGTGTGACACGCTAGAAGGAGAAAAAGGTCAATAAGCAAAAGCTTAGTCACAAGTGAGCCTTGCGTTATCTTTCCGTTCAATATTTCAGTCATGGCTGTCCGTGCTCAGACCGTTCTCTCTCTGAAGTGAGATAGATGAGGCCAGAAGGATTCCTGTGCCGCTCAGAAAAAAGACAATTACAGAGCCGACCAGCTGGAAATGAATCAATTAGACGTAGAAGCTTGGCAAACGTCTTTTTGTCCTCGTGTGCTGCAGACCCATGGAGCAGAGCAGCAGCTGGAGCCTTTTCCAGGGCAGGACCCGTCCATGTTGCTGGAGCAGAAGCCTCTCTATGGGCAGGGCTATCCTGGACCCCCCAGCATGCCCATGCAGTCCAACTACGGGGGGAACCCCATGCAGGGGCAGGGCCAACAGGGGGGATTCGGGCCAATGCTGTCACAGATGGGCCAAGGCGGCGGCTTCCCCGGTATGGCTGGAATGGGGGGCATGGGGCATCCTCGTGCCAACATGATGAGACCCAGGATGATGAGCGCCAACAAACCCATGAGGCTGCAGCTGCAGCAGAGGCTGCAGGGACAACAGGTGCGTCCACAGGCCGGCCACACAGCTTCACTAAAGCTGAGTTCTGAGGATACTTACGAAATTGGATCCTCTGAAGTTTGCATTCAAATTAGACACTCGGTAGCTTAGAAGAAAAAAATGACATTAGACTGATCTTTTGGTACCTGAAGGTTTCAGACACTTGAGATGTTTTTCTTTTTAACAAAAGTCCATATACCGGTCAGGGTCCGTCTTTATTTCACATCTGCCTGTTTGGTCATTTTGAGCCCTTTATTGTTTTTTGTGGGCATTTAGTGTGTTTTACAGCTCATGGTGGTCATTTTGAGCCTCATTGGTTGCTGTGCAGTTATTTGTGTTTGTTTTCTTTCCTGTTTTACAATTGCAGTTGCCTTGTTATATTTTTGTGGTTCTTTAGGATTATTTTGTGCCTCATTTATGGTCACTTTGCTTATCTTTGGGATGGTTTAGCCTCCTCACAGTTGTTTTGACCACCACTGTGGAGTTTTGGAATGCCATAGGACTATTGTTTGTTTATAAGGCTTATATTTCTTTGTTTGTTGTCTTGTTTTGTCTCTTGGTTGACTTTGCATTTCTTTTGGAAAACCTATCAAATTCTTTCTTTCTTTCTGTTATCTTCTTTTGATAGGATATTCAGTAACTTTTTACTCTCCATTCATCAACTTGACAAACCCTGAAATTTCGGTTAAGGCCCAGCGTCCCAGATTATAACTTTGGTTTTAGAAAATACAAATGTTTTCTCTACGCTTGCAATTACAGTCCCAACAGTTCCATATTGGAAAGCACAAAAGAAGAGTCTCAAAACAGAAGATTAAGCTGCCCAATGATAAATCTGCTATGGCATGATCTAGGAGTCTATAGTCATACATGTACTTGTGTTTTTGGATAATCGAGGGGCAACCATGTAGGGACTACCCAGCCAGGGTTTTTAAGTGCAATCTGAGTAGGTGAAGCTTGTTCTCTTTAGTGACTAAACTAAAGTGAAAGGACTTGCTGTCTGTTTCTGATCAAATTAAGTTTGGATAATAAACTTTGTAATATCTAAGCGCTTCCAAATATTTTCATTCAGCTTATTCCTCATTCTGAGCTGTTCTAACAAATTATTGAATCTTTTTTGCCTGCTATGGATTGGTTCGGTGTTTTTCAAATTGGGTGTATCAACACACAAAACTTTCTGTTATAAGAGCCACTCTACTATATATGTATGTGAGGTGTAGAAATCATTAGTTCTGTAATCTTAGGATGAATGTTCTGTTTTCCCCCAGTTCATTAATCAGACGCGGCAGGGCATGGCCATGAAGATGGAGAACCCCGGAGGGAACCCTGGCATGAGGCCCGCCATGCAGCCCGGCATGGGAGGACAGGTAGATGACAAGTACCCCTTTGGTTTCATCTAGGGGCAAATCACTGTAATAATCTTATTTTTGTGACATTATAAAGTTTTTATTTATTTCTCAAAAGAAAAACCTGAGGCTAGTATCATTCCACCTTTACAGCTTTACGTTCTTATGCATGTGTGTTGTGTGTAAGCTCCGTAACGTCTTGCTTTGTGCAGCCGGGCTTCCTTAATGCTCAGATGATGGCTCAGCGCAACAGAGAGGTGGTCACCATGCAGATGAGGCGGCAGCGCATGATGATGCTGATGCAGCAGCAGCAGCAGCAGGCGGCAGCGGCCGCCGCGGCGGCGGCTGCCGGGGGCTTCAGCCCCCCGCCCAACGTCACGGCTCCCGGCGGCATGGACAGCCCTATGGGGGGGCCGAGCATGGGTCAGCCCGGGCCCCAGCAGTTCGGCTACGGCGGCAGCTACGGTGAGTTTCTGATTCAGCCGGCCAGCGGAATGCTGCTGCTCTCTGGTGGTGAGAGCCGGCACGCTACGGCTCCCCCAACATTTATTGACATTTTTAAAAAGCAACACGGACAGACTACAAAACGTGCTCTTTGTTTAAAGCCTATAGTCAAACCTGGGCTGGTTTTATCTCCGCAGGGATGGGCCAGCAGGGCGACCCCTCTTTCGGCCCGTCAGGCAGCAGTCCTCCTAACACCATGATGCCCGGCCGCATGGGGCCTCAAAACCCCATGATGCAACAGCATCCCCAGGGGGGGCCCATGTACCAGGGTACTGATATTAAAGGCTGGTCACAGGGAGGCATGCCCCGCAACAGGTGCCAATCATTCACCGCTCGACGACTAGCTGTTGGAGAAGGAGAGACGGGGGAAGCTGAGACTGAATGTATCTGACTTGTTCCTGTCTCTCACCTGTCCTCACCAGTTCATACGCCCAGCAGCAGTTTGGCCAGCAGGGACCCCCGGGGGGGCAGCAGTTCGGGCAGCAGGGACCCCCGGGGCAGCAGCAGTTTGGGCAGCAGGGGAATCCAGGGCAGTACGGCGGCATGATGATGAACGGAGGCATGGCGTCCAGCGGTGGAGGAGGTCACATGGGCCAGATGGGCGGGCAGATGGGGATGAATCCACTGGTTATGGGGCGCATGCCAATGGGGCCCGATCAGGTAGGAGCAACACTGCCTCGGCTCTGTCTCTGATCATTTTTAAGTAGGCGCGACATTCCCTCTAACTTTGTCCGAATTAGACTTGTTTCCAAGCAGCCCATGGTTTCCAAACTAAACTGTCATTTTCATGAGAGGTTGCATGAGGATTTACTTTTAAATTGAAGTCACGATTCTGAGATTTCCATTCTGAGTAAATTCACCCCCTTTTTAAAAAAAAAAAATTATTGACATTTCAAACTAAACAAAGGCCATTTTATTGTACCAGACTTTTTATAGAGTTTTAAGATGCACCTGAGCTCTGTCGGTCCATTCACTGTTTTAGAAATAAAGATCTTGTCAGTGGCTGACGCTCTCTTTTTTTTTTTTTTTTCTTCTCCTCTCAATGATCCAGAAGTACTGCTGAGCGGTGTGACGTAAGCTTTGGTCTCGCTGTGACCTCCACCCGGGGATGGCAGACAGCTGCAGCACCAGGGTGTGTGGAGTGGACGTTGTGTGTCTGTGTGTAGTGTTACATTCCCACCAGACGGGGGAGCGGCTTCCCTCTGGACTCGACGGCCAGTAACGTCAGCCTGGCAGTCTGAGGGAGTCGGATGGACTGTCACATGAGATCACTGGGCACGCATAGAAATCAAGACACACTGTGACTCCTTTACACACACATACTCGTAGACGCAAAGTTAGTCGGACAGAGATACGTGATTCCTCTTGAAGACCGTTGCGGTGCTCGTGTGTCCACACATCCGCTGGACCAAACCCTGAAGGTGGATCAGATGAACAAAATGTGTTTAGACATCCCAACCCCCTCTTTTTTTATTATTATTTTTTCGGGTCGAATGTAAAATGAAAACGTATTCAGATTTAAAACTTTGTGGGGTCGTCCTCCGTCTCTCCACTGAACCTGGAGGATTTCTGTGGATGCGGCTCAAGTTTTACGAGCTGTCAGACAGTGACACTCATGTGAATGTCATTAAGCAGTAGCACAATGTTTCGCCCTCCAGGACGGCGCAAAGTATGACTGAATTGCTAGTTGGCTGATTGCACTTTAAGGAAAAGCCAACATCAAAAGGATTGTGGCAATATAGAGGCCTTTACCCAAGAATTAATGTAAAGCAGCAGACATTTCCTGTTTTATTTTTGTGTGTGTGCTCTATAAGCTCTCTGAAATAAAATAGGGTTGCAGATGAGTGACCTTGGCAGTCTTTGTTCCACAGTGGGAACCGGCAGAAGGATAATAGGCACGGATTTGATCAAACGATCTCGAATGTGTACATTTAAAACGGTGTGAGGATAATCAACTGAAATGGTCTTCAACAGATTTATTTATCATTCACGAGGCCATTTTTAGCTCAAAATGCAGATATTTTGTTTATCTTTTAAGGCAGTAACAAACGTGGGAATAACGAACTGAATTCGATTAGAAAATACTAACGGCTGAACAGAAAATGTTGATTTTCATGTCTGAGTGCAAATCTCTAGCAGTAATCCTTCCGCCTGGTTTTCTTCTGAGGACAAAGCTGAAGCATTGTGTACTCAGAGCGATGGTACTGCAGTATTAGACCTGATGTCTTGTTCTTTTTTTTGTCTGTGAATAAGAATTGTAAATACGCTTCAGATGTACTATATATAAATAAATATATGCTTTTGTAGGTCACATACTGTTTTTGCACAGATTGTAAGGCTTGATATTTAAAAGTGTAATTTTCTTATTCTGTCATAGGTCAGCTTTCATTTTCAATGGCTTAGCCTTGAGTTGGAAAGGTGGGGCCTCGTTTTGTAAGCAGTACGTGTAGATTTCCTTTCATACTGCCACTTTCCTTCTGTTAGAAAGCACTTTTGTTTTTAAATCTGAAAAAAAATGTATTTAATTTTTTAATCTTCAAATCATGAACTTCTTATTTTCTTAGGATGTAGTCCTAGCTAATGAGGTGCTAGTGGGTTGTTATCCTTTTTTTTTTTTGGATAAATTATTCTTTTTTTTTTCTACAAAAAAAACAAAACATAAAAAATAGGCCTATAGAAAAGGAGTTGACACATGATTGTGTTATTTGTCTGGAGGCCCAGATGTCTTACCAGTATGTGGAGTTGATATTTTCTAAACTTGACCTCTTGCTTCCATTTCCCTCCTGAAGTTTTAAGTGCTTTGAATATTGCTCATGTGGAATTCAGCTCCTCTGTTTTAACTGAGTCTGCGAGGCATTCCTGGGAGAAACTACATTAAAAGGAGTTTGGATCTCTCTTTTAATTGCATTCATTTAATGGGCGGACTCTCATTTTTGTATTGGAGTCTCTCTTTAATCCTCTTTGTATTTCTTGTGAAGCTTTTGTTTGAGAAATCTACCTGCGAATACACACTCAATCCAAAGATTTCTGTTTGTCATTCTGCAGTGCATAAAAACAGTTCCTAATGTAGATCGTGTGAGTTTTCGTGTGCTATTTACTGTTGCACATAAGCTATAATATACATGAAGCTACATTTAAGTGCATATATTATTATTCTCATCAGTATGAAATAGAATAGAGATGAGTCTGCTTCTGCTGAGGTGGTTTAATCATTTTGTTCGTGGTTGCTACTTCTTTTATGAAGATCTTACAGCCAGTTTGATTTGTGGTGCTTCAAACGGTTATATCAGAAGAGAATGTTCTTTAAAGGAGGTTTTCATTAATGGTTGATGTGATTTATGTCTCATGCCACTCCCGTGGTGTTGTTTTTTTCTTTTAGTTTTTTGTTCTTAAATACCCCATAGTCTCGGTGAAGTATAGAAGTCTGCAAATGAAAAAAAAGGAGTTTGTGTTTTTCCTGCAATGAAAGAAACTCATCACATCGCTGGAGCTCAAGAAAAGAGAAAACACATCTGGGAAACACACGGTCATGATCACAGGATGTAAAATACTGTCGTGTTTTTTGTTTTTTTTTCTACCTTGTTTGTTGATGTTAATATTGATGTAAATACAAATTTATATTTAAACATTCCAATGTGTTGGCTGTGGTTTTTTGCAGAGGCTGATGCTAAAACGCTGCCGCGGCGTCTTTTTAGAGCCGCAAACTACAGACAGAGGGTCTCCTGGTGTGAGAATAAAGGAGTCATGAGTAGGTGTGAAGTTTTCTTTGTGTGTGGCAGGGGGCTATCTGCATGTGGAGAGAATTCAGAGTGTGAAGGACATCTGTGAGGGCCATGCTGCCGTCTGCAGCATCGCTTTCATCTGCTCCTTATTTCCTGCTGGATGCCCCCTAAGTGTCAGCCGCATTAGTCATCCCACTTTTCTCACTGCTCCTAATGATTTTGTTCCCCTTGAATCCGTCTCACAACCCACCAGGCCACACCAACCTTCCTCTTGCTGTTGCAAACCAGCAGCCTGTTCGAAGGTTTTAAATACATTTTCACTCTGAGGGATTATTTGTAAAGACATCACATTGCCAGTTAAACTTTGGGGATTCCTTAGATTTTCTTTTTTTTGTCTTTAGCCAAAGCATACAGTTTGACAACGATCTTCTGTTAGATTTGCTGTCATGAACTTTTAGTCTAGACTTCAGTCTTTGCTGGAAGACATTTTCTCCCATGCTGCAGTCATGAACAGCTTTTGCATACCAGTACTGGTCTGTTTCACAGTCATACAACTTTTTCTACACTGAATTGAATTAAAACGTTGTATTTTATGATCAAATACATTCACTTTACAGTTATAGCTGCTTTAAAGAGCATTTTCGATAACGTGTAGCAATACATTCTTTTGAAAAGAAAGGGTTCACTGGGGTACTGGGCACCATTTCCCATGTCAAAGTGACCACTAATCCTAAATGCCCACACCTAGGGAAAACCCATTGGACAAATTAATTGGGGCACCTTGAGAATAGATTGAAATCTTTTAAAGTAGCTTCATCACAGAACTGGCATGCTGTGTCCATACTGATAAGTCGAATGACAGGATTTAACAGGTTATATTAATATCAGCACAATAATTAATATCACACAGTAGAAATTTAACGCAGGACTTTAACTTGAAATAAATTACTCTTAGATTTGTAGACTGAAACGTTCTGTGGTCTCAGTGTGCCTTGGCTCAGGCTTCCTTTGAGGAAGTGAGCACACTTTCATGTTCGTGTTTTGGTTTAGAGTACATAATTAGCACCATGGCTCTGGTTGCCAGTCTTTGGTGGCTTTACCATTCCTGAAGTAAATATTGTCATTTGTAAAAACAAAATCATGCATCAGTTCAAACATACATTTGTTCTAAAGCTTTTAGTATTGATTTACGTAGTATTTCATTATCCATTTGTATTTCTTTAACTCTATGACTCCCTCCGTGTTCTTTACTGGATGTGATCCCAGCTCATCCAGCTGTTTGGTTACCTTATTCCAGGGGTTGTGTGATGGTAGATTAATTCATTTCTTAATTTCTGTGAGTGTGTGAGTGTGTGTGTGTGGGGGGGGGGGGGGCAAGGGGGGGGGCAGGGTGGAGCTGAGGCGGGGATGCGCCGTGGGGAAAAGACGCACCGCTCGGTCATTGGATCAGACGCAGAGTGGGTGCATGTAAGCGTGTAAAACCGCCCACTGAAGCCTGAAGAGTTTTCTATTTTTTTTCCGGGACAGCGGACGGGAGAGTCCGAGACACCTGTCGAGGGGGAGCCACACATCTCGGAGCTGCCGGAGAAACTGCGTGTGCGATCATGGACGCGCAGTTATCGTTACAGTAGGCTGTCAGAGCGCACGGGGCGTAAAGTTGTCCCTCCGCTTGTCTCGTTGGTCTCCGCGTCACGCTCCGTGGGGTTTGTTTGTGTTTCCTACCCAAGCCGCATGAGTTCGCCGCTGTTTTTAGGTCAGCTGGTCGGGGTTCCGCTGGAGATTATGCACCCCGCCATGGAGAAAGACACAACTTACACCAAGATTTTCGTTGGCGGCCTGCCTTATCACACCAGCGACGCTTCACTCCGGAAATATTTCGAGACTTTTGGGGACATCGACGAGGCGGTGGTGATTACGGACAAGCAGACTGGAAAATCGAGAGGATATGGATTTGTGAGTGGATCTACATTCTAGTAGGATAGATGCACATCTGCCATAGAATAGGGTGTTCAAATAGTGTTTTATCGCTCAAATTGGATTGTCAGAGGGCTTAAAGCTTAACAGATCTTATCTGTTGCTGATTGTCATGCGTTTTTTCTTCACCCTCATGGCTGATTGTAAAGATATTATCTCGACCTCCGGAAAGATGTCATTTTCTTTGTTTTTTGGAGGCTGCACACACTGCCACTGTTTGAGCAGCGGCCATACGCGGTTGGTGTCAGGTGGTGTCAGTCACATGTTCGGAGCATGAGAAGCAGGTTATTTCTTGAAAGTGTGTCATCAATTATCTCTGCGCTCCCAAATATACAAAGCAGCGAGCTGAAAGACGCACTGTGCTCCCCCGTGAGATGGTAATAAGCTGCTGCAGCTGCGGACAGATGTTTCTTTCTGCTGTGTGCGTGTGAGATGGAGAGAGAGAGTGTACGGAGGGAGAGAGAGAAATGGCTAGGGGGAGGGAGGAGTTGGTGGGTTTCTGGTCTCAGAGGTGTGACATGTCAGTTGGCTGTTCAAGATAAGGCTGCAGTAGTTTCATTCTGACTTCCTCCCTCACAGCCCCCCCACCCCCCACTGTCTGCCAGGATGAGTCTGGTTATTTGTTTGAGTGAGTTGGTGAGTGTAAGAGGTAGAGATATGAAAATAAATGGGTTCTTTCTTACTGGACTTGAAATTATCGCAGCCTCTCAAGTATACTGAGTGGTTTTCTCTATCTTGATCCATAGTGCTTACTTCATCCTCGAGTTTTCCTTATCTGACTTAATGCCCACCTCCTGCTGCCCGGTGTGTAAGGCTCCACTCTGAGTGGGAAAGTATCAACCCACCACTGCCCCAGTTTTTGTTGCTGGTTTAGGCTATATTCTGTATGTGTGTATGTATCAGTTGTCATCCCCTCCTCTGATATTTAATCATTGGAAGAAAGAGGGGAGGAGTTATGTGGCTGTAAGGATACTGAAGAGGGCTTCTTTCAACAGGTGACCATGATGGACCGGGGGGCGGCAGAGCAGGCGTGCAAAGATGCAAACCCCATCATCGATGGCAGGAAGGCCAACGTGAACCTGGCCTACCTGGGAGCTAAGCCCCGCAGCTCGCAGACAGGTAAGGGCGTCTGATCACGGGTAAAGATCACAGCATCGTTACAGTCCAATGTTTTCATCAAGCACACATTTTAGCCTCATTCTGCCCATTTGAAATGGGGAAAAAAAGCAACGTGCCATCTGCCAAGATATTCCAACAGTCTGTCCGTTTGCAGAACCCGGTCAGAGTGAGGAAAGAATGACCAAAAGCAGACGTACACATGCGCATCGACTGGTGAATTATTCTAAATTTCTCCAAGGGTGCCTTGTTTAACCATGATACGTTTAGAAGACACCGGAAAATTTCACTGGCGGCCTTTAGTTGGCACTTGAAGCATTTAGAATCTGGGTCACACAGTTGTTGAATAGCTAGTGCTTTTTACTGGAGTTTAGATACTCAGAAGTATGACGGAAACAAAGTGATGTGAGAGGAAGTAAAACTTTAAACCTGAAAATATAGTGAGTAGGATTAGCGTTTCATTGAAAGAATGATATAAGATGTCAGTGGTAGGGATGAATTAGCTATTTCAGGCTTTCACTGCGTCAGCTGTTAGCAGGATCGGTTTATTGTCTTAACTCCCATTGTAGAGAAGCCATTTAATATCACAGCTCTTATCACCCGAGGATGTTCTGTTAGCCAGTCACTAATCAAGTCAGTGACTTGTATAACATGACTGCGACAATGGGGCGGCCATGGCTTTGTGTGCAGAATGACTGTCAGAGCGTGAGGTCAGACAATGTGAAAATACACACAAAAGAATACTGCTGTGTGACAGAAAGCAGTTGTTGGAAGATAAAGGGGTTTATAAGACTGCTGTCGAAAGGTAGAACACATGCAGACCCCAGTCTGTTTTAGCTTGTCGTTTAGTTGATTGAGTAATTCCCAGGTGATGCTCAATAGTCGTTTTATATCTAAATTATCGGTTCTGTTTCTACCAAGAACATTATGATTTTTGCAACTTGTGCAGACTTTAGTATAGTTATTCTTATTAGATTGCATTTTTGCCTGTCGTTTCACCCAAAGGTTCTACTCTGGAAATTTAGACTGCCTTCATTATAAATAAAAGGTGCTTGGTTTAATCACAAACAGCTACTAAATGGTCATCATGGTGGATTCCAACCGAACTCCAAATCTTTATTCATTGGTTTTTATGTTTCTACTGATATGAATTGAAACTAATGATCCATTTCAAGGTTTGTGGATAAAAAGGAAATCTTAAAACCAATAAATGTGTGTCTAACATTGAGGTTAGGTTAAAAAAAATCACGATAAACCACTGGTATGCTCATCACCCAGCGAGCTGTCTCTGCTAATTCCCACCCAATATTCAGTCTTTGTTCGCTTAAGTTTACACACAGCTTTCCTGCCGCCAGTTTTTTTTATTATATTTTTTTAAGAGTTAACCACTGCTGCACATGCTGCATGTTTCCCCTCTGAGGTCTGGTTGCACATCAGACCTTGACAGCAACACTAACTTCACGCCGTCATCTAGAGCTCTCTGGCTGAAACACAGTTGAGCGTAGGTGTGACTGAGAAGCAGTGGCGCCAACAACAACTGATTGTGTGTCATTAATGCGGGGCAGGCGCTGCAACACAACTCCCCGAGCACACAGCTGATGGGAGATGGCAGCGCTTGGTATTTTGTTATTGTGTGTGAGAGGGGAGACAATACAGAGAGCAAGAGGGGATGGCTCTGTTAAGAGCAAGAAATAACAGCATGTCTGTCCTTTCTTTGTCCTGGAGAAGAAAGAAAATGAGCATGTAGATCTAAGTTTGAACAAAAGAGGAGGGGGGGATGAAGTCATGGATGCAGACAATAAAAAGAGGATAGGAGCAGAATGAATAGCTGGAGGAATGAAGAAATGAAGTCAGAGGAGGGGCACGGAGATACAGGAAAAGTTTCTCCATTTTACTCATCCTCAGCTGATTAGGGTTGTAGTCTAGAGGCAACAAAGTCACAGATGCTCATGAGCAATAGGCATCATTATTCATGAAGGTTTGAAAGGTAAAGAAATAACAGTCAAGCAGTCTAGTCTGTGAATCTGACATACGAATGGTTATCTGAAAGCAACAAACAAGAGACAAATGCAACTGTGCCTCCATGTGTATCCCTCCTCACCACTGGCCTTGTCTCTCTCTTTGCCTTTGTCTACAGCTGTTTCAGTCGGAGTTCAGCAAGTCCATCCTACGTGGGCTCAGAGGCAATACGGGTAAGACAGAAAAGAATCAATTCCACTGTTTCCTCTGCTCTCCTTCTCACCTGCCTCCTCCTCTACACATTTCACTCCTCCATCCTCCACATTTGTGAGCACTGGCTCCTGCTCTGCACCAGGGTCCAGGATAGAAACTGGAAGTAACTATAACTATATCAGCACAATTGCTGTTTGCTTTATTTCTGACATACTTCAAGAAGCTTCTATCAGTCTGCACACTGGAGTTTGATGCATCTATTATGGCCTCTGCGGCCTTTCTGGTCCATTAAATTCGTGCTAAGCTCATTTCTGATATTAACTCACACATGAGTTGGGCTTCGCTGAAGCAACAAGGTATTTACCCTAATTTCAAAACATGTTTTTTCTTATGAATCATTATTTAGTTGTGTGACATGATGCAATGCAAAGCCATCTAAGCTAACCTTTAAATATCTCTGGTTTAATTTGACCAGTGATTCATGAAAGGTCACATATTGGTTACCACCGCAGGAAATTAAAAAATTTTTTTTTTAAAAACAAGAGAATAAGCTTATAAGCTTCCATTAACAATGCTAAAATGCTGATGTTTATTCAAACAGACAGTCGTCTGTATCATACTCACAATTACCCAGCATGCGTACTAATGTTTCCTTATCAGCATTGAATAGAAACAAGTGAGGCTTATAAATTATACAGGAAAAATGATGTGCACATGTTAAGATTTATCAGCTGTTTAAACTGATGGTTGTGTGAATGTCTATTTTCAATTAATGGAATTCTTCTCAAACAGTCAATATCAGCCTCATGTTACAGATTATTACATTTCAAGAATACATCCACTGAGAATCCCAATTGTGATTCTATGTTGGGATTGTTGGATTTTCCCAAACCACTCCAGGCATTTTAGAGTCATTTTGTTGGGAATAAGAGGTTATTGAGTTACTCAGGAATGCAAAAAAAAAAGTTTTCATTTTACAGACACTAAATCAAAAAACAGATAAGACAATAGATTATTATTTAATAAAAACAAGAAAGGTTCATTATTATTTTCAGAAATTACTCAGTCATTCACAGTAAACTATGCTCCCTTAAATAAGCCTTGTTATGGATTTCATTAACGCTTTATCAACCTGGACAGCATATCCCAGCTCCACATAGGGTTAATGGAGACAAACAGCTTGTAGATGCCAACATTATCTCTGATTTAAGCCACAAAATGAGCTTTTACAGTTTAACAATGATACCAGAGCTGACTCAGACTGTTAATGCTATTAGCAACTTAGGATATAAAGGACCTCGTTAACTCTTTGTGAGGAGACATCACGTTGTGTTACTTGTTGGAATCTAAGCACCAACTTGTACGGACTGTTCTTCCATTAATCACATTGTGTTTGTTCAATAGTGAAATGAGTATAATGGTGTGTATCGTCCATCCATTGTCTTTACGGCTTATTCCTTCAGGGTCAAAGGAGCCTGTCCCAGCTAATTATTGTATGTAAACTACACATTTGTTCAGTGCACCTTTTTGAAAATGTTCACTCTTGATATACTGGAGAGCAGAGATGTGTTTTTTTTTTGTCCAATGATTTGTGGCCTGGGCAAAAATGTGCTGATTGGACCACCAGATATTCTTTATTCTGGATGTAGTGATGTGAAGGTTGGCATGTTTTGATCCTGAGGCAACAGAAAAGTACATTAAAGACCGAAATTGTTCTGCGAGCCATAAATATTGCAAGCCTCGATTTGTGAATGAGAGATGAAGGAATTTAGGCTAACCCAGTGTGAAAATGAATTATGTGTGGCTGATGGAAAAGAAAGAGGCTCTACATATAAAGAAGGCGAAGGTTGGTCTTTAGAATCTAACTTCCTGTAAGAGTCACAGTTTTAGAAAAGGCTGAGACGGTGAAGGAACAACAACACCTGGCACGCCAAGTCTAATTGACACACCCGCACAGATCGTATACACAATGGGTGGTTCCCTGTGAGCGTGGAAATTCCTTCAGTTCGAGCATTTCTATGTTTTGTAAATGTTGTTTTAGTGGAAGGGGATTAATTACCAGCTAAATATTTGATCTGGGCTAAGTGGAGATGTGGTGGTTAGTCTTTGTGTTCCTTCCTTTAGGACACAAGATACACTAAAGAAGACACCTAGCTTTCAGTTTGTGGCCTGCCACATAAACATCTTTTTTAAGTTTAGGAAGAATCTGTTGCAGAAGAAGAAGTGATACCAGGATAGGTCAAAGTGTTAACCTCAAGAGAACGCAGTGCTGCACAGCTGCAGGGGCTGTTACGTTTTGAGTCACTGACAAATTCACTTTCCTAGTTTTGAATCAGTACCATCACTCTGAATTGAGCTTAGTCTTCAGAATGAAACAAATCAAATGTGAGGTCCTTCTGACGGACGTATGAAATGACTTCTGACGTTCTTTGTGTCCTGTTGTCAACCAAGGTTGCAGAAGAAGACCTTAGCTAATAGATACTTTTTTAAGCACATTTATAGAGCCTAAATCTATCCAGATATGAATGGTACATTTTAAACAATGCAAAAAATAAACCTGAAATCTCATGTTCAATGTTTTGTATGTGTAAAGCACATGTCAGTCCAGCTCAGATCTCTTTGCTCTGAGGCTTAGTGTTTCTTTGATATGATCAGTGTGACTGCAGTCAGTTTACAGCATATCGTGCTAACATGAGAGGCTGTTATTTTATGAGCAAATAAATGTTCCAACAGGGCTCTGTAGCTGACCCTCTTATAAAAATCTAAAAAGTACTGATTACTTTTCTGACCATTCTTAGTGTTCTGACGGTGAAATCATTTCAATAGTTCATGATTTACTGACACATGTCCTACATGAGGGACACAGGAGATTTCAGCCTCTCAGTCATACACAGAATGCACATTAGAGGTAGAATTTATGTATTTTAAAGAACAAAGACACTTGTTTTTTATGCATTTATCTGACTTTTTCTCGGCTTATATTGCCATTTTAATTACTAAAATCAAATGGAAGATTTTACTGCAGCCCCGGCCTTTTCTCTTCCTCTCTTTGATTGAGTTAAACTCACCAGCTGCCGGCTGTCCTTTCAAATTTGAAATATAGGAAAGAAAAGAAGCATGATTTCCACCAACATCAAACTGTGCTTTGTACTGTTCTGATGTGTCTGCAGGTGTTTTTTTTTCCTTCTGTCTTTGCTGTTTGTCTCCAAGGGGAGGGGGGTCAGCTTCAGTCTGCTTCAGTCTGCTCAGACAACAGCATACAATAAACAGCAAATATCAAAGATAAACTCAAACAAAGAACAGCCCCAGTCTGCGGCCTCTGTCTATTTGCTCAAAGTTTTAAGAGGACAGAGGACAGACCGATGCCAAATGTGGCTCTGAGGTACAGCTGAACCTGCATGGGAGGGGAGTTCCTGCTCTAGGGAGGGAGGCGGGGAGGGGGGAGAGGGGGGGGAGGGTTGTGGCATCTGTCGCCCTGGGCCGCCTGCTGTCTGTCTCCGGCACCCACGGTTCGTGTAGTTGGCTGGGAGGAGTTGTATTCTTCTAAACACTACGTGCTGTTTTTGTCTCAAGATAAACCAAAGGATAGGAAGGAGATGGTTGTATGCTGTATGTTGGGGTTGGCTTCAGGTGGCTGGGTGGGGGGAGTGCTTCCTGTTGAAGCAGTGGAGCAGAGTGGGGGAGGAGGGAGGCAACACAGACGACAGCACACCTGTGGGCGGGTGGAGCTACAGCCCGCTTCCACGGCGCTTTAGAGTCGACGTGATGGTGCAGATCTGAATAAAGTAGATTCCTGATGAATCACGACTCTGCTCACAAGTCGCCATTTCCTATTTTACATCCTCACCATCATTCCTTTGTCTGTTTTTTCCCTCCACTGTTTCCTCGATGCTGCTTATCCTCCCACTCTAAAGGATCTTTCTGTCTCTTTTCTCCCCTTTCCCAGCCAGCAGTTATCTCTCTGACAGTTGGGGGCTTTAAGGTAGATGGTGAACCCTCAGGTGGATTTTACTCTCATCCAGGGACCCAATTAGTACAGGCACTTCAGCTGGATGAAAAGCTTCATTTAAAAGAGACAAAAAAAGGAAATAAGACACCGGCTGCTTTTCATTGTAAATAAAGCTCCCATTTTGTTGCTGCTGTCTCAACACGAGGCAGCAGAGATTTACCCTCTTTATTCTCTGTCCTGGCTGTTGACAGATTAACAACATGAAATACAGCTCTGAGGGTGGATTTTAAAAACTATTTCAGGCTAAATTGATACTTCTCTTTGTGCCATGAGCCTGCAGGCACCTCAGAATAGTCAGCTGTCAAACTTTAATGATATGTAGAATAATGAGAGAAAGGCGTGCTCCAGGGTCCAGGATACATGACAGAATTACATCCCTTTATAGTGACTAGACTACTACATTTTTTCAGTTAACTGACCAGTCTTTCATTTCCTGTAATCATTGATCACCACCATCACTGAATTGTGGTTAAGTGTGGTCAGGGCCAGCCCACAGCCCTTCAGACATGTTACCGTGCATTTAGGTCTACAAACTCTGTTACTAAATTCACCAGCTTTTATCACCCCTGTTTAGGTTGTCTAAAATAAAGGTAGGTAAATACAAACCCATAAACACCTTGTAAAATAACAGCTCAGCCACTGGATGCTATTTGGAGTGCAAATCTCATATAAAAAAGTGTTTATGACAGGCCACTTTATGACCTATCATGTACAGAAGTGACACTTTCAAGAAACTTAGTTTACAAGATACATGGAAGCGGCTGGTAGGATTACACTGGAAGCTGGCATCTGGGACAGTTCCAATTTTAACAGCAATTGTATGTCAAGTAATGTGTGAAAATGACCTGATAGTTGGAAATTTAGCGTTCAAGGAACTTATTTTAGGTTTAGGTAATACGCAGTTTCATGGCTCGGTAACAACATAACTCAGTCACAAGCCCAGTTTTAAGAAAAGTAGCAGCTGCATTCATATGGATCCCAGGATGAATATGATTATGTTCCCTGAGTAGCTTTTTATAGGATCATTGTGATGATCACATGAAGTGGTTATGCAGAGACTTTATCTGTCTTTGGGATGATGAAAATTCCAGTTTTTGCTTTTAATGGCCTGGATCCACAATCTTCTTCTGTTCTTGGCGAAGGGATGTGTTCCCCTCTTATTGCTGAACAATTTACTGCCCTGTCATCTCTGCTCTGGAGCGTGGCTCTGCCAAACAGACCGGGAGGAGCAATGTTTTCTGCTCCCTAGTTGTGCATGTGCCTTTACGATGACGTTGCACTAACAAACGCCCAGAAACCCATTGTTATAAATTCAAGATAGATTATCTTTTGTGACTTTCAGAACTGGTGTTTTTCTTGATGTTAACGATTTTAAAAAGATTTATTTTGTCTGTTTCACTGTTTCAGTGGAATGTGTTTCTTTTTTTAATAACCTCCACGCATGAAAAGTGTCTTTTTAAAGCTATGTATCTCAAAGCAACCATGTTTGTGGTGACACATATTCCAGGATCTTACTCTTAAAAAGAAGTATGCATCCACTCTCCACACCACAACAGTAATACTATTTGCATCTAGCTATATTTACATAAGGTAAAGGTCTTTGCAGCTCTATAGTGGTGACATCCAAACACCAAGTTGCCCTTGTGTGATGGGTCAAAGTCATCACAGGAGCTGCAAGGAATAGAGTACATGTGCTGGCGAAGATGTTTGAGTTAGAAATCATGGCTGCCTCAGGGTTACAGCCTATTACATCAATGAGAACTTAAACAACATTCCCATGTCACAGTAACCGAGGAGAAAATCATACTGGGGTGCCCACAGAACACAGGACAATCACAACAGATAGATTTAAAAACAGAAGCACAGAGACTGCTGCAGTATGAACATTTGCCTTTTACAACACAGTATCAAACTTGTTGTGTCTGCTCTCTACATTTTAATTGGAATCAGTAAACACTTGTTTTTGTATTCCGTGAATGAACGATGAATGAAGCCCATGAAAACAAGGCAGCATCGGCCATAAATTGGTTCATTTGCCCCCCCAACACAATTATAAAAATGATGCAGCATTCTACCAAATGAAAGAGAGACGTCAAATTAACTTATCTTTTTCATGACTATGAACATCCTTTGTAAGGGCTGGCCACTTCTGTGCCAGTCCAGCTGTGATTAATAGTGAAATCTAAACCACTTTCAAAGATAACTTCGTGGTCATAAAATCAATAGAAATTTCCCAAACTGAAGGATTTTTATCTCAGAATATGAAAAATCTCATTATAAGCACTAATGTTATTGGCTTCAGAAGAGAGATTTGTTTGTCAGACTGAAGTGACATAGATTATTTCAGTTTGACAGATAAATATATCCATCTTTAATATTTGATTTGGAGCATGAACAATATTATTCCCAGTGAAAGCAACCTGCCTTACTCTGGTATTAAAGGACATATTTTCTTAGTATCAGACAACAGCATTTTAATGAATTAAACTGTTTTTCTCAGCAGTATTAGAGCTGATTATCGGTGCTGATCTTAGTCCATCTAAAGCTCATCCTCCCTCAAGCCATCCATGTCCATCCAGAGAGGATGAAGAGTCATGCATGTGCGGACTCAAGAGCGTGCATTTGTCTCTTTTGACTGAATCATTCTCCTCACATCCCTCATGCAAACTATTAAAAGCATGGCTGGCCCTTGGGCTTGAAGGATAGGATGGCTGATCCTTCACCTCACGGTATCTTTCACTCATCCAAGGAGGCCCGACTTTGACCCTAACCTCAGATGTTTTGTAGTCTGTTTTTTTTTTTTCATAGTCAGTATAGCCTATCTTTTTCAGCCAGAGACCGCTTTGAGGAAGGGCAGTGAGGGGGAGTGCAGCAGAGGAAGATGGCTGAGAGGGAGTGAAACCCAGAGAGGGCAGGGAGATTAGAGTCAGTGGAGGTTATTCTGCTCTCATGGGTCTGTTAGTGAGCATACACCCATGCAGCTGTGCCAATTAGCTCTGCCATCCTTGAACCCCCAAGCCCCCAAGCCCCCACCTACCCATCACTCAACCCAAACACACACATATGTCCAGATACTCTCCCAAGCTGCTTAATGTGTTACACACACAACCTGTTAATTGTGTAGGACATTTCTTGGTTTGATGATGGGTTTTGAGCATATGATTCAGAATGTTCTCTGTGATGTAATGTTTGCATGCCCGTCTGTCTGGACACAGACAGACAGACAGACAGAGTTACAGTTATACATAACTGTGTGTTGGACAGCAGCAATAATGCCAGTGTTGGGGAGGAGAGAAGAGGCAAGGCGCAGCTCCCTCTCCAATGATAACGCTGTCACATTAGATGGTTCAGGCCAGAGCACCAGTAAGATGCGGTGCACAGCCCTGAGACTGATTCTGCAATCCTGCTCAGGGAGGTGGGCTGCACAGGGTTGGAGAAAGTGATTTGTTATATCTTCAAATGTAGTCGTGGATCTGCAGATCCTGACCCTCACATTATCTCGGCCGGAACTCACATATGTTATTTTTCTCTGTCAGCTGCTTTAAGCTGCCAAGTTGAACTTCCAGTTATCATTGTTTATTGGAAATGATGAGCCTTTCTTTGGTAATTGGTTTAAAGCTGTTGTTTTTTTCTCATGTTTAATGCAAGCGTAACTTTAGGAAAGCTCCTGTTTCTAATGCTTCTGTTGGCTGAACTGGACTGCAGTGAGCTTTAGAGGCACGGCCATTGCCAGATACACAAAAGTTATGGGATCTTTGTGATAATTCTGTGTGACAAACAGTACACTACCAAAACATTCCTAAAATGTAGTTGTGCTTGAGCAAGAAAACTGGATGGGAAAAAAAGAAAAAGTAATGATAGGAAATGTAAGCTGTGAGCTAATTTAGGTAGATTTGAGTTATTTTCCATATTCTGCAAGGCTATTGCATCATTTAAGTATCCCTTGGGGCAAAGTGACTGTGAACAGAAAACAAACCCTTAAAAGGATGTAGCTCTCTGTGGAGCTCTCCTGTCCACATTTACCCTAAGGGTGTCCCTTGAACTGTTTTGTCTGAACTTATAGTACCTTTTTAAAAAATAGGTCATTTTCAGTGCTTTCGTCCCTTCTGACTAAGAAGCATGGTTATGAGTGTGCATAGCTGTCTTGCCTTGTGGCCGGTGATTTGAATGCCGATCTCCCCCTTTTGTAATTGCCTCTTGACCTCTGACTCTGATAGAATAACTAAATACTGAAAATTCCAACAATAATCATTCATTATTTCATAGAATTTGTCGAATGTAGTAAAGATGGTGTGCTGGTTTAACAAATGAATGTTGTATTTAAAGAGTCAATCCCACACTTATATGTGCATTTGTACATATTTGAATAGAGCGAGGTTAAAATCAACACGTGAACTCTGGAAGCAGGACATACTTTTGTGTATCCGTGTTGTGTATACAGAACGGTAGATGCAGACGGACGGGCCCGGGCTCGGTGTTTGTTGTGAAAGCACACTTGATCCTTACTGTGGCTGTGTTTAGGGGTAAGCAGCAGCAGGCTACCTGTCGCTGTTCTGACCCGCTTGGATCCAACAACAGCTCTGCTGTCACATAAATGGGTTTTACTTGAGGCCCTAATTGGAGGTATGTCAGTGTTAAATACTGTCATGTTCTGCTGTGTGCATGGCTGCATAACCTAGTTCCCCTGTTAGGATCACTGTTGCTTTCTGCCAGATGCAACAGAGGCAGTTCAAGTTAAGTGAGCAGCCTCAGGCAAGGTCATGACTGAATACAGACAGATGGAAGAGTGTTATTTCTTTTATCCTTCCCTAGTATTATTTAATGCCAATGATTTCTTACTGTGCATCTGCTGTGGTAGTTTATGTTTCTGTGTTCAGAGGCATCCACAGTTTGTGAGAAAATGACAGAACATAGGTTTGGAAATGTAACTAATTGTGACTGAGAGGCATTTTATAAATGTTTAATCTTTTAATGTTTCTAAGGCAGTGTGCTAATTAAATTTGAAAACGAGCCTCTGTCAGGTTCAGCATTATTGGACACATGTAAAGTTTGGTAACAAAAATTAATAGAGTTTTATAGTTTAATAGTTTTGGGTAAATAAGGGGGGATTCTCTCCAACAAAGCCTCCCTTGGCAAAGCAAATCGGTTCCTGCCCAAACTAAATAGTTGTTGAAAATAGAATATTGATGCCCTTTTTTCTTTTGTTTTATACCAAACACAATATAAAGTCAACAATTATTATGATATAGATTTTTTTATATAGATTATCTTATTGACTTTCTTTCTTTTGAAGCTGCGAAGCAACATCGAGCAAAATGTGGGACAAAGCTTTTATCTTTGCTCGTGTTTTTGTGAGTTTCTCTCATGCTGCTTTATAACAGATGAAGTTTCTCTGTTTGCTGTTGGTTGCAAACTGGAGACAGACAGTTTCCTATTACTTTGACAGCAGTGTTTTGCCACATATCAGCATGCCAGCTAGCTAATTTGCAAAGTGCGCCAACTTTATTTTCTTCATGTGGCAAATTAGAGTGCCAACATTCTGAATTCATGTGAAAAATATGTCACAATTTGCTCAGCATGTTGATATCAGAAGCTTTTAAAACCTCAGTGCTATACATGTTTAAGGTTTAATGTAAAGTGTAAGAATTAAAGGTTTTAAGAGGGAAAAGGTTTATGTACCACTAAGTAGAGAACTTAACCAGGTCACGTGTAATTAGCCTTTAACCTGTTCAATATAAACAGTTTTACAAAGAGATTAGTAAATGTAATGGTAGTGTATTTTAAAAGAAGCTCCTGGTGACATATTTATGTAGTATCAATCACAATGTATCATTACATTCAGTTTTTTTGAAGGGTTGACTTATATTATTTGGAGGCGTACACCTGTGAGTGTGTACCTGCTTCTATCTAGGACTGTAAGAATTGCCCCTCCATGACCTGTTCCTCTATTCTTTCAGGTTCATGCAGCAGTACGTGTACCCACAAGCCTTCCTGCAGCCCAGCCTCCTACTGCAGTCCCACCTCAGCCCCTCAGCTGCCGCGCTCAACTCCCCTTACCTGGAATACAGCTCCGCCTACAGCCCCTATGTGCCAACCGGACTGGAGCAGTATCCCTACACCCCCTCGCCATCACCCTCCACCGGCTACCTCAACTATAGTTTCTCCCCCAGCACCCCTACGCCCGGTCTTACCACCTCTCCAACCCCTCCAGCAGCCATCCATCCTCAGCTGGCTGCTCTCACCGCAGTGTCTGCTACTCCCCAGGCCTTCCTCCACTACCCTCTTCACCAGCCTGACCGCATGCAGTAAGCAGCCCTGAGCAGGGCACAGCTGCTGACCCGACCACTCAAAACAGTGGGACTTTTCGACTTGTGAAATCATCAGGAAAAGACTGGATCACTGGAGGAGTGTAATGTTAATAAAGGGCTTTTTGAAAGTACTCTAATTCCATTTTTTTATATATATTATTGTTGTAGAAAACGATCAATGATCGTCTGCTATTGTACTCAGAATATGCTCTGAATGTTTTCATAACTGATGGCAGTCAGGGTCTGAGATTAGACGGCTGGTTGTTCTCGGGATTTTTCTTTTTCCACTGAGTTTTTAGACCAGAGCACATGGACATAGACACTGAAAGATGTGTCCGTTTGATGTGATGCTGCAGCTGAGGTTTCTCCTGAGGAACTGAGCTGAATGCTGGACTTCATCCAAGACGAGAGCCAGCTCTTCTCTCTGAAACGCAGGCCCTATTACCTCCTCTTCAAGGTTACCTGTCTGTCTATGGCCTTAGAGATCTCTTTCTGTATATGGTCTGTCCATTTCATTAGTCTTTCTTGTGAAATGAACAAAATGTTTATTCAACTCCCATTTGTTCTTTTCATCTAATGCTAAAAACGTGTCATATGAGGACTATGACAACATATGCAATGATGTTAGCAAAGGATGAACATTGATGGGAGAGACAACAGTGGTATTTTCTTTGTTTGTATTGGTACTGCTACAGCATTCCTCAGAGAACAACTCTGCCAACACTTAAAACTAAATGTTTGTCATTTCTGTAGCTGCTTTCTAGGCTTTCTTTACCTGCAAATTCTGGGGCAGGCGTGTCCTTTGGATTGTCGGTGTGTTATGCAGTTTCATAGCTGTTGATACATATCAAGTAAATGTTCTAGACTGTGTGTGAAGTGCTGTTGTGCGTGTGTGTGACTGTGAGAAAGAAATAGATCAATGCAGTAAAATTCAGAGTCAAAACTTTTTTTTTTTTCTGTTGTTATTTTTCCAGCTGCACAATATAGTCAGAAGCTTTGCCGACAATACTGGAGTGTCTTGGTGATGAGGCAGGGGTTCAAACCTTAGTCGTCTTAAACCAAGCCATATGTCACATGTTAAACTAAATATGCAAAATAAAAGTAATATTTCTAAATGTGAAGCTGTCGTTTTTTCTGAATCTGGTCAAATTGAAGTTATTGTGGATGTCATATGTGAGGAGTTGCCACTACAGCCTGAAGTTGCATGTGAGTAACATTTCTTCTTTACAAGAGGTAGAATGCCTGCTTGGCAGTAGAGCTGCTGAGTGTTAGTGTCTACAGTTTCTCGTCTCTTTGATCCCTTTAAAGTTCTGGCAAAATCTAAGCTCCAAACCCCACGACTCATAACCTCTGGTAAAGCTAACTGATGTACACTTTGTTTCATACAGTAACTGGCAACTTTTTCGAACTGGTTTCTCAGGTACCTGAAGAACAGATCATAGGTATTAGTTTGTTAGTGGCAGTAGTATCAGTCAGTCATTCAGTACAACCTCTTGCTTAAGTGTGTCGTTCTAAAAATGGCATTCTGCTTCTCAAAACATATGAGCCACTACCTTTTGTCCTTTATTATTTTTTACTTAATCATTACTCAGAATTTCCATCTCCTCTCTGACATCTGTGCCTTTCATGGGTTGTTTTTGCCCTCTTCTGGCCATAGATAGTAATTACAACTCTGTTCTTTTTTTCCAATTTTCCCATTGAATCCATGAAATGTACAAATGAAAAGCAAAAAAGAGCCAACCCTTATTTCATGTTTTTCTGTGTTTATTATCATTGAATGTTTTATTGAAACACCTTGTGCTCTCAATAAGGATCAAATAATAAAAGGAGACTCAATGTAAAGCTCGCACAGCTGATCTGCAGACCTACCATTGAAGTCTGGGATACAACATTAGCTTTGGATTGCGCTGGATCAGAACAAAAAAGCAGGTGGTTTATGTAAAGATGAATATCATAGCAAATAGCACAGTGAGGGGAGGAGTAATGATCATGTCTTAAAAATTGCTGACAAAATGAACATGGTTCATGGAAATTAAACAAAATAAGAAGTACTGTATCTGCAAACTTGATCACACACATACACACATATACACTCACTGGCAAACACACCCACACATACAGGCAGGCGCGCGCGCACACACACACACGCACACACACACACACACACACACACACACACACTCACTCTAGCGCACAAACTTGCACACAAACACAAAACCCATAGATAAAATGTAGTGATTGAAGATAATGAAAGCCTGGTGAAATCTAATGGTATCATACATCCACATCTTGTGTCTGAAGTGCAGGAAACAAAACTAAAGCTTGAGATAAATTCAGATGAATAATGAAAAGCATGCCCATCTTCACAGGTCTAACCCAACTTAAAAAGACCACAAGCCCAGTGTTGCCCTCTCTATCACACCCAAACCCCATCCCCACCCCTCCACTCCACCCGTTTATACCCTCTTAACCTTTGCTAGTCATACCCACATCTCTGCCTCACCCTCACCCATAGTCTACCCCACCCTAACACCTCCTTTCTAACACCCTCTCCCCTGTCTCTTAAGCTTGATTTAAGGGTTTCCACTCACTTCTGCTTAGCTTGGAGGAGGAAGCAGGCAAGGAGGGAGACATGAGACGGCTATTGGTTCAGGCTTTGGTCACCATTTATGAAAAAGAGAACACAAAAGACACAGTGTCCAGTTAGGATTACAAAATTAGGACTGTGGGGGACAGAGGAGTCTTGCTGTTTTTGAGGTTGAAGGTGGTGAACCTTAAAGACCCAAAGAATTTAGTTAAGTTTTAGTCTACGTGTGACTATCTGGGTTAAGTTGGTGTGATGATGTATGAAGGCATGGAGAAAGGGCAGCTGAGGTGGGGTCGGCGTAGTTCGGGGCCTTGTCCCTCATCTTTCGGCCCCAGTCAGAGCAGAGAGCTGGGGCAGGTTTATAGGGCTTGCGTCTTGAGCTCGATGGGCTCCCCACGGGTTTCCTGCTGGGTCTCACTCTCTGGGGGCCGACTGCCCTTCAGTGTGGCCAGGCGCTCAGACAGACCCCTCATGCGAGGGAACAGCATGAAGTCGTACAGGAGGGCACCCATGGCACCTCCTATCATAGGCCCCACCCAGTACACCTGCGGGCAAAAGGATTCCATTAGTCACCTCACATAAGGTTTTTGTTCTCCTAAGAGTGATTTAGGGTCTTACCCAGTGGTTGATAAAGTTTCTGAAGAGCACGGCCGGGGCAAAGGACCTGGCAGGGTTCATTCCAGCGCCAGTATAGTACATCTAAAAAACAAGACAGCCATTAATATATGACGAGGTACATTTCAGTGCATATGACTTTGACTGTGTCAAAGTTTTTCATATGTCTCACCCCCATGAGATGTCCAATGGTGACAGAAAAGCCAATGGAGAGGGCAGCAGATCCCAGACGACCGTTTCTTCTCTCATCCGTCACGGCGAAAATGCAGACAACGAGTTGCATGGTGAGGAAAACCTCCACAGTGGTGGCCATCCCCAGGCTGATGCCAGGCTGCAGCTGGAAACACAACCATGAAAAGGAATCATTTGCACAAATTGAACCAATAACTAATATAAGATCTCTGGTCTGCGAGCTGCAATAAAGCTGAACTGTCAATCCATGCCTGCTTACTTAGAGATGTATTCAATAATGAGAGGCAATTTTATCATTTTACTGAATCTGCTGTTAACTCTTACTTACATTTGAGCAAATACTTACAAAGGGAAAGATCTAATATTGAAACCTTTCCCCCACCAACATCTAATAATTGACACATGTTTGGTCCTTACCATGTTCATTGCCATGTTGCCTCTCATGTTGCCGGGTGTGACCCCGTACAGCACAGCAGCCCCAGCTACGGCACCCAGGCATTGGGCAAAAATGTAGAAAATGGCGCGGAAAAAAGACATCTGTGAGCCAACAAGGTAGGCAAAAGTGACAGCAGGGTTGATGTGGCCACCGCTGATGTGGCCGATGGACTGGATGAGGGTGGCAGCTGCCAGCCCGAAACACAGGGCCACATGGAGAACATGATGTGGCCCAGTGGTCCAGCGCAGGGCCGCACCCATGCCGAAAAATACGAAGAACATGGTCCCGAAAAACTCTGCAAAGACTGCCCGCCAAAAATTCATAGACCGGAACTCCCACATCATGACTGTTCACTTGAAGCTCCCCACCAGATGAAGATTTTTTTTTTCTTAATAAATCTGGGTGAGTCTGGAAAAGGTAAGCGTTTACCTTTTTGTAGTCCTCTTCAAATGGCAAAAAAAAACAAAAATGAGTTCCCTTTTTTGTTGTCAGTTACCTTGACAGAACAAGAATCCTCTCAGTAGATCTTTACCAAAGCGGGTACTGGGTTGATTAAGTCAACTCAGCTACGCTAGCTTGCCACCTCTCTCCACCTGTCGCACAGACATAGGTGTGAGATAAGGTGGGAGTGTGGCTGGAGATCTCAGGTGGGATGAGTTGTCAAGAGGATGTGGGCATCAACGTGAAAGGGGGAATCTGAAGTAGAGATGGGGATAGACAGATTGTCCAATGGACATTTAAGCCTCTCTGACGGAGGGAAGGGGGCCAAACAGGCGCTTTATAAAAGCCCCCCCAGGGGCCCCAGGTGACGCCATAATCCCCCTCTAGAACTCAGGGCGAAGAGGGGAGGGAGGGGGGATGGCAGAGCTACACATCCTAAATCAAACAAACTTAACCCCTCTCTCCCCCCCTCTGATAAGCGACACATTGTATCTGAGAGGGAAAATACATGATAAAGAGAGTTTTAGAAGCTTCTACAAATCATTTTAATGGGAAATGATGACATCTAGAGGTGTATTTATTTTCAGGATGTGCACAAATATTTTTCTTGGAGGTTTTCTTTTGGAGATGTGTTATCTGTTGACATATCGTAGCTGCCATGATTGGGGGGGAGGCACAAATGCTGATCGACAGGGACTGAAAGGACATGTATGCAAAATGGCACACACCAACACACATGCACGTATACACACATGCAGATAATACCACTGGGGCCCCAGACGGAAGTGCCCAAAGCTAACAGTGCTAACACTGAAATGCCTGACCCTGTGAAACCATTGTCTAAAACTAGCATGTGGGATTCATGTGCTCTGAGACGAGGCAAAAATACATGCACCCAATCTGAAATGATCCAGCTACTATCAAAGTAGCTGAATGAAGTTTCTTATTCTCTAACTGTCTGCAAAATCTGCCATTTTCAGATCAGGAAAAGTGGCCGCAGTCACTGCAGAAAGTGGAGTGGATTAGCAGTGCAGTGTGAACTTGACATCAACCCAGAGCTCGGTCTGCGCTGACCCTGCACCGCTGCCAGAAGAATGTTCCAGATAAAGAGAAATGTGGCTGATGTGTGCAAACGGGCAACAGGAGAGTGGAGGCAGTGAATGCAGAAGTGCTGCAGAAATCATAAGCAGCGTCCCAACATGAAAAAAACCATTACAGGTTATTGTGTTTTTCGGTTATGACAGTAGCTTCCAGGATGTTCCGCAATTTTAGTGTGTTGCAGTGGGGCAAATGAGCAAAGACCTGAATGTTCTGTATGTATTTGTGGCGGGCTGAGTAAAGGGAGAGGAGCAGGAGGACAGCGTGGATGCAGAGGAGGGGGCGATGATGGGGTTACTGAGCAGCACCGGGGCATCGCGCTGACAAGCCAAGAGCCAGTGTGTGTGTGTGTCTGCATGAGTGGAGTCGGGGATGATGAAAGCAGAACGCTGAGCTTGCCGTTTTAACTCCCTTTTATACATGTTAAAAAGGACACACACAATGCAAAATGCTGGCAGCACGGTGGCAGGTATAGCTGGTGTGTGTGTGTTGTGTGTGTGTGTGCGTGTGTGTGTGTGTGTGTGTGTGTGTGTGTGTGTGTGTGTGTGTGTGTGTGTGTGTGTGTGTGTGGGTGTGTGCGTGCATGTGTGTGTGCTTAGATTTATAAAAAACCTGAGAGCAATCTCTGAGCGAAATGACACCATTGGTCAGATTTTCATTACTAACAAAGCTTTATCTTGTGAGCTTTGTCATATAAATCGAGAAAAGGATGAATTTAACAATAGTTATCAATCTCAGCACAGGATTCATTTTAAAGGGTGTGTTTTACTTAATTCAAACGTGCAACAGTTCAATTAAGACAAACATAATTTAGGGCAAAAAATAACACTTTATGGTAGCAAATAGACACAGTTAAAGGTTTCATGAAAGCAGAATGTTTTGCCTATCACACACACCCACACACATTTATGATATCAATTTCAAACTACAAAGCTTAGTCCGACTGGAGGTGTTGTTTATGTAGAGCCATTAGAGAAGTATGATTGTCCATTTAATGCTGAATAGAAGATCTCAGAAAACAGATGAACTTGAGAGAGCTGTTGGACTCATTGAGAGCATCATTGAGCACAAAGAGCAGGTGAAGGACCTCCTTAGCATTTCAAAGCATTCACAAACACGAGATGCAGCTGGAACATGGGGGTGTTATTCATCAGGATTTCAATGGGTCTCTTTTACATATTATAATGATGTGTAAATGTGAAAGGGAATGCTGAACCTCATGATATCGGGCACAGCTTTAGAGACGGGGATGGCAGACTGAAGGGACCCCAGAGGTCACGTTTGCCAAAAATGTACCTTGCTAATTAATTTAAATGTTTAACCGGCTCACCGTTAACATTTTTAAAGGAAATATTTTTCAACATTTGTATAATGTAAGAAAATAGTAGTTTAAATTTGTTTAAATCACAGACAATACAGATTTTCAAAAACGTTTCCCATGTTTTCAGTGTTACTTCCTCTTGTAGTGTAACAGCCTTTCTATAATAATGCTGATACCCTTTTTCCCTCATTATGTGGCATATCTTTCACATGCCCCATTACAATGCTTGGTCAAGAATTGAAATTGTAACACAGCTTCCCCCTTTTTACAGACACTGTGTGTTACTCTGCATCTGTTCATGCATGTCCACTCAGTTGCTCTCTTGCTTGTTGCCCTGCTTGGCTCTTATGGCGTTCTGTGTGACTGTGGACAGCGATGATCCAGTCATGCTGGCTGCCTCAACAATATCGATGTCCTTACAGGTCAAACAGGCCACCAGTTTCTGTCGAGAGGCGCTGCGGGCAAAGATGAACTCACGGGACACTCCAGCCAGTAAAGCACCGAGTATCGGTCCGATCCAGTACACCTGAAAGGGTGGTGCAGTGTCATTTGTTGGTCAGAGACAAATAGTGAACATTACATCTATATCAGCTCGTGTGAAAAAAAAAGTAAAAAACCTGGTTTTGGCATCCAACATACATTAAAAAAGACAAACACCCTAACTTCAGGAGACTCTTGGGACAAGCCTGAAACACCTCTTTCTTTAGCTTGACAGCTTCCCAGAGCCGAAGTTCAACACTAAACATAAACGATTTCACTCTCACTGACAAAGTGAAACAACCGCAAAGCAACAGGTTTGGGATGTGAGTTAGATATGGGGAAAGGTTTCTCTCACCCAGTGGTTCTCCCAGAAGCCGGTGACGATGGCGGGACCCAGAGAGCGAGCTGGATTCATGCTGGCTCCAGAAAAACGCCCCTGGCACACAAATAACAGACAAAAATAGCAAAGCAGCACTTAATTCAAGTTTCACCTTTCGGCATGCACTATACATGAATAAAAATAAACTCTTTTCCATATTTTGTAAAAAAAAAAAAACATACAAAGACTAAAACAAAAAAAAACAAAATGTGACAGGTTTAATCTAACTTTTCATCTAATTTGTCTCTTTTGTTGGTATGTTTTCTACCACTTGAATGCAAAAACTACAAACGTTTTTCCCTCTTAATTGTACAATGTATGCAGTGCTCACTATCATAGCAAGGAGATGTGAAATAAATTGTTGTATAAATGCCCCTTGAAGCCAACAGGGCAGCAAGATTGAAAATAAGAAAAAGTCTGGTTGTCTTCCAACTCGAAGGACAGCTTGCTATTGTTAAACTTGGGGGGGGAAAAAATGGTCTTAATCAAGTCAAAGATAATCCTAACACTCTCACCCCTAGCAGGACTCCGGCAGTGTGGGCAAGTCCAATGGCGAGGTTTCCTGGTTCTAGGCTGTCCCTCCGTCGCTGGTCCTCCACTGAGAAAACAGTGAAGACCAGCTGGAAGGTGCACAAAACCTCAATACCGAGAGCCTGGACTGCATTCAGCTCAATGGGCACCTGAGTCAAGTTAAACCGGAGTTAGGAAGAAGGGGAAAAGTGCAATGAAGAACTTGAATACTTACATCTATATCCTAACCTTTTAGAAGAACCACACACGTATTCTGGGAGCTAACCTTGTTCACAAAGTGGTCTGCAGTGGATTTGAGGGGCAGGGCCAAGTAGAGGGCCCAGGCTCCTAAACAGGCCCCTAAACACTGAGCAGTGATGTAGACAGAGGCCCTGAGAACATCCAGCCTCCGTGTGGCCAACAGAGACAGAGTCAGAGCGGGGTTCACCTGATCACAAACACAAAACAAAGTATTTCATTGCTCGTCCTCTACCTCTGCACAAACAATTTATTTTATTCCACTCCATCAACAGCATTTAAACCTAGTAGTTTTTGGCTACATTTACAATTATACAAATTACTTTAATGCCCATACACATTTAGAAATTATTCAATTCTCAGAGGCCATTAACCCTAACCCTAATGCATAGAATTATGTATCATGTATCAAAGATTAGTGAAAAGGCAAAAAAGTAAAGAGCTTTTTCCACGTCCTGTTATGTGATTATTTGATTTGTTTGACGTCCTTGACCCTTGATATTCATATTGCCATATTTTAATGGAGACTGGAGATTGGGTGCTATTTCACTAAATTATGTTCTATCAACAAATTACCAACATTTACTAACATAAATTAGTAACATTTTAATTATTTGTATTGAATTAGTCCATTTGTTTTTGTTATCTTAATTTGCCTGCATTTTTTATTTTGCAGTAACTGTGGAGTTTATCATTTCTTTATCTAAAATAAGTGTCCCTTTACATAGTGCTTTTGTCTAATACCTTTTCCAAAGCTATTCTACCAATTCGTGACCAGAACCTCCATTTGGGTTGAATCAGTCAGAGGAAAAAAAACGTAACAGGTACCTATGGCAGTCACCTGTGTTCCACTTATATCTCCAAAACAGTGACACAGTGCAACGACTGTCACACCCACTGCCACCGCTGGGTACATGGGTCCCACAGAGGCCTCCCCGGGGCCCGGAACAGAGGCACCCAGCACGGCGCTCACCAGCAGAAGGGTGCCCAGCAGCTCTGCTATCATGGCATTCCAGAACTGCCGACTACGTAGCTCCTAGGAGGAAACGGAACAAACAGGGACGCAAACGAACGTGAAGACATCGTCCAAAAGAGGCTGTTTTTTTTATGAAGGGCTGATATAAAGGGAAGTTCTCATATGATGTGAGGAAAATATGTAATGATTTCAGATTAAGATCATTCAAAAGAAATGTAGTTTTCTTCAAAAGATTCAGATGCTGATGACTAATTTAGACTGACATAACTCTCTCAATGGAATCAATGCATGAGGAATCATTTTATGTTTGGAAAACAATTTCAATAAGCAAAGTTTACCATTGAATGTATTGGATATTAAGTTTTGGAGTCTTTAGACCAAAACAAGAAAAGGAAGTTTCTCAGTATTTTTCATTATTAAACTAAATCTGTTTTTGTATTTTGTTTTTTTTGTCATCAGAGACCAGATAAAAAATATCAATTATTTGCATTTCAGAGCCTTCATACACAAAAAATCTAAATAAGCAGTTTCACAAAATGATAAACATCTCATAATGCACAAAATTTATGATAAGAGAAATCATTATGGTCAAAATACATAGAGACATCCTCTCCTAAGGGTTACAGTTTTTCTAAGACAGTCATGACAGAATATGTTCAGTTTTCTATCTAAGTCATGATCTACTTGAAGTCAATCCATTAAAGGAAGATGCTCACCTCGCGCCACGTCATTTCAGATCTGATGAGTGTGTTGTCCTAAAGCGTCTTGTTTTTTCCCCTGGACTGTCGGGACATCTGTCTGCCCGTCCCTGAGTAGCTGCCGGGGGGCTTCAGGGTCTCATTAACATCTAGAGTCTGAGAGCCCCTTTGATGGTAACAGCCTCCTCCCTCTCACCTTCTCTCCTCCTCCTCTCCTTCTTCCTACACTCCAGGCCCCCCTGACTCTTCCTGCATAAACACAGAGCACAGATTTCCCTACAGGTTGCATATGTGACATGCTGACTTTCAAATTCCTGCCAACAGCGGCCATCAACCTTCAGATAACTGCGAGGGAGATTTGATTTAATCTTCACAATCTTACATGTGAAATGTCCATTTCAATCAAGTCCACTGCCAGTTGAAACATGCAATTAGGACACAATGACTGTAATAAGTAGATTGAGAGCGGATGGAAATAACGGTAACAGTGAGGACATAAAAAATATAAATATATATATAAAATAACGTCAGTCGGTAAGAATTGTCCCCATTTTCGATCTCAATTGTTAATATAAAAAACAGAATTTCAAGGTCAAAAGAAGTCTTATCATCTAAAAAGAGAGGCTGGAGAAAGTTAGTTTTTTCTATAACATTACTCTGCTCTTTTAATTGGTAATCAAACACATGTGATAACTTTATTGTGATAACTTGCATATAGCATAGCCACATGTCAGCATGCTACCGCATTTCTGTGCTTTAATAAGAGCAATATGAACAGCATGGCAGTATTGGCCCTACTCTGATATTTATTTCCTTGGCAGAAGGAGGATTGGCCGAGTGCAACAAACAGGGCATTTAAGAAAACAAATAACAGTTTTTTCGGTCCTTTAGTGGTATTTCTTCTCTTTGAGTATACGCCGTATTTAGACTTTAAAAAAAGGAAACTTTGCATTCAATGTTGTACCCTAATAGCCCAACATAAAAGTGTGTGTTCTCTTTTTTTCCCCCATCTACAATGTGGGTGGGTCCAAAACACCTCATGGACATCACTGCTGCTCTGCCTAATTTTCATATCAATTGTATGAAAAAAGGCCTCATCAGAAAGCAGAGATGGAAAGAGGCTATTGTTTGCTTGGAAATATTTTTTACAGCTACATACACACAAATGCAAATGTCATTCTGGCCGGTGATATAACCATGGGTTTTTTTTTTAGTACACTTTTAAAGGTAGACAAACACCCTGGATTTGTAGCAAGATGAACTGAAATTTAATTTATTCAGCTTTGTTTGGTAAAAAGCTTGTGACAATGTCAGATGATAATCTTAAGTATAACGCCTGGAAAGCATCCTTTTCTTTAATCTCTCCTTTACAAACCACTCCTGAAGCACCTCTGATCACCATGGGGACAAACCCTTTCATGATGCTGTTGCCATAGAACCTCGTGAGACGCTGCGCTCATGCACGCTTTTCATTTTCACTTTTTGATATCCACGTGCACAAAAACCGTCGCGGCAACGCTCCTCTTTCGTTTGACGGCAGGTGACATGATGTTTCTGGTGGTGGGGGAAATGTTTAGGGTCTGGACTGATCTTCCTGACCTTTGGGGCATTAGGGGCCCTCGCCCTGGCAGAGTGCGTCCAGAATGAACTGGTTGCTGTGCTCCATTATGCTGCGGATTACCCCCTTCTCACCACGGCAACTGTGTAGCTGTTATCCCTTCTTTTGTAAGGATAAGCCCAAATGTGTGGCACAGGCCAGGCGGGGAGAGGGCCACTGGAACCCGCTGGCGTGGGGAGTTTTGAACCCCTCCCTCCCAGAGTGCTGACACAGGCACTATTTTACACACACAGCCTGACAAAGTGCAAGCTAAGGGGTTTAAGACAGTGAGAGGGTAAAGGGAAAGTATTAGATGCACTGACAAAGTACAGACATTTTAGATATTTAAATCTGTGCACGTGCATTTGTTTTTTTATATCCTTTATATAAGCTCTGGCATAGTGGAGCAGCTGGGGGTGACAGAAAGACGTTTCCAGCAGCATGTGCTTTGGACAAGACTCTACAGGGAGCGGCCGCTACCCAACACTGCAACAGATCTCTGCTATTACAACTCTTTCTGACTTGCTCTTAAACGTCTGCGAGCACAAGTTATTTAGATTTCCGAGGCATTTGCAAACCAGGATAATGTTTCGAATTGACGGGAGCACCTGAGAACGACACTACATTTGGAACGAAGCCCTCAAGCGAAAAAGGCAGGACCTGGAAATGAACCCAAGAAGAAGCATACTACTGGAAGACAAATACTCTCTACAAGATGTGTTTTTATTCAACTCACAGTACATTCTACAGATGCACACTTGTTACATCACCTTAATACAACAGAGTCTTGTAATACCTCCTCTTAAAAATGATGAATTGGTCCTAAAAATATAAAGGAACAGATTTAAAGTCACCAAAACTGTACATTATTAAAAATTCACTTAACACCACATTTGGTTTTTGTCTTTTTTATCCTTTTTTTTTTTTTTTGAAGAAAAACAAAAAAAAAACCTTGTCCCTTTACCTGTCATAAGGAACTTTGAAGTTTACGTCCTATTGGTGGATTTGCGTTCAGTGTAAGAAAAAATGTTTAAATAAAATCCCAACTGTGGAGTCAAACTGTCGCCTTCATAGCACACTAACCATGCCGTGCAAATGTTGTACATTGGCCCTTGTAAAGAATAAAAATAAAAAATAAAAAAACGCTAAAAAGGAATGCAAGACAGGAAACCGGGCAGGAATGTGCCCAGCGCTTTAACAACAATTCATCTGCAATGCTAACCTTTAAAATAAGATATTTTCGGTCTACTGTAGCCACTTTTATGGTTTTCATCTGGTCAGAAGAGCCATCGACATAAGATCGAGCTTTAAACATTTGGCTGCAGACTTTATGGTGTCAGACAAGCACAAATGTTCAAATTGCTCGTGAACCACAACTACAGCGTGAGAGCAAACCTTCAGCGCACGTCCAATCAAACGAGAATATCTACAGGTGCTTAAAACTAAACAAGCGACCTTTTGGTTTTGGACAATTCGGGTGGAATTGGCTGAATATTTGCTCTTCACAGGCAAACGAACGGTGAGATCCAAGTCTGAGGCCGACCAACGCAAAAACTAAAAATCCTCCAGTATCTGAAACCAGTGTCGTTCACACAGCAGCAGAGGGTGGGTTGTTGTGTGAGGTTGTGTGCAAAAATCGTGTGTATACTTGTATGTGCATTGGTGAAAAGTGTGTTAAATGTAAGTGTAAGTGGAGGTTATACATCTACTCGTGGCAATCTAACAACAGATTTGTTTTAGTTTGACTGGCCTTCTCATAAATTGTCTAAACATCTCTATAAGGTAATCTGTACACATTCACTACAAGCTATTGCTATTAAATAATCCCAGCTATTGTAATCTTTATATATATTTATATATATAGAATATATAATAAAAATATATTGAGCCAAAAAATTACTTCTAGGCATAAGACCACATTACATTACGTTTCCAATGAACAGGTACTAAACGGCCCGAGCTGGGTGAGGAGTTTTGATCTGGTTGGTTGCGGAGCAGTGCTGAGCAGGTCCAGTCTGCAGCGGCCGGCTGCAGTAGTGTGATCCGTCCCTGACCTTCAGTGTGTCAGAGCTAAAATACTCGGGGCCTGAGGCCGTGTCGGCAGCCCACAGCGGGTGTTCACTAAAGGCTGCGCTGTGACACGGGGCAAATGATAGGACATGACAGGAGAATGCAAACAGGAGACAAGGTGCTGAGGCAGAGATGACGAGACATGAGAAGTGGAGGGTGGAAAGGAACATGTTCTTACTCTGAAGAGGAATGGGTACAAGTTCAAGCCACTTCAGCTGTGGGCCTTTTAGAAAATATTCGGCCTTTAGAGGAAACAATAACAGACAAAGAGCCAGAGTCTATACATATATACCTATACAAGAGATAATACACACAGCTGGAACAAGCTCCCGGCAGTCTTAGCAGAAAGGGAGAGTGTGACTGGGACAGTGACAGCACCAACGGTCTACAGCCCCACCATCAGGGCAGTCGTTGCACGCTTCTATTTGTCCTTGTCCGAGTAGAACTCCGCCCAGCGGCTCTCGAAGAAGCGCCTCATCGAGTGTCCCGCCATCCCCACCTCTGACGTGTCCTCGTTGAAGAGCTCGCAGTTGTTGAAGACCAGCTGGGCGTCGGCTGCAAACTCCTCACAGCTGCAGTAGCTGAGAGGAGGAAACGCAGGAGGGATCAAGTTAGACGCCTCAAGAAAGGGGCTAATTATTAGCAAGCACATCTGGGATGCAAAGAGACGGGGAAGGAATGTTTCATGTGGAAGGGCAGCCCACATAGCTCTTTCCTTCTGTTTCTTACTTGTGTTGGGAACAAATAAGGAGCATTAAATATACAGATAGTGTGCCCTGTTTTCACATGACTTAAGCTCTAAAGAAGCCATGAAACATTTTAAATGAATGTACATTTAAAAAAACAAAAAACGAAAGAATTCAGAGAAACGAAGAGGCTCTTACGCTCCCTGCAGCAGCCTCTCTCTCATGGTGAGGAAGTCCATGGGGTTCTTGATGATTCGGCGGTAGCCCGGCACCAGTCGGGGGTTGACCGGTTCGAGGAAAGGCCAGGCGTCTGCGTGAGCCTCCATTTCCATCAGAATGATCCTGGCAGGAAGTTAGAAAACGAGGTTACACACTTTCAATCTTAAATACTGACACCGAAGACTAAACCTCTGACACGAGTTCAGCGATGCACTCACTCGCAGAAGGTGAGGTCGGGCTGGTTGCGTGTCGTCATGCGGCGCCTCTTGCTGCTGCTGCTGCTGCTGCCGCCACTGCCGCCGCCGCCACTCGCGGCGCCTCCTTCTCCGGAGTAACGGGAAGATGAGGGAGGTGCTGCCTCCTTGTGGCGTGTGGTCATGCCGCCGCTGCTGCGCCGCAGCGCCGTCTCGTCCTCCGAGCTCTCGTCCTCATACCTCCTCTTTTTCACTCTGCTGCGCGTTTTGGACAGCCGCTGGGACTCGCCTTCCGCCTGCAGAGAGACGCACACCGAGCCAATGAGATGACTAGAAAAAAACACTTCTGGCTCAGAGAGACAGTCCCGAGCTCAGATCTGCCAAATTCTCAAGGCTCGTGTTGTGGGCTCTGACCGTAGAGACACAGGTTGGACAAAACCAGTCTCCCTCCGGGACCTGGGTGATTTTGGGCCTCAGGCAGTACATGTGGCAGCCCCGATCACAGCTGTCACACAGCAGCAGGCACTCGTCGTTGTCCCCCTTTCTGCAAACCTGGCAAGTCTGCGACCATCACAGAAGTAACACAGTCAGACCAGAGCTAGCGCAGACGTGCTGGCTTCCCGCATTAATCCAACACAGAGCAGAGGAATGACACGTGAGCAGTTAGCTGTGAGGCTCCTCACCACTTTAGTGACCGATCTCTCCCAAGCTATGGCCTTTTCCAGCTGAAGTAAACACAGGCAGAGCTGGGGGGCGCTGCGGCAGCGGTCTAAAGCCTGCCGCCACGTCCGCATGCGGGAGGTGATTTCACTCTCCAGGCTGGAACGTAAACACACACAAAAAACATGTAAAAAAAACATTCCGAAAAGTGAACCATAAGAACAAAAATTAATCCTCTTTAGAGTGAGCCTCAGGCTGTGGTCACCTGATGACGTCCATGGGGTGCTCCTCTCCGGGGGTGGGGGTTAGGGGAGCCAGGCGCATCACTTCGGCGGGGTTCCACAACGGCTCCTTCAGGTATCGCCGCTCGATGTTTCTCTCCAGGTTGGCCAGCCGCAGCACGGCCAGGTCCAGCGGGTGCGTGGCGATGCGGGGCAGGCCCGACCACTCCTTCTTTGTCCGCACGATCCAGTCGTCGCGTGGGTCCACGTCGTGCTCGTAGTACAGAAGGTCTTCGCGCGTGGAGTCTGGGTCTGGGATGGTGTAGGGCTGCAAGAGGACAAGCATGTGAGGCACAGCTTAGGAGGCAGACGCTCCCATCTCATAAACCACCTCAGGGATTACCTGAAACTCAGCCAGCGGCGTCTCCGTGTTTGTCTCAGCGTCATTCACCGCACTCTGAGGCGGCGCCTTGCAGAAAACACAGAACATTTGTTTGACTACTTTATACTCATATAGATTCCACTGAAATGAAAATACACCTTATAGACAGCTTAACTGACTTTCCAAACTTGAAAATGGCGTCATTCCTGGCCCTCACCTTCAGATGCAGGTCGGCGCCGATGACCCGCTGCTCCAGGTCCTCCACCCACTGCAGGGCGCTGACGTCCGCCTCCATCGCCTTCTCCTGCACCAGCCAGGGCTGCTGCAGAGCCTCCAGCAGGACGTCTTTCTCCTCCACCTTCGACTCAAATATTGGGTCTAGTCGGACAGGACAGATCCATTTTTTAAAAATATATCTAAATCTAAACTGGTATAGAATGGTTATGAATGGGCACAAAATGGATAAGTTACTTAATAATAATAATAAGAGTGCTCACCGCTGATAGGTTTGGTGCACATCTCAGCGAGGCTCTCCATGTGTTTGGCCAAATGCTTATGGAGCACCTTCTCCCTGATGCCTCTTGGGTGGAGGGCCTGTAAGATGCTGTACAGTTCCTCTGGGTCCTTAATCCACCACCAGCCGCGCACCATCGCTGGAGAGAACAAAACATTATTATTATAGAAAAGAGATGACATGAACACATCAAAGAGAAAAAAAGAAAAGCAGAAGGTCTAAATAATCTACTGCAGTCAGATGATTTTTTAAAGAAAAACCAGGGAGTGCAACTTTTGATGACTACTCACATGCCGGTATGGGTTTGACCACCAGCTGTGTGAAGTACTGCTGCTCCAGTTCCTGGAACACGGAGTTGGGCGGGCGGCCACGGCGTTTGGCCGCAGCTCCTCTGGGCCCCCGCCGGGCGGGACTGCTGCCTCTGCTGCCTCGCCTCCGCCTGCGGGCCGGCCTGACCGGTGTGGCGGGAGCGGCTGGGGGTGGGGGAGCCACGGGAGCAGGCAAAAGCTCAGGAATTGTCGGTGGAGAGCTGGCGGGGGCGGCGTGGTCAGCGGAGGCCGTCCCGTCCTGTGGCGCCGCCAGCACTGCGGGGTCAGCCGGGGCCAGGCAAGGCAACGGTGGATCCGGCTGAAATGTGGAAGGACATACATTTCATATGGACTGGAAGCAAATTGCGCCAGCAACACATTGAATTTTATGGTTCCTTAGCTAACCTGTATGAGTGGAGCGTTAGCAGGAGGTGGAGTGCTCGGGATCTGTGGGAGGAGCTTAGGCGGCGAGCGGGGAGACGTAGGGGCCTGGGGCTCAGTCAGAGAGTTGTCGTCACAGGGTTGTTTGGGGAGGAGGTTGAACCACTGTCCTTGCTTCTCTGCCATCTCCTTCACGCTCTCCTCCGGCTGGTTGCCATCTGGCGCGTCGCCCGCCGCCGAGCAGGCGCCGTTGGTCACGGCCTCCTGCGACTGGCTCAGCCAGCTCTGGAAGGCCGCCTGGGTGAGGTCCTGTACGCAGCTGTTGGGCGACCCCGGCCCGTCTTCCCCGGCAGACCTGACGCTGCTGCGGCGCCGGCGGCGGATCTTTGCCGTGCGTAGGTGAAGCTCCACCTCGGGCTTGATTTTCCGGGGCCGTCCGCGGCCTCTCTGCGTGCTCATGAGCGAAGCAGTCCCAGGGAGGGGGTCCTCGTCCGGAGAGAGGGGCTGGGCCTGACCTGGGGTGGTGGACGACGGAGACGATGGTAGAGGGGGAGGAGGAGGAGGAGTGGTCGGCATGGGAACCTCCTCAACCTTGGGTTCCTTTTTAAGGAAGGTCACAGGCACCTCAGCAACAAGGACATCTCCTGAAGCTGTCACATCCAGAAAGAGTACATTTAAGATAACAATCACAATAATAAGGATCCTGCACACAAAAAATAAATAATAATAATAATAATCTGTCTCAGGCTCACTTAGCAATTCTTCAGGCCCCTCAACCAGAATTCCTCCCAGGTGAGGTAGGGCTAGGTATCTGCGCCTGAAACGGTCCTGACCCAGCATCACGGCCCGCATGGAATTAGACGACTGGAACAGCTTTTTCCGGAAAAACACTTGGCGCTGCAGGACAAACAAAAAAACATTCAAAATAAAGAAAATAAAACTTGTAAAACTCAAATGTCTAAGTGGTATCGGGCTTACCTTGGTTAGCTTATCTATCTGTCTTTCAAGCTCTGGAATGCTGGCATTGGAAGGGCTCTCGCTCTGCAGCAGAAGAGGAAAACATTTGCATTTGAACTGATCCGAATGACGTCACACAGCGAATCTGGAGCAGATACGCACGTCGCTGAGTTTGGGCTCTTCCTTGCGCGTGCGTCGGCTTCCTCTCTCCAAAACGACTCCGCTCTCCTCCAAGCTGAGGGTCTCCTCCTCCGCCACTCTGGCGCTGCGCCTCCTCTCCTCAAAGCACAGCTCCTCCTCCGAGCGCCCCGTGCGACGTGCCAGCGCCGCCTTCAGTCTGAAAGGGAGAACGTGGTGAGCGTGATGGCTTTAACGGACAAGTGGGAAAAAATATACTCTTTTGCATTTGTTGGATAGAGAAAAAAAAGAAAAAAAACATGGCCATACTTGCGCAGTTTCCCCTCAATGATCCACTTATTCTTCCGATAGGTTGCCATGTTTTCCAACGTGTTGTCGATGTCACTAAAATCCAGAACCGCAAAATGAATGTGTGGGACAGGGATAAATCTTTTGATGCGAGGGCAGTTTGTCCGCTCCGTCTCACCTCGTCACGATGTTGCTGCCGTTGAGCTCATCGACCAGGAAACCCAGGATGGCTGCCTTGGTGTCGGGAGGCAGCGAGTGAAAGGTTTTGGTCCTCAGCGTGTTGCAGACCTCGGTCTCATACCCGTGAGATTCCAAGAAGATGCGAACCACCTCTGAGACCGTGCTACGGGTCAGTTCCAACTCAACCAGCTTGTCCCCAAGAATCTTTACCGACTGTAAGGTGAGAGAGAAAAATGGCGATTTAAAGGGAGAGAATTCATTAGGAAGAGCCGCTTTATGGGAGGGAACTGCACGCACCTGATAATAGGATGGCAGGCCTGGATCGTGCAGTGCTGCCTCCATCAGCTTTATCAGCAGGTCCTGGATCTCTCCTTGGCTGTCGCCCAGGCCTAACAGCCCCTCCTGCAGGGTGGCGAGGCTGGGGATGTCCTTAGGCACATTGAGACCGATCACCTTTCCGTAGGCATGCAGGAACTCCACCACATCCAGGCAGTGCGCAAACGCTGTCCCAGAAAGAACCACTCCGGGAATGTGGGAGAGCTCTGGAAGAGGCTGGCGGAAGCAAGGTTCAAAAGTTTAGACTTTGTTTTTTTAGACTTCTTGAAAACAGAAAGTGTTCTGGCAAATGCTTGACTGAAGGCTCACTTTGTGATCAGTGAGACACATGTCCTCTGTGGGCTTCTTCAGCTCCTCTGCGATCAGTTGCTGCCTCTTCCGCTCCTCCAGGCGCTTCTGGGCCTGAGCTCTCCGCTCTGAAGCCCTTTTAGCCGCCAGAGCAGCATTGGCTGCTGCCTCGGCCTCTGCCTGGGCTTTAGCCAGGGCCTTGGCCTTGCTGCGGGCGCTCTGCGCTCTATTGCCCGGGGGCCTTTCCCCGGTTGCCTGCTGCACAGGTGTGGCGGCATCCGCCTTCACCGACCTCCTGCGGCCGGGCTTTTTGGGCTCCGACTCTAAAGCTGTGGGCTGGGGGGCTGCAGGGTCTGTGGTCTCTGACTTTCCCTCCAGGAGTTTTGCGTCCTGCTCCAGCTGAAAAAAAACAGAGAAAGGAGACTAGGTTAAGTTAAGGCAGACTAAATGATGTGGACTGGGATATCAACAGCTCAACTTTAACTGTACCTTGGCTTTCTTCTTTTCCTCTTTCATCTTCTTGACCTTTGCATCCTCCCTTCTCTTCATTCGTGCCTGTGAGAAGAGCAACGGCAGACATCAGGCTGAGATGTAAACAGAGGATTGGGTTAACACCATGACCACTTTGCAATACGTACCTTTCTTTTCATTTTCTTTTTGATTTTTGCCAATTTCTCCTTTTCCTCCTCTGTAAGAGCCTCTATAAATAAAAAACAAAACAGAACACAGGAAAATGTCAGAATGTTTGCAGTAGGTGAGCCAGAAATTCACATGACTGACAGATTTTACTTTACCCTTGGCTTCAAGTCGCTTCAGCAGCTTGGCATCAACTTTGCTGAGGAGGTCGACCATTTTTAATTTAGGGGGTCGACCGGGGCGGCGGGCCTGTGGTCCCCTCAGGCCACGAACCCTGCGAGGTTTCTCTTTATCGGGGTTCGGTGGTCGCCCACGCCTGCCAGTGATGGCCATTATCATAGAGGGGACTTCCTCATTGGCCAAAAGGACCCACTTCTTGCCCTGTGATACATTGGAGGCAGGGACGAAAACTTCAGGCCACGGTTCCAGGTAATTTGTAAGGTTTTGAGCCACATCCTTCACTTTAAAACATACCTCTGACGTTTCTCTCTCTTCAAAAAAGTCTCCGACGGGCATGCGTGGGCTGAAGCTGAAGTGCTCTCTGGTGACCACACTGTCCGTGTGTCTCTTCAGGTACTGGGAGACATTTAAATTAGGGGATGGCAGAATGAAGAGGGAAAAAAAAGGCAGTGTTATAAGCAATACCTGATCAACTAGACCAAAATCAGTGTCCACGATATAACAAGATGTTTTAGTGTTTAAAACGAATGGGACTTTACCTTGATTATTTCTGGAAACTGCTTCATCCTCCTTCCACAAGGAGTGTAATACCAGGTTTCACCCTTCATGCGGTTCTCCATTTTCTTCACACGAATCTCTCTCTTCCAACTACAAATAGGGAAAACATTTTTATTGATTCGATCTTTCATAATTTCCTGTTTTAAAGAAACCCACGATGAAAAGGACGGTTACCCGTGCACCAGAGGGAACTGGACCTGCTCTTCTGTTGCAACCCTTCTTCTGGTCGACTCTCCTGCAGCAGAAAAGGAAGGCAGGCAGGATCAGAACTGCACGCTGTGAAAAATGCCAACGCAGCCCACACCCTGAGCCGCTTCATTACCCGCGGTGGAGCTGTCGTCGTCGTTTTCATCCACCTCAGCGGACGCGTCGGCTTCCCGTTTCTGCCCGCTCCCGTCCGGTTCTTGTTTTCTGGCCCGTTTGGCCTTCTTGGGTTTCAGGGCGGCTGCGCTGAGAGCGGCGGCGTTGGCCAGAACCGCTTCAATCGCGGCGGTTATTGGATCGACCTCTTGGGTGAGCGGCCCCGTCTCCCCCGACGCGTCTGGCGTCTCTTTGACGTCCGCCTTGAGAACCTTCTTCCTATTCCTACCCCTCGCTCCTTGTTTGGCGGCTGCAGCTTCACCAGTCTTCACCTCCGCTTTTGGAGTTCGCACCCGAGGCTTCCGCTGTCGCTCCACTGGTACTTAAAAGGGCGAGAGGACCAAATTTAAGGCAATATTCTCACTAGGCTACAAAGTGACTGAATCCAGAATGTTACCTACCCGGGGTTTTAACCGCCGTTGCCTTGGGAGTTCGAGGCCTGCGTGTTTTCCCTGTGGCTCTCTGGGGGCCTGCGGCGGCCGGCCCCGTCTGCTCAGCTACCGGCTGGAGTGGGTGTACAGCAGGGCTCTCCACTGGGGTGCTGAAAGTGATGAAGTTCTCCTCTCGCATCCTAAAACCCGGGGGTGTGGCTGCCTCGTCAGATGTGCTCTTTTTGTGCCCGGCCGAGTCTGGTGCGTCGTGTCCTTTTGGCTCCGACTGTGCTTCGGGGTCTGAGGAGGAAGGGAGGTGGACTGAGTCAGCAGAGTGCAGACAAGTCGTCTTACAGAAAACCCTCTCTATTAGCAGTTATGTATAGTCATAATTTAAACCATCAAACATTATTTTCAATAGAATGTAATAGAGCCAGTAGTTAGAAATGAATCGAAGCACCTTGAACAGCTGGCTCAGAGCAGACAGATGAGGGCAAGTTGGATAAATTGGAGTCGGCAGGGGGCTCTTCTATCTGAGAAGTGTTGGTCAAAGAGGACCCCAGCATGGATTCTCCTGTCATTTGGAAGCTGCTTGTCCTGTCCACCTCAGAGGTTTCTTCTTCCCTGGTTGAGTTCCTGGTGTCATCTCCGGAGTCTCCCTCAGAAAAGCTGCTGTTTCTGGTGTTGCTGTTAAAGGTGGACTGCTCCGGGTTCGGACTGGACTGGCTTTCAAAATGAGAGCTGTTCTCTCTCATGGACAAGCTGTGGTCAAAGTGAGTGGAGTCACCCAAGCATGAGCTGTCGCCATCTAAAAGAGAAGTCGTCTCCAAGACAGAGCTGACATTGATTCCAGAGGGGGTGTCGCACGTTGATTCGCCATCATAATGAGAGGCTGTGTGAGAAGAATTATCAAAACTTTGTTCTTCGGCCAGATGCTGCACCCTTGTGCTGTTAAGCTGTGGGGACTTCCCCAGCAGAGATGCCTCCAGCTCCGAGTCTCCGTCCTCCGATCCGACATCGCTTTGCTCGCGCCGCTTCTCCACTTCCGCTCGTTTATTCTTGAGATTTTCATAAGAAGCGCCGCCGCTCTGGGGGGACTGTCCTGGGAGATCGGCGAGGGATCTTTTGGGGCTGACACCTGTCTTTTTCGTCTCGTTCGCTTCCACTAGCGGCGTCACGTTTGATCCCGGATCGAAATGCGGCGGGAATTCTTCTTCTTCTCCATTTGTTTTACCTGGCGTTTCGTTGTCGTCGTCGCTGGAACCGTGGCGGTCGAACTCAGGAGACGGTTGCGTCGCCGGAGGTGGACTGGTGGTGCTTGAAGGATGCTGCTCAGAGCTGGAGCCACGCACCGCTCTGGAGGCCGTACCCGCTGCAGGAGGCACAGACACAGAGGCAGGAGGGGAGGACACGGGTGCAGTCCTGGAGGCTTGAGTGGTAAGAAGAGGTAGGGTAAACAGAGGTCTGGCTGTGGGGCTGTCTTGGACCTCTGGGGAGGCTGAACTCACCCCTCCCGCAGAAGCAGAAGAAAGACCCGCGTCAACAGCTGGAAGAGTGTATGTCCGACCCTGGGGTGTGGGTGCTGAGTCACAAAGGTTGCTGCCGCCTGGAGGAGTTTGTGGTGAAGGAGATGCAGGCGTTGTCAAACAAGACCCCGGCGAGGCTGAAGCTCTAAGTGCTGACGTCTGAGACTGAGCCACACTGGAAGAGGAGGAATTTACAGTCCCGGGCGGAGGAGCAGATATCAGCTTCGGGGGGGCTGGTGTCTCCTGCTGACCTCCAGATGCATGGGAGGCACAGGTTGTCAGAGACGGCTTGGACCCGTGAATCGTCTGCATCTCCGGAGGTGAGGCGGAGGCAGAGTGAGGAGCAGTGGGGGCGACAGGGAGAGGGGAAACGGTTGCAGAAGGTACAGACTTTGTGTGATGGAGCAAAGACTCTGATGAAGAGGAGGCCGGGGGTCCTGAAGACCCTGCTCCAGGTCTAGTCACACCCTCGGTCGAACCAAAAGGAGCAGGCACCTTTGAAGGTGAGGCGGGCAGGGGGGACAAAGATCCATCCGACAGCCGCTTGGATCCCACGGGGGACACCTCAGCTGCACCGCAGATGGGAGTCCTGAGGCCGTGCACCATCAGGGGGGGCGAGGAGAGTCTGGAGGAGGCCACCGCAGATGGACTAAAGGACGCTCTAGGAGGTGTGGACATTTGCAGGGGAGCAGATTCTGACAAAACCAAAGAGGGTCCGGGGGCAGAGGAGACTTGCGGTGGTGCTGGGGCCTTGGTCAGAAGGACCGACGCTCCTGGGTTTGATGCAGAGAGCGGGGACGACCCACACCGACGATGAAGAGGAGGAGGAGGGTATACAACTGGATCTCTGACGGGGGAGGTCATTTCGGCTGGCTGGTCTGAATGGTGAGGGTATTCACTTTGAGGACCCGCGTGAGCCGCGGAAGGTTTGGGGTGGAAGATGTCCGTCTTAGGTGGCCTGTGGGAAACGGGGCCTCTTTCGTTGTTTTTATAGTTTGCATCCAGGTCCTTCACAGCCTCTCTCGGATGCCCTAAAAGAAAATACAAAAAAACAAACATATTGTTTACAGTGAAAATGAATTGTTCAGAATGTGTACACTATGTAGCAGTTTAGTCAAACAGCAGCACCTGCTGGTGACATCCTAAAACTATCACAGCAACCCCGGTGTCAGCTGAGGCAGTCCTGCAGGTTTTGGACGCTTCTGCTTTTAAACTCATAATTCTGATTCAATGGGCCTCTTCAAAACATCCTTAAGGACCTCACAGGTCCCCTAATGGGAGGCTGGTGTGAGTGAGGTGTGCTGAACCAGGGAAACGCCTATAGGACAGCAGCCCTTGAGGACTGGCGTTTGGCACCTGTGACCTCAGGGGTTTGAATTTGTCACACCACCTTGAGCAGAAGCAACATGAAAACAATAGCCGCAAAAGTGCTCAATGGGGAAAGCTGTGCCAAACACGGTGGAGCAGGAATAAAACCACATGACGAGCATGACTGGCACTGAAAGGAGGAAGCGGAATGCTGGCCAGGGAGGGGGAGGGGGGGGCCTTCAATATCAAAATGTAGAACTGACTAACTTCAGCCTCCAGCCATAACAGCAATGGTTGATTTGTTTATATTTTCTAAACTGGAAAAGCGGAGAGAAATCAGTGACAAATTAAAAGGGTGGGGAGGGTAGGGGGCAGGAGTACCTCTTCCTGGAGAAGACATTCCCACATTGCTGGCGTGGGGGCTCCGCTCCCTGCTGTGGCCCTTGGGTGATCCGTTATCCTGAACGGCTGACGGCGAATGAATAATTGGCGTTGATGGCATCCCCACTGGGAGGGGGCTGCCGGAGCTCCCTCGGCCCAGAGCGTGGTGCTGCGGGCTGCCGCGCGGAGGAGTGAAATTCTGGGCAGCTGGGGACATCATCTGAGCCTGGCCTTGAGGCTGGGCCTGCTGTGGCGGCGGCGGCTGAGGAGAGGACAGGGAGGGGTGCTGGGGCTGATGCTGGTAGTAGGGCATCCCGTTGGGCATCACGCCATAATGCTGCGGCTGCTGGTGCTGCTGGTGGTGATGGTGTGGCTGACGGTGGGAGTGCAGGTGCTGCTGAGAGGGCTGATGCGCAGGCTGCTGTAAGGGCTGCTGCTGGTGATGCTGTGACGGTGTAATCCCGGGATGAGCCTGACTCTGGTAGGTCCCGTACATGCTGTGGGAGTTGTAACCCATCTGCTGCGGGCCGGGGTTATTCCGGTTCCAGTACTGACTCCCAGTTAGAGGAATGTTTGCAGGTCCTGCGACGGGCGGCTGGTGGGAGCTTTCGACCCCCCCGTTCAGTTGGTACTGTCCGTGACCCTGGAAGTGGTGCTGCGACTGCGGCAGCACCATCCCCGGGGCAGGCTGCTTCTGGAGCATCCCGTGCCCAGAGGAGGTGCCCATGCCCGGGCCGTACTGAGGGTGTCCGCCCCACAGGTAGTCGTAGCCCATGCTGCTCTGGTGCCGGCTGCTCATGTGTGGATAAGGAGCTGATGGTGGGTGGGAACCAGACCCACTGGACCCAAGTACAGTAGTGACGCCATTCACATTCATTTCGCCATTCATATCTGTTTGAACAGGGACAAAAGCAAAGCATTAACTTTACTCTCTGAAATAAGCAATAGGGAGAGGACAGTCCAGCCTCTCTAGAATCTAGTTTAATTTCATTCTATTTAACATTCGGATTTTAGGACAAATAACATCTGTGCACAAACATAAATGGGGCTTCACAAAGCCTGTCAAAGGTGCAGATATCGTTTCAGTCATTTTAAGCACCATCTGATTTTATTTATTTAAAATCTAGACAATTTTCTTAGAAACTGTTCCCTTCCTGTTCGTTGTCCATCTTTTTTCTGACATTCTGTAGGTGAACCTAAAGGGAAACCTGGCTGTTTGTCCATTCAAAAATACATCAAAGGTGCCTCAGCACCCTCAGATATTAAATGGAAGGACATACTCACTCTTGCCCTGTTGAGAAAAACTCATGGAGGACCCGTTAGTATAAAGAGAATCCCCTGAGGAAAGTTTCAGTCCTGAGTTTGCTGAGGATTGGGTGACATAGTTGAAATGATTATTTGAGTCCATCTGGAAAATAGAGAATAAGAATAGACATTTAAAATAATAATAATAACTACTGTTGGTGGTTAATCTTCAGTGACATGTACGAAAGTGGTGCATTTCCTGATCCCGGTTACACCGAGGATCAACGATATGCCAACCGCATGATTCACGAATCTTATGAGTTTACTCATTTTTCATTTCTTGACACGCAGTTATAAAGAGACAGACGAATTCCGCTCAAATGTGCCGTTTCCTCCACGAAATGCCTGTCCCCTGAGATTTTTTGGCAAAATGCAGATTGTGACAGCACCATTTCGCTCCAACAACAACCGTCAAAATGTCGCAGCCAGCAGCAGCGGCAGATGCCAGGCCCGAGCGGGGGTAACGGACAAACGGGATCCTCCGGTAGGAGCTCATCATGCCGCCGCCGCTGCTGTGAGCCCAGCTTCCCCCAGTACACCCCGATATCCGAACACCACAGCCGGCCACGGCCACACGCACATTCCCGACCTGAGCAGCCGTGGAGAAAACAAAATTGGGGATGATGTTTAACACTCTGAGGCCTAGAAAAAGTGTTTGCCCCGCCGCTCGCTGTTTAACAGTTCCCGGTAGCCCTTCGGGATACTTGATTTCCTAATTCAGCCCAGGCCGTTGGAAATAGCTGGCGCCGCGTTAGCCTGGTGGCGCTAGCAGCGCCTTCAAACCAACAACCCACTTTAAAGCGCTGCCAGTCGCCTTAGCTAACGACTGGTTCTGTTAACGGGAGAAATAGGTCCAGTCCATACACTATTTCCCTTCCAGTTTAACGTGATACATCATTCAGAAATAATATCGCCACTTTCCCAAGGTTATTTAGCTATACCATCACAATAGAACCTAGCTAACGCACGCAAGCTATAAAGCTAACTAATAGCATCTGTAACGTTTATCCGGAGTAAGTAGGCTAGCTTATAGCCAGGTAGCAGGTCTCACAACCACGCTGGTTCGGATCCATGATGCCCGTCGGCAATATTGACCGAAGCAAGGGGATATAAATGCCAACTGGATTGTTAAATCTGACAAACATTAACTCACTCATCAGACTCGCGCATTAACAGATGGAGGCGTGCTCTCTTTTGTTCAAGGGCTAACGTTAGCTAGCTGCCTGATGAAGTTACATTGTTTACGCTACGCGCACAGACAATTTCTGCAGAGCATCATCCTCCCACACTGCCACCATCCAAAGTTTTGGTAATATTTTGCCTTTAAGGGTGCCCAACCTTTCATCTCTTGGGTTCCAGAGGAGCAGACGACTCTAAACCTTCGTCTTAACGGATATGCGGGTACAGATGACACAGCGATAAATAATAAACAACTATTCCCTAACCTTTGGGTTTTAAATTAGCAAACATGGCTGGTGTGGTCCAGTGCAGCCATGAACACAGAACGGTGCGAGCGGTGGCAGTGTAAAAGCATCAACAACAACCACCTACATCCGGTAAAAGTACTCCACAAAACTTTCACAAAATATTGAAAAGAAAAAAAAAACTGGGGGTGAAAAATATATCAGTCGTGACAACAACCCTCAAACATCATTGTATTTAAAAAGTAAGTAACTTTTTTAAAGCATTGTTTAAAGTTAAATAGGCTTAATCCACAATTTTACTTACAACTGTTTCCTTATAACATTTCCATATTAACATAATTGTACAATTAGTATAATATTGGATTTAATTTAAAAAAAATAAATAAATAATTAAACTGAGGATTGAAATCATGCATAGTGATAAACAGAGTTCCGTTCTTTTTTAAGTGGAGTCAAAGCTCTTATTTTAATCAGCTCCGGAGTATAAACAGGAAGCCGGGGCTGTGGATTACCACGGCTTTCTGGTAAATGACGCTGTGAGGAAATCAGGCCTGATGAGGAAGTGTGCTCCCGTTCTGGCTGGGATGAAGCGGTGGAGGCTCCTGGGTCTTAGCGCCACCTTACCCCCCACCCCCCAATTAATTCCATTTTAAGTATCATTACTAAATGTAATTAAAATGACAAGTTCAGTAACCTAAATGCAGCTTTTTTATAATGCTGCAGTTTAAGTTTATGTTTCAGGCTTTTAGGACTCCTGCATTTAACACTCTAGCACAAGACTACAATTTTTTTTAACAATAAATCTGCCACAAAAAGAGTTTAAATAATTAAAAGACATTTAAATGAATCTTAAACAGTTTATTAGAAAGATGTAGACAATAAAAAAAATTGAAAAAAAAAGAATTTCCACTGTAATTGAACATTACTCGTCTCTTCTTACATTTTATTGACAGTGCAAATTTGATTTGGTCATCGCACGCTGTTTCGGTCTAACGTTCCCTCACCCATGAGGGAAAACGGATGAAAAACAAACAGAATCTGGAAGATAGCAACAAACCACACGATGCTGAGGCCCATCAGCATTTTGAGCCTCTTATCAGCTGCAAAACACTTCAACTTGTTTCTGGTGTGACACGTGTGCATGTCATGTGAGTATGAAAAGAGAACTGTAAACATATCAAATATGTGGAATTCAAAAGTACAGTAGGTGATCACTGGGAAGATGTCTTTTGTTTTTGCATTTAATTCAGATTAATTCGATTTTTGCAAACATTAGACGAGGAGTAAAGGAAAACTGGTACGCTGCAAGGTTAAGCTACTCATACAAAAGACTGGCTTCCTGGATTATCTATACCACAGCACATGGAAGGCTTCAGAGGAACCCAATCAGTAAATTAATCTAATTCTTAAATCATGGCGCAAACTACTCTTTTCGACTAACTTACTACACAATGTTTTACATGGTTGGGCCTGATCACTTTTAAACCACATTTGAACTGAAAACAAATAGTAAATTTCTTAACATATATTGCTAAATTGAGGACAACTATGCCTTTTTTCCGGCCCCCTCCTCTTAAACGCATAAAGTTGTGCTTAGCTGTAATATTTAACAGTAAAACAACATACCCAAAAAGGTGCAGTACAGCAAATGGAAGTGGAGATAGCTGCTCTGTACATTACCATGCAAATCAACCGTAAGTGGACTGATTGGTCAAAGAGTTTGGAGCTGAGGCTATGGATTTAAATATGGCTACTGACTCATATGTACAGTTGTTTGTCACTGCCTTCGGTTTGGGATACACATTTGTTTAGATTCCTCTTGTCTTCTGTTCTTCCATTTTCTTTCCACAATCTAACAGTCTTCTACTACTCCAAATCTGGCATTTCTGAAAATGAAAAAGAAAAAAGTTTTTTTTTTTCCCCAAAAGGAATCGCATGACATTTTCTAAAACAAATCACATCCCATAAAGGGCCCGCGCGCACTTACTCTCATCATCACTATCTGCAGATTCATCCTAAAATTAAAAGAGAAAGATGAGGTTGATAGCTGTTACACAACAAGATTACAAAACATGTGACAGATTAAATTCTGCTTCATAATCAGGTCTTTACTGATGGGGGTAGGCCTTATGTCTAGAAAGTAAGTTGAAAAGTAGAGACAGAAAAAAACAAATGGAAGGATTCTTACGTCATCTGCACCATCTAGATCAGGGAGGTCATCCTCACCCCCCATGTTGTTCATCATCTGCAACACACAACATGATCATCACTGCTTACTTTATTTTATAAATGTTTAAAATGAACCAATGCGGCCAAGTTATGACATGGCAGTTATGCTTCACCAGGTCAGACCAGACTTTGACATCAGAATTTTAAAAAGAAAAATGACTTAAATGATTGTTCTTCTCACAAGAAAATACCTTGATAACTGCCAACATGTGAAAATCTATCCAGGAAGAAATGCTTTTTTTGTTGCATTAACCCCAAAATGTTGTTGATTTAGCAGAAACTGGAATATGAACGGTAATGAACATGTGGCAGAAGACATGGGACAGTGTGGAGACAGACAATAAATGTATTATGGTCCACAATGCAAGGACTTCATCACTAGGAAGGGAAACAAATCTGAAACGTTTCCCATCAAAGTGGCAACGGCTTGTCTAATACACGCTGATGGGAGGGCTTACGTCTGAAAATTGATCGAAGTTGCCCATCTCCTCGTCGGAGTCATCTTCCCAGTCTTTCCAGTTGTTGAAGTCGACACTCAGCCAACTTAGCTGTGGAATCAAGACCAGCATTCCTGAGTTCCTTGAGTTTAAAGCTCAAGTTTAAATTATTTGGACAGAATGGGCCCACTCCTTCTCTTATCTAAGATGGGTTGATGCCCTTTACATCTCATTTCATGGCCTGTGTCCTTCACTTAACAATCCATGTTCAGGATCCCATCAGAAGGGCCTTCTCCTGACCAGACTGACCTTAGCCTTGTCTTTCGTTAGCCTTGGCCACGCCTTCCCCGGATGTGCCTTTTGTAGATAGCACAACACTGAGCGATCTGTGCGTTTGTGTTTGGATTCCTGCGCCAAGTTGGAGAGAAAAGGAAACAACACGAGATCAACCGGGGAGCTGAGGCTGGTAGCGGAACCATTTGCAGCAAGGAGCACTTTCAGCCAGTAGTAACTCACATTCTCGTTGATGTCTTCGAAAAGTTCTACTTCATTCTCATGTTTGACATTGTCGGTTCCACTAAGACAGCTGTGGGAGGGAGAAAAATAAATATATTCAACTCAAACCCTGTCAAAAATAATAAAAGCTAGGGAAAACAAATTGCACAATGGATCAAGTGTCCATAACTAACAACCTTAATCATTTTATAAAGATCCGACATGACAAAGACATACCTGAAACCGAACTTTTTCTTGTCAAAAGTCACTTTAACATCTTTGCTGTCTGCGACACAGAACTCTATAATAACCGAGTCCCTCCTGTCGTACCACTTGGCAGTTGCTGGATGCCTGCGGAGGAGAAGAAAAGAACAATAATCGGGACATCCGTTTTCATCTGATGAGCCCAAACCATACCAATGACTCTGTTAGCGCCAATAAGACAAAGAAACAGTCAACAATCAGCCCGCTGACGAGGCAATTATTTCAATTGTACCTGGTTTTTCCTATAACCACTTAAAATTCACTTTTGGAACTTGACAGGAGACTCAATTGTCCATCCACATCTTTCCTCTCATGCTGTAGATAACATATTAACACATTAATTTGTGTTGGTCCAAGTGCCAATGATTTGTGAAGGTATCCTGAGGTAGAGCAGATGGCTGTAGGCCTTCCTATCAGGTAGCCTCACAGCATCAAATTACAGGTGTGTGAGTAACTGTGTACCTGTGTATGTTGCCATGAATCTTTACACTCAAGCATGGCAGGCCAATGATATTTTAAGGATGGTAATGTAGTTAATGATACACCTACTACATTTTCTATTGAAAAGCTTGCAATGCATATTTTAATAAGAGTCACTAAATGCAACCTCATGTTTGATACTTCGGTTTATTTTCCAGATTAAAAAAGAGAGGGAGTCTTTTTTTACCCACGTAACTGGGAACACGCCATCAAATCGTCAAATGATTAGTGGGTCTTACTCAAATGTCCCAAGAACGATCTCATTTCCTGCGGTAACATTACTTACAAGTCAAATTTCAAGTATGGTGGCAATCATACTTATCGAAGTATTTTAGCTGCTGCACCATTAGCCAAACCCAACCGTGGGTCATCAAAGAAGTGTCCGAATCCCATCACGATTTGGCGATCAGAGATGGGATGGGTTGGCTCTACTGTTGATAATTCCAGATTTCCTATTTAATGGCCAAAATCCTGACCCCTTACACAGCTCCGGCGCTAATCTAATGATAGCCTTCCAGAAGTCCCAATGAGCGCTGCTAGCCGGCTAACAACGCTGGCATTACTACACGCCATGCGGTGGACCCCGGCCACGCCGTGGCCTAAACAGGCGGTCTTTTGGGGCTAATGGTGAACAAACTGAGTTTTAAACAACAAGAACCTCACGCCGTGGTGTTTTGGTGGGTCAACAAAGTAGAGAGTTAACGTTTGCTAGCTTTCAATTCATTGAGGCTAGGCCAAGCTCCCGCCTTTGCTGAAGCATGTTGTCAGACCGACAACGACATTTAGCTAAGTAAGTGTACTATCGCACTTCCCGCCCTCACGTCCACTCTTCTCTACTTACATGTCCTTTTGTGAAGTAAGGCTCTTTATCCAAGGTAAAACGGTCTTGGTAAAAGAATGGTAATGCTGTTAAAGAAGGGACGTTTCACACACACACACAACCTATGCAAAACGCCTCAAGCCCGTGGACTCTACTCCGTAACTTGTTACGTATCTGGCTATGGAGAATGGCAGCTCTGACGCACTAGGAGCGCACTGGATGCTTCTAGAGCTTTCAGCCACAGCTGCTGGTGATGCGAGGCAGCCCGAACGTGACCTGCCCAGAACACCAAATTTGAACATAATTGCAATAATCGGTGCTGCTCACAATTATGGTGTCAATGTTGACGATTCGCGCAAATGTGTGAACCGATGAGACTTCAGAGCCGGGGTGCCATTAGCTCTCTGTGTCCCGAACTTCAGCCGACCTTGCATACTGATATGAGGACAGATCGAAACAAAACGACGTCCAAAGAGGTCTTTGACAAAAACGTTCGCGGCCTGAATCAAATATACTTAACAAAAACGCATAAAATGTTATTGAAACTTTTAATTGAAGCTACAACGCAGGGCTGTTCTCTGTTCTTCTACCATGTTTGGAGTTTTTTTGTGTTGTTTATATGAATCGGCTATCCTTTTTTTTCAATGCAAGATTCAGATTCAGTTTTTCCCTTTTCTCTTTATTAATTTATTTTTGCTGTGTACCCCATAGCCTTATACATGTCTTCCATTAGTCACAGTCTGTATGACAAATATGTCAAACTATAGAAATATCTCAAATAAATCACTGGTGGCAACAGGTTAATAGATACATAAGAACTCACATTATAGTATTTAAATTGGAAACCAAAGTGTTTAAAACCATTCTTACCTCAGACACATCAGGGATGTGCATCAGCCTTTAGGGAGGTTATTTAGTGTAAAACATTTCTCTGTTCTGCAATATGTGGCAGTAAAATCGGATCCACTCCATTTTAGGGAATTCACTGAGCATACAGGAGGCATCGGAGCTGTTTGTGAGCCTTGATTATTACTAGTAATGCTTGAATTTAAGAAGGTACTGGGTTCATATAAGGTCAGGGCCCTTGTCAGGAGTGTATCCTTTCATGCAGAGGCAGCTGGGATAGAAATTGATATTATCTTTTATACTTTACAAACTGAGGACTCAAAATTACTTCCTGTTTAAAGACAAAGTTTAGTTCTTACACTGTAAAAGTCCTATTTCTCCCAAACATCTTGGATGAACATATCAAAGAAAACAAAATCAAAGCATACATCTTAAGGGGTTAAGTTGAGTAAATCCTAACAGAATATCCAGCATTTGTGTAAAGGAAAAACTCAAATGGCTTTGTTTTTAACTAAATGGAAGGTCATCATAGCAAAAGTAAAATGCTGAACAGGAAGCGAAAGACAAAACAGCAAAAGCATCAGTCTGTGAGATACAGGTATTTATATTTTCTGAGTGGTTAGCAGCTGTCTCCCGAAGCTCATGGTTAGTGGTTATTGAGAGAGGGAACTTCATTTTCAACTGATGTTACAAAGGGTGAATAGTTATTGCTTGCCATGGTACAGGATAGATCTCTGCTCCAGCGAGATAAACAATAAATTCTAACAAACAAACAAAAGCTGTTCAGATTCATACACTCATATTTCCATACTTTCATGTTTCCACTTAAAATAAAATGTTAATTTAGTTGTTCCAAGTGTTGTTTAAAACAGCTCGACATCGTTTAACTCGAGTGCTGTAGATTAATAACATTCTATTTTACAACTCTGATCACAATATAGTCTGTCTCTGACTATATATGTTTATGAGTCTGGAAGCAGGTTGTCGGGCACTAAATGCTCTTCTTTGAGTTTTGGACTTCCTGAGTTGCTGTAGACCAACAGAATGAGTGAGATTTTATACCCATTTAATCCAATTCAAGGTCAGGAGGCAAACTGCAGCCGACATAACAGTTTCTGCCGGGTTTTCTATAAATGACGAGTAGTGAGTGCCGTTTTCTTTGCAGCCATCTGCTGGAGCATCAGAACCACAGACCGAGAGGCTCCATAATCTGATATGTGGAACGGAGCCACCCTTCATATCAGACTGGAGTCTTAAGTTACAGACCACAGACACGTTCGTGTATAGTGACCTTTACAGGAAGTCACCATTGCCCACAGCAGTGATCCTACACAGCAACTCTTTAGGATGGTCATTTATCTTATTCCACGCATCCATTCTGTTACATCTGTGGTTTCCCTGTGGAAAATAAAAAGGTATTACATTCTATGTGTGCTTTCCAGGTAATTACTCAGCTGATTAATACCTTTGATTTAAAAATACTATCTTGAAAGAATGTTGATAAAAACTGTAAATATTAATTTGATAAACGAAGTCAGCCACCATTTTACGTGAATGGGTCCTTATATTGGAATACGGGTACTTTTACAGCTCCAAGAATCTGAAATCTATGAACATGCAAATATGAAAAAATACCCTTTAATACAACTACCTCAAAGAACAGCAAAAGACACCAGAAATGTCATTTTATCAAGCCACAACTTTATTTCCATCTGGGGTATAAATTGTATAAACGAGCTCAGATTAAATCAGCAACCTTTCTTCTGCCTTTGTCGACAGGGTCCTTTTACATTGTCAACTCCTGCAAAGAAAAGGAAAAGAGAACAAGTCAGCGCTGATTCAAATCCGTTTGTTTGCACCATTCAAAGCTTCTCTCTTCTCAGGACAGAAATGGAGGCTTCATTGAACTCAGAAGAACGAAAGTCACTGTAATAAATCATCACCGAAGAGTTCTTTGTATTCATATGCAAACTTAGAACGTGTTGCCGTGTGGACTCTGCAGCATTTTGCACCCGGTAAGCCACAGATGGAAAAACTCACCATAATGGCATTGACGATGTCGTTGTTGTTGTTCTTCAGAGCGCGTACAGCCTTTGCCCGTGACACGTTGGCCTGTGACATGACGAGTTCGATGTCCTTCACCTCAACTCCGGTCTCATCAACCTAGAAAAACCATGAGGGCAGCGATTGGTCGTCTTATTTACGGACGCTAATGTCCCCCCTGACTTCAACAGGACCAACTCTTACCTCTTCCTCTTCGCTCTCCTCCTGTACTGTGGGCGTCTGTGTGTTTTCCTGGATGTTTGATACAGCTTCTCCCTGTACCTTGAACTTTTCGGCGGCGGCCAGCTGGGCTTGCTGGGAGAGGTCTTCAATCTGTTGCACACAAAGATTGGAGAGTGAAAAATTCAGTGCATCCTCTGGAAGCAACACATATATGAGCAAACAGCTGTTCTTCTGACGAATAGGAACCCAAGGTGGGTCCCATCAGCTCCAGATTAACTGGCTGGTTACCTTAGCCTCACCAAAGACAATGTATGTGTCTGACGCTGGGCTTTTGTAGACATCTGGCTTGGTGATGACAAACAAGATGTTCTTTGACTTGCGAATGGTGACCCGGGTGACTCCTGTTACTTGCCTGAGACCAAGCTTTGACATTGCCTGTGAAGAGAGTGAATGGTGTAATAAATACACAGAAGTTTGACAGAGACACAGCAGGAAAGAAGAGCCACACAACAGAGAGAGGGATGGCTACCTTTCGTGCCTTCTTTTCACTGCGGCTCTGTTTGGCTTTGCTGACGGGTTCCTCGTCTATTTCAGCAGCTGCTGCAAGCTGTGGGAAGCAGAAAAGAGGTTTTTTTGTGGTTTTCTGTACATGTCCACAATGAAACGTGAAGCAAAGGGACAAGTTTAATGCCTCTTCTCAGGACAGAAAAGTTGGCTTCAGGAAGCTCAGAAGAACGAAAGTCACTGTGTTAATCATCACTGAAGAGTTCAAGGCAAATGCCATCCGCGCAACTTGATCAATTCCAATCTCCTACAGTAGATTTAATACTGTATGGAAAAGGACCAGAGAGAAGTCTTACCTGGGCTTGTTGTGTCTGTGTCTGTGCAGAGTCCTGTTCCTCCAGCTCAGGAACCGAGTCATCGCTGTCTGACTCTGTGCCAGATCCTACAACAACCAGCTACAAGTTAATATCAAACAGTCAAGTCTGACACACCTGAAAAAGAAACGTGAATGAAGGGATCATGAAATTCTCAGTCAGATTAAGCCCATACATACTAAGCTGTACGCAACGAAATTTCGTTCTGTATGCACTCTGTACATACAATTAAATTAAAGTTGTCTAAGTCCAAGTCTAAGTAACATCGCCCTTAACTCACAGTATTGAGACATCACCCTCCCCGGCAGGCAACTCATCTTCACTGAGCAAATACTCATTCACACACTGATGACCCCTCACAATATAAATGGGCTGGCAGCTAATCAACTCAAACACAGCTTAACACACATTCACCAGACGACTAGCCTTTTAAAACGGGAAATGGCATATTTAAGTAACTGAGACGCTCCCAGAACACACAAGGAGAGAAAGAGGGAAATACCATTGTCGTTCTTGATCACAGGTTCCACCTTGACTGGGGTTTTACCGGGAGTGGGGGCAGGTTTAGGAGACGAGACGGGTTCAGAATTGATCAGCTCAACTTCAGGCTTAACAGGGACAGGTTTTGCTACGGCCTCAGCAAAGGTGAGCTTACGCGGAGCAGCCGGCTCTACTGGGGCGGGTTTTAGAGGAGCAGATGAGGGCTCCGCAGCAGGTTTGGCAGGTTTAGGAGCTTCAGCGGAAGCTGGACTGGCTTCAACCAATTTGCCTTCTGTGGCCAGCCTGGCAGCGTCGGCTGGCTTGTCCACCTTTCCTGGCTTTTTAACCTCAACAGGAGCTGGTTTAGTCTCAGCTGCCTTAACCTCAACAGGAGCTGGTTTAGTCTCAGCTGGCTTTTTAACCTCAACAGGAGCCGGTTTAGTCTCAACTGGCTTTTTAACCTCAACAGGAGCTGGTTTAGTCTCGACTGGCTTAAGCTCAACAGGAGCCGGTTTAGTCTCAGCTGGCTTTTTAACTTCAACAGGAGCTGGTTTAGTCTCGACTGGCTTTTTAACCCCAACAGGAGCCGGTTTAGTCTCAGCTGGCTTAACCTCAACAGGAGCCGGTTTAGTCTCAGCTGGCTTTTTAACCTCAACAGGAGCTGGTTTAGTCTCGACTGGCTTAAGCTCAACAGGAGCTGGTTTAGTTTCGACTGGCTTAACCTCAACAGTGGTTGCCTTGATCTCTACATCTGGTTTTGCAACCTTAGGGGGAGAAGATTTGACTCCTTCAACTTGTTTGGGATCCTTGTGAGAGACAGAAACGGCCTCATGGGCAGGCTTGGCAGCTCCAACAGAAACAGGTACGTCTTCAGCCTTAAAAACTACTTTAGGAGCCTCGGCAGGGGCTGGTTTGTCAACATTTGCAGATTTTACTGGGACTGTGACCTTTGCTGCCTCAACTGGCACAGATTTGGGCAGATCTGGTTTAACCTCTGCTGGCTTTGCAACCTCTTTTTCAACAAGAGGATCAGCGGCTGGCAGTTTAACCGGTTTCTCAGGTGGGATAAGTGGAGGAAGCTCGTCATCAGGAGCAGCCATGACAAGAGCCGCTTTTGATGAGGGGGCCTTCACTTCAAACTGTTTAGGAGTGCTCGAAGCAATCGCATCTGAAAACGAAATCGGTGCTGCAACAGCTGGCATTGGGGTAACTTTAAAGGCAGGTGGGGCCACAACAGGTTTTGCAGCAGCTGGTGACTGAGCCTTGGTCTCAAAGGGGGCAGGTTTTGCTTCACCAGCCGCAGGCTTAGGCTGCTCTGGCCTTTCACTCACTTCAATGACAGGAGGAGCGGGCACAAATGGCTCTCCCTGTTTAGGTTTGCCCTGTTTGCCAGCCTTGACAACTTTTGGGGCGGCGCGATTAGCGTGATCAGCCGAGGAGCTGCCGGCTGAGGAAGCCAAGGGAGACGGCAGAGGGGACCGAGGGGTGGAGGAGGGAGTGGATTTTGGTGAAGTGGGAGAGGCAGAGGAGGCAGACATAGAGGAGCGCTTCCTCCTGCCTGGGACAGCTTTTGGGGCAGAGGAAACCTGCGTGCCCTTAGCATCTTTGCTTTTGGGTTTAGCACGACCTGAAGCTGCCTGAGGTTGCTGGGAGGAAGCAGGAGGAGCAGGAGGTGGAGCTAAACAGAAAAAGATTCTTTAAACATTTTTGACCCAACAGTGGAAGCCTTGCTCATGCGGGTTAAATGGTCACAAATCAAGCAGCACTCCTTGCTCAGGTTAGGGAAAAAAGTGAACAACCCAACCCTACAAACTACAGTTGGATGCAGACTGCCACACAATGCACTTGACTTTTGCTAGGAAAACCTCACTCTGCGTTCAGTATGGATGCACTTCGGAGTAGGCAAACAGAATTCTTCTTGCAGATCTCAAACTATATATGCTACACGAACAGCACCATTTGTCTGCTGTCGAACTAAATAAACTGGTATATTTCACTTAATCATAATGCACTCTTCTCTGAGCAGTGTAGTGTCTGAATTTTCAGAATGTTTTGGCCATAAATAAAAGAACAGAAGACAACTGACTCACACCCTGACAGGAGGCAGCCTCCAGCCTCTTAATGTGTCAGAGAACCACTACACAAATGTCCAAATATTAATAAGCCCCTTAAAATACAATTGAACATGGATGGGGAAGTTAGTGCTTCTCTCAGAATATAAACCAACCTGACAGGCGGGGAGTGGAAAGAGGGGGGGCTTCACATGTGCTGTTGCCCTCGGACTGAAAGGCCTTGGAGAGAAGCATCACAGGCTCTTTCTTGTCCACATTTTCAGCAGCCACGTCATCAGGCTGCATTTGGTCCTGAGCTTCGTCTGAGCACAGGTTCATTAGACCATCCACTGAGGTCTTTGATCCTTCCCTTTTCATTCCATCTTCACTCTTGGCACCACTATCTTCGCGTACAAATTGTTGTGAATCATGAATATTTTCTCCCGTTGCCGCTTCTCCCGTCTCTTCTTTAAGGGCCTTTGGGTCGACAGAAACCTGCTCGACCTCTTGGCTGGTCAATTCCTTAGCTCCAAAGGAGTGACTTTGCTCTTCTTTGGCAGCCGCTGCTTCTTCATGCACGTGCGCCTCTGCAGCAGGGCCGGGAGTCTCAGCAGGAAGCACAGACTCTTTGTGAGCTGGCTCACCGGCTGAAAGCTCGGACTCAGCAGTCAGCCCTAGCTGAGGGACAGACGTCGCCTTCAACCCACTCACATCCATTTGCATGGTAATTTGAGTTGCAGTGACACCGTTTGATTGATCACAGGAAGCCTGAGGGCAAGCCTCTTCAGTTAGCCCAGCGGCTCCTTGGGTGTTTTTACCCAGTGTAAGAGGAGCATTCAAAACTCCTGGAGCTGATGAGGGAGGTAAGGTGGAGGGGCAGAAAGATTCATCAACTTTTACCGACCAGGCATCCCAGATGCACTTAGTAAGAAAACAGATGTGCTCAACACGTGAAAAGGGACTACTTTGTGAAAGAGTGGTGGCACCGTGGAATTGAATCTTGAGTGGAGATAAAGGGCAGTGGGTGCTCAAAGATAAATAAATAAAGTACTTGTGGGTGAAGCTTCATGCAATCAAATTTAGGTTATGAAATATCTCATGAATTTACTGTCCAAAACCCTAAAATATTTACATTATCGAAGCGTACTTTGTTGATGTGCTTGATGTCCAAAACTTTCCTCTACAAATGGAAACCCAGCACAGGGGCCTATGTTTGAAGACAATGTTATGGCCAGCAAAATTAGCTAAATAAATAAAAAGGTTTCTCCTAAATAACACTCATACCCCAAGCTCTTCCTTTGATAATGGCAGACTCAGTGTTTGTCTTCACTATTACAGCAATGCAGCACTCGGGTACAGAATTATCCCCATCAGTGCAACTTCTCCATTCATTCAGCCTTATGCTGCCGCTCCCTAAAGCTTAGAACAATATGTTATGTTATGTGTAATCAATTTGTTAGCTTTTTCTATTATTAATATTTAGCTGTCCTACTCCATTTCATAAATATAGTGATCTTTTAGCCTTAAAAATAACAATGACTGTCAAAATATGCATCACAAGCTGAAACTACCTTCAATACTACCTTCCAACACCTTGGAAGGTTTTCTGTTTTTGTTACTCTTAAGACATTTACTACAAGATATGTACGCTGTAAAAGTATTCAATCACATACTGTTTTTGTTTTTTTACTCAAGTAAATTAATAATGATTAAAAAAAATCTTCAAAATAACAAATAGAAAAATAATTGCCAGCGGTGCAAATACATTTATATCGAAGTAAGATACAGTGGGTTTTACAGAGATCCATACCATGCACACAAACAAAAGAAAAACACACTCAACAACATGCATTGTGTGTCAAACCTAGTCGTAGGTGCACAAAACAAAGCCCTACTGGCTCTAGTAGCAAATGAAAGCGGGGTCCTGGATTACTCTATACAATTAAAAACCAACTTTACAAATCCCTTGGTTCCCACCACATGGCTGGCAACAGTCACAATAATCTGTCACATCAAATCAAACTATCTCACAATCTAAAGTTCTATTAACCCTTAGAGATCCAACACCCCACTTTACAATAGAGGGAGGTGCATGCTCGTGGTTGTGCCCAAATATACTAACCTGTCTCCACTTGAGGCTGCTGCATCTCCTGCTCGGTGACTGGGACCGTTTCTGTGGCTTCACCAGGCATGGTTGCTGTAGGAAAACGGAAAACCTCAGTTAACGCGAGATTTGACTGTAAACTATTGTAGCGAAGCCTTCAGACAGCTTTGCTGACACACAAAATAACACAGGCTTTAAAGTCACGCAGCGGACTGGACAAGTGACACAGACCATGCTTTAGCTTCTACGCTCTTTCAGAAACGTAGTGTAGACAGATACAGCTACTGTTAGCTTCTGCTAGCCAGCAGGCTACTTTAGCCTCAACAGGGAAAGCTAACCGTTGGTAACAGCTTCTTCCAACAAGCTGCCACCAGTTTAAGTTTGTATGTAACCAGTTGGTTGTCACTTAAATTAACTGAGCATATCATAACACACAGATCAGTGCGGCCCTGACAGGCTGCCTATAAACTGTTTCACAGCATGTTCCCCCATTTTGAGCCGGCAGTCAGTGGCACAACGGCACATTTTTCCCAGAGCTGAGAGCTCAAGTTAGAGTAATAATTACATCAATATGATAGCCATAATTTAACTAAACGCATTGGATATGTAAAAAGGACGTACATATTTGTTAAGGCTTAGATGATGTTAGATTATTAGCGGAGAAACTCACCGACTCAGGGCGATATTTCCAAGATGGCTGTGAGAGAGAACTTGTGACCTTAGTTTTGCGGTAATATCCGGTGGAGCAGCGCTTCTGCTTCCGGGTTAAAGAAAAGACGGTCTATGTGAAAAATTATAAAAACGCATGTTTTTAATTGTTCACATTTTTGTTGCAGTATCGCGTTATGTTTTTCAAATGAAAGTATTTTAATTGCAAAAACAAAAATATCAATATAAAGTTTAAATATATTAAAAGTTTAAAGTTGCAAAATATTTCTCCCCACTAGTTTATTATTATGAGAAGAAAATAACAAAGTCATGGCTGTATTTTATAAAATCAGTTTTTATTTTTTACAACTTCCTATTATAATTTTTAACTGTCAAATCGTGGTATAAGGTCAACTGTGATAAAATCCGTTTAAAAAATGTCCCTAATTTTCAGGTTAAAGTGTTTAATACACATTTTCTAAGAACATTTATTCTACAAACAAAAATATTGCAGCAGCTGAACTGAATAAAACATTTGAAAAAGACACAAAGATTTTACTACAGCAGAAATCTTACATTTATTCTCACAGAAATAAGCAAGTATCAGCAAGCATAAGAGACATGTAGACAACAGCCATTTTATATAAAAATTCTGCATAAAATAAAATAAAATTAAAAATTAAAAAGGGGATTTGGGCTTTCATAAACTTTAATTTGCGAGTTACATAGGGGCACAAAAACCAAGCTGTTCAGATGGTTTATTTAGAAATAATGGGACTCATTCCACAATACAGTGACCATTATCCTTTCACTTATGGTCATAATTAAGCAACAGGGCATCTCTAGGGGTGAAGTCACCAAATTGTTGTTCAAAATTCTTTCTGAAGATCTGAGGATTGGAGGACAAATATAAAAAAAATAAGTAAATGCTCAGAGGGTGCTTAAACTTTGCTGAATGTACCACACAACTTACCACTCTTTTTGAGAAGTACTCCTTTCCATGAAAGAGCGATTTCATCAAGGAACTGATCAAAGGATTTCACATACTTAGCCAAGCTGGTTCTTTTGTAATCTGTGTGATAAAACAGTCTGTGAACAAACTCATTCCCATGCTGAGGAAAAACAACTAAGATTAAAAAAAGAAAAACAAGTGGTAGATACACTGTGTGGGATGTAAAAGAAATGCAAAATGCACTAATTTACAAATCACATACATTTATATTCAGTTAGTAAAAGAAACTAGATGCCCACATCAAAATGTCTTAACCCGTGTTCTGTTCCCTCTCCTTTAAGCATGCCTGATTAAGGCAGTGCTACAGGGACATGACTGTCTGAGCGTCTGACCGCCATCCATTAAACATTCTACACTGTTCCTGACCTGCATTTATTTATTAGATGCAACATGTTCCGTCAGCTCTTTTTAGTACCCCAAACTTTCCAGACTTTCTTTGGTCCCGTTTTTTAAACTTTTTTTTTATACATAATGCCCCTATTTTCATAATTTGACACCACCGCCTTTGTTACCTCTGATCCTCCGCTTCTCTGCTGCATCTCCCTCAGTTTCCTTCTCCTTGGTGTCCCCTGGCTTCTCTTCTAGTTCTTCCTCTCCTGCCTTGGGCCGATTCAGCTCTTCACATATCAGACTTTAAACAAATATTTGGATAAAGTTACTACTGCGCCTCATTGATGGTCACGCTGCACGGAAATGGAGCCAAAGCATTTAAAAAAAAAAAAAAAAAACACCCTGACCTGATCGTGGGAACAGCAAAAGGGTCAAACTTGTCCAACTCTTTGAGGTCCATGGGAACAGAGATGCGGCCTGGCCAAGTACACAAACGGCAGTAAGACTCAGATGGTGGTGCCTTTATGGACCATCTGCATGTTAAATACGTATTTAATCTTGAGGACAGAGGAGATGTTCCTTTCCTGCCTGCTCACCTGTTTTGGGGTGGACACTGAAAGGGCTTTTCAGCAAATGGTTCACGCCTTTGCTGACATTCACATCCAGGCGAGGGTAACAATACTGCAGCATGATTTCTTTTTCAAAGTACTGGACCTTTTTCATTGAGCCCTGCCAGAAGAAAGATTGCGGTCATAAGTCCGTCTATCGAATGTGTCAGAAGCCAATAAAAAGACTAAATGGTTTTCATTATAGAAACACAAGACAAACAACCGACCTGGATACTATGCTCTTTGACCTTCTCCCACCGGCTCTTTGAATTCTTCTCTTTTTTGAATTCTTGCTGTAATTCTTTTCTAATTTGTAAATGTTAAATTAAGGTTAAGTAACTGTTACGGTTCTCCCCCAATCAGAAGTGTGGACCTAGCTCGTAAATCAATTTGCTCACATACATTTTTGCCCTTTGATATAAATTGAAATGCAACTAATCTATTGCTGCCCTCCAAGTCTTTTTAAGTGTGTTTAAATACTAATAGTAACCATTGCAAATAAATAACACATACTGAATAAACACATAATAATAGAGAATGTAAAGAAGTAAACTGGTTTTACTAAGTGAATTTACCTTGGAGATGATGCACCTTCACTTAATGGAAGATGCTGGCAGAGGGTGGAGAAGATTGGAAAGTTTGTTTTGTGCTTTTTAGGCCACATTTGTATGTCCTAAACTACCATTAAATCACTTAACTTACTCACCGCCCTCTTAAAGCTACATTTTATCTATTTTTATCTATCTGAACTTAACTGATATTGTACACTTTTGGTATATCAAAAACCTCACAGCTCAAATTTTAGGTAGCACTAAGATGTGTGTGTATAAATTTATGTAGATTGTACTAATGAAGGTTTCATGCAGCACAGTGTGAAAGGATATCCATTGGCACAAGAGAGAGCACTTTGTCCATAGACTCCTTGCTGCCCAGTATGTCCTGGTCCTCTAGTGCATATTGTGGAAAGTACTTCTCCACCACTGTCAGTGATTCTCTGTTATGAGAAAAAGAACAGATTCTTTAAAAACCAGCAAAAGTCTCTTCCACATGTGTTGTTGTTGCTCGATGCCGGAGCAATCAGGAGTGGTACTCTCAAACACAACATACGTTTAAAGAGGCCAAAAACAGTCAAAGTTGTACCTGATAAAAGGGTGAATTGGATCTGTCAGCACTACTTTCTTCACCGTCTCCTCACCACCCTGTAAAACCACCATAGGTTATAAGAGAGGGTCCCACACATCTTTGTGTGCAGCTACTTAAACCTGTTCCAGTCAGTGGGGTATTTAAAATAAAGGCTTTCCTTGAAATGGAATTAATAGCTATTCAAAAGCTGAAAAGTTCTTACCTTTACCAAGCTGAGGTATTCAGCTACAGCAGAGCGAGCGGCCGCAGAGAGCTTCCTAGCAGCCTCATCACACACCCAACAATGCACCCCTCTTCTGCCAGAATAAACCCACAGCAGGTGCTGAAATCCAAAGTCGTCTGGAGACAGTGGAAAACAGGAGCACCTGCTTTGAATCGGATTTTTCAACACTGAAGCCTGACCCTACAGTAACTCGCCAACGTACCTCGAAGAGCTCTGTCCAAAATTTTAATAGCGATGGTCATCAACGTCCAGCATTTGGAGCAAATCTCTGCAGCACTGAGATCAAAGTTTTACAAAGTCATCTCTGTGATTTGGCTGCATGATTCTTGTCAGTCAAGAAAGGTAGCTATTTGCGGCCCTGAATGAATAAAGCACAGTCAGTTTTACCTGCAGCAGCTCCGAACATCGTCGTAATCCGTCATATCGATATCAAACACGAGCTCCTTCTCCAGAGCCTGGAAGCTGCCGGACTTCAGGGTGTTATGTTGATTAGGCTGAAGGCAACAAAGAGCCACAAAACATTTCTACTTCCCTGCAGTGATGCAAAAACATTTCAAAGCATCTGGCCTCGAGAAAAAGTCTCACCCGGTGACTGTACACTGCTCCAATGTCAATCTTGTAAGGGTTCATCTTCTGCATTTCCTTCTCCAGCTCATTCTGCGTGCTGAATGACTGGTAGCGCACATAGATGTCATCTTTAAGGGTGAAGGAGAACTCTCTGTTCTGAAAGTAGTTCTTCTGCACTAGAGATTTTAAATAGAACAACAAAACAAAAAAAACAACACATGCATTTGTCTCTTGTAAGTTCAGATTTATTTGAGTGATACACATTTAACAGACAACCCTTAGGTTTAGGACGTTTTGGAGGTATCCATTAATAAATCAGACTAACAGAAGTACTTTACACACGTGCAACTCGGTTTACAAACACTGAAACATGTACACAAGGCATTGGTTTGAGGACTCACCTCCACCGTAGTTCAGCCACCGGTAATATTGGGAGAAAGGAAACAGCCGACGGTAGTAGAGCGGTAATAAGTCTGGCAGACAAGCCGGATCGTAGTCTGAGGACGGCATTTTGATCAAATTAAAGCTGCTAGTGTACGGATAAGTAGAGGTTATTCACTTTGTTGCCGTCAATTCACAGGTTTAGCTTGGCGTTTGACGCTGAGTGTAGCGCGGGAAACCTCTGAAACAACGTTAGATCCAATGAGACGTGGGTTGGCCGATGACGTCACCACAAACAGGAAGTGAGGAAGCTTAAACAAATTCTTACATGAAGCTCGTCCTTAATTTTTCCAGAAAGAAGCAAACACATTAAATATCGATACAGAGTGAAGTCTGGGTTTTTTGTACATATCTGTAGCTATTTTTGTGCAAAATGTTGACCTAAGTGTTTTAGGAGTACGTTACTTTGTCCTGTAAATACTAAATACTAAACATAGGACGTGACGTAATCAGAGCGCGCATAACAGGAAGTACAGCTGTTATGTCTATGGTTATCAAACCTCGTCCGTCTGAGATTTCTTTTCCAATAAAAAACCGTAATGAACGTTTCTTTTAATTAGACTGAAAATCACTTAAAAAAATCTTAAATTATTATTAGTATTAAATTCTTTGACAAGGAATGTAAAGAAGATAAGAGGCAAATTAATCCGTATGCCTATAATATAAAATAACAGCAGCAACGATCTAGAGCGTCATCACGATAGAAATAAATATGTAGGTAAATTAATTGAAAAATAATTTGTGGGAAACGTATTTACATCGTTTAAGTCTGCACCAAACTCTTGAATTGTACTTTGTGCTCTGCACCTTAAGGGGGCAGTACGGCTTCTTACCAATATTTTCTAACATACAAGGATTTCTTTAACCTCACACCTTTGTTGTAGTGGAACATTTTTATCAGAATTTAGTTGCAAATGAACCCAATAGGACTCCCTTGTCTCTAAATTGGTCTAATTTGTGCTCACTTGGAGCTACTCCTTACTGTAATGATAGCCTGCAAAAACAGCATCGCTTTGACATTTGAAAAGGGCACTTATGCTTTCCAGACTGAAAGGTGGAACCACTTTGCCCCTTTTTGTCCTGCCCAACGGTCCGTGTACCTCGTGCGGTCTAGAGCGAACACTTATGATAACCGCCTGATGTTGTGGCCTCTGTTGTGTTCTCGGGCACAAGTGACTATTCACAGTGAAGGTTGAGAGCTGTACAGTGATGAGAGGACTCGTCAGTTATTGCACAACTGATATAAAACAACACTACTCTTTGTTCTACGTACATCCAATATTCCCAGCCCTGTCATTTTTATCAATTTCATCTCACCATGACAACTATGTCTGTGTCTTTGTCTTTCAGTACGTTATTTGGCTGTATAGTGGAGAGGAAAACGACTTTTGTGCACGACTGACACGACAGCACACTTCCATTTAGACCCAGTTTCTGCATTGTCTTCCAATGTAATAGAGAGAGAACCACAGCCTGCTACTGTAAACATTTGATTGTTAACAGATAGTGGTAGAATATGTGAAGATACCTCTTTAAAGAGATGGTCAGTTCCTTACTTTCAGCATTAATTATATACCAGATTCAAGAGCAATTAAAACCCAAACATTCTAAATACAATTCCAATTTATGATTGCATTTTGCAATATTCTCTCGCCATATTCTGATTTACATAATGCTAAAGCTCTTAACCTCAATTTACTTGAATTATGTAAATTATTTCACTGCAAGGCATGTTGGACATGATGGATTTGTCTTTTTTTCCTCCAGTTCCTACAAGATGGAATCACATTAAGGTTTTGGTTGATTTCAGTCACAATTAATGATCCCTGACGCTTTGTTTCCAGTCGGTTTGATGAATAAGACTGGTTCCAGGATCAGTATGAGGTTAAATTTTGGATTAAACCCATGCCTGTCTCTTTCAACCCGCATTCTTCCTCCATCTTATTAACTGAGGCGCAAAATAATGCAGATTACATCTAGTGGTTTCTAATTTGTGGCATCAGTGAACTGTTTTATTCCGTCTGCACAGTGACCTGTCATGCTTATGGCACAACGGCATAACGTTTTTTACGGTCACAAGCACTCAATAGACTTTAAATGTCAGTGGGGTGAGTTAGGTAAGGTGAAAGTAGGGTAACTTTCAGCCATGCGTCTGATAAATCTAGGGCAGGTGCCCCTGGAACTTCTCAGCCCATACTACAGGTCATCACATTAGCTATAGAAGAGCAGTCTCCATTTAAGGGATCACACAAAAGTCAGAACAGCCTCAGATCACCATAGTACCTTAACATATTCAAGTCCTTTCATCAGAAAAATAGGCATAAAGGTCAGTGGAAACCTCTGTCAAAGCTTAAAATCTGCTCATATACTGCTCATGGCATCTCTCACATTTTGTACAGTAAGAGCCCAAAAAGTGATTTTGGAGTCACATGTGTCTGCTGGAGATCAACAGAGAATAAGGGTGTGTATTATAGATGCTCTCTGTGTTAAGCAGCGGGTGATGGAAAAAAAATGTTACACTGAAACAGTTTCTTCCATTTCTGCTCTCCAGTAGGCTGTATATGTCTTCCATATGAAAACACTTCTGACTCTTCTACGCTTTCAGATTGATGAAGCCACCTATCATCTGATTGGCAATCTGTTTTTGATTTCATAAGACATAAACCTCCACATCCATATCTAATGTTCAAATGTAAAAATGAAAGCAGTTGTCACACAGATACCAAAAAGAAAGAAAAATAAATACCTACAAACAGCTCTATCACATTATCTGTCAAGAGGAGGGGGAAGAACAATGGCAATAAAGTTTTTATTTATCACATAGATACTTATGAGTATGTGTTTCTGCTTCAGCCAGTTTGTCAGACTTATTGAGGGAGCCAAAATATTTCCAGGAAGATGAGACAAAAAACCCCACATTCATCCTGTCAGTAAAGTAAACAAAGTAAGCAAACACTACACTTGTTAGGTTTATTTGTTTTGGTGCTTAACATCAGCTTGCTGTAGCTTCACATTCAGTCTACTCACATGACAGTGGCGTCAGACTCCTGGTAAAACTGTGAACGTGTGACTTACACTTTGTCCATGAGGTTGAGCTTCATGTCGGGGGAATAAATGTAAGTGAACAGTTCAACAAGAAACACAAGATGAACAACTGAAATAAAGTGAAACTGTTTCCATTAATGTCACATGGTGTGCTTGTCAGACTGAGCAGAGAGTGAAATGTTACCATCAGCCTGGAAACATGACAATGGTGACAAATTTTGATGCTAAAATACTGACTATGCAGTTTCAAAGAAATATAAAGAGACGCTTTTCATACTGTTTAATTAGCTGTGTAAAACTCTGCTTAATGCCACATGCTGTGTCAGACCAGAATGTGGTCAAATGTCACAGGGATATAACAATAATCAAAGAACATCTTCGGGTGCCTGACTTAATTATTTTTACAACACTGAGCATATTTGTTCATGTTATCTTTCCAACTGATACTGAATCTGAGTTTGAGCCACAAGCTTTACTTGCTTTTTCTTTCTGCAAGGTTACATTATCCACAGAACTAAACAGGAATCTAGGTTCTCTTTGTGTAGACTAAGGGCTCCAATACAAGAAATACATGGGCACAAAAAGTTGGGTCCCCTGGCATCACCAGCCACTGAACAAAAGCAAAAAAACAGAACAAAAAAAATCACTTGAACACACCAGTCGGAGTACAGTGAAACCTAGTCGTGCACAAGAAGACATGCTTTTTCAGGGACCAACAGTATGCTATTACACAAAAAGAGAAAGCAGAAGACCACAGGTTACACCTGTGCAGATGTGCCTTGTGGTTTTTCGCATGAATTATGTCACACTAAATTTAACATTCTGCTCATCCATTTAGGAGAGCACATTCTCTACTGATTATGCTCGGTCATAGGACATGCTAAAGGAAGTGCACTTACTTAAACTATCTCTAAAATGACATTTAGGTATGTGATGCCCAAATTAAGCACGGGTTATGACATTTCCTTTTTTTTTAAAGTCACACTTTTACCATAAATTGTCACCCAAAGTATCTGTGAAAAAAGCTTTGATTCTGGTTCTGGTTCCATTGAAAAAAATAACACAAAGCAATACTCTTTCTTCCTTTCTCCTAAGTGTAGATGTTAAAGGGTTAAGCTTAGAGTTTGCTCTCTGTCATCAGTGACCTCCCTCACAGTGCAGTCATGCTGTAGGTGGAGCAGCCACTGAGAGGGAGCTCTGGCACACAGAACCACAATGCCAATGCCACACTTTAAATCGCCTGCGCTTACACATCCACAACAATCCCACATAAAAACACACATAGATACGAAAGAGACCCTAGATGTTAATCCACGTGTAGTGCGTGCTTTGCAATTTCACATCAAATCTGGACATGAGAAACAGATTCACATTCTGGAGAGAATGAATACGTGGATTAAATTGAGATATTCAATAGCCGAATGCAAAGTGATGCCAGAATTTAATTTGAAACTACAACTGATAACTGGAATTTTGATCCAAACCTAACATTTTACAGTAGGGATTTCGAAGAGGAGGTTTGGTGGTGTGTTCAAAATCAAACTGCTTTTAAGTAAAGACGTTTTAAGCCAATTGGCTTTAAATATTTAAGAAGAAAACCATTTTAATATATCTTTTATTGACGGTTGTAACTGATATAAGCTCGACTTAAATAATAAAAAAACTGCATTAAAGTTGATGCTTGAAAGATGTCAATTTAGATTCATTTACACTCGAATGAATGAATAAAGATATGAATCCAGACTTTTTTTGGTGTGTGTGATGATTTTCACAACAGTCACAAATAGCTCCAAACAGTGAAAAAGTCATTTTAAATACCCCCCCCCCTCCCTCCCCGCAGCCTGCGCACCGCGCAGCGCTCATTGGTTGGCGCGACAATATAAAGTTCCGCAGTGCCTCCTCCGCTGACTGCTGCCCAGCTGCTCCCTCACAGCCCCACAGCCAACACGGACCCCTCACAAGACGGGGACTGCCTCACCTGCCTGCTGCCTCCGAACACCCCCCCCCCCCCCCCCCCCCTTCCACTTACCTGATTTCTCCGTCTCCAGCATGAAGGAGAGAAGGCTCCCGCAGCCCTGCGTGGCGCGCTGTAAGCTGGTGCTGGTGGGAGACGTCCAATGCGGTAAAACGGCGATGCTGCAAGTCTTGGTGAAGGACTGCTATCCGGAGGTAAGGTGTCTCTGCTCACATCCCAAGTCAGACAGCACTTTATAGAGACTGTAGGCTGTAAAGGCTGTTGCTTAAACCCAGAAGGATGGGACACTGGAAATGAAATTAAGCAAAGGCGCCATCAATTGTTGAATTGATTAAGAATCTCAGGGCTTTGAGGGGTTTTAGAATGTCTGTGGGAGTTCATTGATTGGGGCGAGGATCTGTTTATTTGAATATTTATGATGATACATGGATCACTAGTCATTCAGATGACTGTACTGAGTCACCTGTAGAATTAATTGATTTAACATCTCTATTTGACTTTCATACTTTCATTCCAACCCTGTTAGTTATGCATGATTAACCCAGCTGAGCTCCTGTCCATAATGTATGATCCTACACAAGTTAAATCAATTCAAACGAGAAAAAACTAAACAAAGAATACGACTGACAGGTAACTTGGGATGAAGAGTGTCCCTCTCATTGTGACTCTCCCAGTGGGTAATGAGTGAGTGGTTTCTGTGTCTAAGCCTGCCCTCCTGTCGCCCACATGTAGACCTACGTCCCCACCGTGTTTGAGAACTACACGGCCTGTCTGGAGCTGGAGGACCAGCGGGTCGAGCTCAGCCTGTGGGACACATCAGGTGAGCATGCGTCTCTGGGACCGTCCTCACCACAGACCCTGCCCTCCCCCCCCACTCCCCGATCACCTCGGAATCAACAGCTATTTGAAATTCTTCCTCAGACGTTGCGTGTCGAGGCTGAGTTAACATAGCCGGTTTCAGGCTTGTTCTGGAGGGGAGTGGGGTGGGGGGTGCTGATAATTGGAACTTGTTTACCCTCCCCGCAGCCCAGTCGGCCAGGAGTCGGATAATGGCTGTAGATTGGGCCAGGTCTCTGTCATTGTGTGGGTGTCACACGCTCAGACGGAGCTCACTATCTGCCGGTCCTGTTCTGGAATCTGCCCAGCCACCTTTTCTGGTGGATTGCTGAAGGGAGCCCGCCTATGCGTGTGGTTACTCTCAGTAATCCAAATCTTTTGTTTCTTTCTGCTGTAGAGCCAAAGATTAAAAAAGCCTGTACTCTGATTTAATCATCTCCCCACGTATAAAACTCAAAATGTAAGATAGTCCAAATTTCCAGCTATGTAAATGTGATGAATGCTGAAAATGACCTGTGATTATAGCAAACCTTCATTTTCATCAAGTTTTGGTTTGAAAGAGTTTTCCTTTTTCTTTCATCCAAACAAAGCCTAGTCTTGACATATGTGGAATTTATGCTGTTTTTAGTTTTTTATGACGGCAGCTGAGATAAAAGGGTTTAAAAGAAAAATCAAAGAAAGATTTTCTTCCTTAAATCTATGTGCGAACTTAATAGTGAACCGATAAAAAACCCTGTTGGGTCAGCCCTGCAGTTTGGTTTTCAGATAATCGTGTGAGGAGATGAATTGCTGCAGCCTGATGACCTAATCGAACAGAAAAACGACAGAAGTGGATCAATAGGAATTAAAGCGGCCGGGGTGGCGTGGTCCTCTTTCATAACTGAGATCAGAGCCCTGGGCTTTGTGTTCAGAGGAAGTTTAGCTGTGCCAGTTGGCCCGCAGAGGTTTTTTTTTTTCCACGTCGAGGGGATGGGGGATGCCTCCTCCTTGCAGGGGGTGGAAGTCCGCATGTGTGAGGAGTGTGTGTGTGTGCGTACAGTCGCTGTGAACAGAAGGCACAAGCGAGGGATGCTGGGAGAAAATGTAAGCTTGACCCCCTCGCAGCCTTATGGTGTGTGTGCGTGCGTGTGTGAGCCGCCTTAAAAACAAGAAAGCGTTATGTAACCGAGAGCAGCAAACCGATGTAGGTTTGTGTGTTTGTCTCCCACGAACTGAAGAACTTTCGGGACTCACACTTTTTCTGGAAGGAAAGGTTGCATAAGGCTTATTTACATCTGGGGTGCAAACGTTTATTTTACTCCCTCTTCTGCGTCACCGTTTCCCCCCCGGGCTTCAGGGTCGTAGGTAAAGAGAGGCCTCACATTAAGCACACAATTACCACCTTGCTTTGTTTCAGCAATTATTGTGCGGCGAAGAGAATGGAGCTGGCGTCCAGAGGTTGGATTTTTTTTGGGTCGTCGTTGGTTTGTTTGGCTTGTGAAATCGTTTAAAAGTCAAATATGTCCGTTTACTTTCTGCTGATTGATTAATGGTTTGGACCTCAGCTTGAGGTTTCCATCCATGAGGCTCTCGACGCGTGGCATCTTTTACCGAGACGGTCTGATCTCTCTGCGGGTGTGTGATGATGAGCGTATTCCCGCCACCCTTTCATTGTCTCTCTGGCAGTGAAGCAGTTCGTTTCAGCAGACGAGTTCATGTTTGCTCTGCTGAAAGGCTGGTGTGCGCGTCTGTGTGCGTCTGTGTGTTTGCGAGCGCAGGCAGGGGACTGCTAATGCGTGGGAGGTAGTTGGAGTTAGAAGTTGGGTTCTCTTTAGATCTGTCTGCCTCCTCTTTCTCAGGTCTTACATCACCCCGGATGGTTATACGTGAAATGTGTTCCGATTCCCAAGAAAGGAAATGTTATTGACAGGTAGAGCTTGTGTAAGTTGTCCTACTTTGCCCAGTTATGTCTGACATTTTGGCAGGTTAAATAACCAGGAAGAACGTTAGTGGGGTATTAAATTCATGGCCCAAGAGGATAGCCAAATTGGTCAGGACAACATGATTGTTGGTCAGTCCCAGCAGGATGCTAACAGATGTATCTGCTCCCATTATTACTGCATCCCCCTTATATTTGCAAGGAAAGCTTTTTGTGCACATTTGGCCCTTGAGAGCAGGACCGGGAAATTAAATCTTTCTGTTTTTGTGCGAGGTCTGATTAGGTGGCACAGGGAAGACAATAGGGAGCGGACATCCTGTCAATCTGTTTTTAGCACAGGAGTCTTCCTGAGGGTTAAAAAATGACACAAACCTGGGCTGTTTATGGAAATATAAGCAAAGATGGCTTCCTGCAGACCTCACTTTCTCATAACTGAAATGTGGGATTATGTGTGTCCTAATTGGGCTGTTTTTTTGTATCGTCGGGCCCCGGGCACTGAAAATCTCTTGGCTTCGTGGGGAATAAAGAGGATGACAACCACAAATTTAACTGGTTTAAACTCAGCATCCCAGATGAGTCGTTGTTTTCCCCTCTAGTGGAGTTTCTCCAAAAAGGAGGATGCCAAATTTCTAAAAGAATTGCTTTGTTGTTATCTTTAAATGAGTCTCAAAAAAGTCTCAAATTGGCCTGAAAACACTTGATTTGCACAGTCAACTCATTTTTGAGGCACAGGGTGATAAAAGGTGTCATGGAACAAGTATCTAACAACCAAAAATGTCCAAAAAAAGAAAAACCTAGAACCTGTGATTAAAGGAGTAATAAGAAAACAGATCAGAGAGAAAAGTGGCCCCTAAAATACACAAACATCCTGTTTTTATACGAGACAACCACATGTTGGAAAGACAAAACTGACCTTTTTGAGGCAGCTTCCAACACAAACCAATGAATCTTATGCTATGAGCGGATTCATGGCTTTTAACTGGTTTTGTTAGCTACAAATGTTGCGATCAGAGGGTGATTTTCCACACAATTCGACATAGGAGAGCTGTGTGACACAGCACGCTGTTCCTGTTAAACATTGGTAAAACCCACTTCTGAGTAGCTTTAAAGGCCTTATCTGTTTGGTAAAATCAATATGATTTTCAGTGTGTGTATGAGCAGTTTCACTGGAAGGCTTTTGCAGTTTTATTTACTGCTGACCAAAGTCGGGCGTTTCCTGTTGCGTTTTGACCTTTGCTGCTAAGCTAATTGGCAGCCGGGTCCCACAGAGGTCCATCAAACTGTCTCTGATTTGCGCCTCACACCCGTCAAACAAAGGCCTCATCCTTTGCTCTTCCTGTTCCTCCAGGTTCTCCGTACTACGACAACGTCCGGCCGCTCTGCTACAGCGACTCGGACGCGGTGCTGCTGTGCTTCGACATCAGCCGGCCGGACACGGTGGACGGGGCGCTGAAGAAGGTGTGGCCCGCCGCCGCCGGCTCCGGCTGCTGTCCTCTCTCCTAAAAAGCTCTGTCGGCTGACGCCTCCGCCTTCCTGTCTTTGCAGTGGAAAGCGGAGATTCAGGACTTCTGCCCCAGCACTCGGATCCTCCTCATCGGCTGTAAGACGGATCTCCGCACGGATGTGTGCACGCGCATGGAGCTGTCCAATCAGAAGCAGGCTCCCATCTCCCATGAACAGGTTTGTCTTTAAACCACTGCGTCTTATCTTCTCCCAAATGAGCCCCTCTCACAGGTGCCTGTGCTCTCCAGGGCTCGTCCTTGGCCAAGCAGCTGGGGGCCGAGGCCTACCTGGAGTGCTCGGCCTTCACCTCGGAGAAGAGCATCCACAGCGTCTTTCGCACAGCCGCCCTGGCCTGCATGAACAAACTCCAGCCGGCCGGTAAACCCACCCCCGTCCGCCGCCTCTCCAAAAGACTGCTGCACCTGCCCAGCAAGACGGAGCTGCTCTCCTCCACCTTCAGCAAGGAAAAGTCCAAAAGCTGCTCCATCATGTGAATACAGCCGAAACTTTGGGCGGGGGTCGGGGTTTAAGCAAAAAAAAAAGAAAAAAGGAAGAAAAAGGACAATTGAACTCTACTGTAGCTGTTCCGGCCGGGGGGGAGGGAAACACAGCTGTGATGTGGACCTTTGTCTCCTTTGCAGCCTCCTCCCTAAAACTCCAGTCAACATATCCCTAAAAGCTTTTTTTTTTTTCTGTTCAGCCCAGCTTAAAGAAATGATTGGAGTAGAATTTAATGACCCAGTGCAAGCAGAGCATAACATGCACTTTAAGTCGCAGACCCGCGTAAAAAATAGCTGTGAATCGGCCCGAATAAGGTCAGCACCTTCTTTTTCTCTCCCTTTGGAGAAGGTAGTTGTAAACACTTCATTTGGCTGCATTAAAGTGATGAAACCCATTTGAAGTTCTGATAGCAGTGCCCTTTCCCATCCATCTCTCCGTCTGAAATGTCTGCTAAAGGTCACGGCTGGGGCCGTGTGACGAGATGAAACGTAAAATCTGACAGTGACGGGAAGTGGTGTCTACAGGAACGCGGCTCGGGGGGAATTTAAAAGACCGGCCCTTGAAGAAATTATTCCCCTGCCGACCCCTCTCAGTATTTCATTTGGAAATGAAAGCTGACAATAGATAGGGGGGGGAGGGAAAGTGGAGGGAAGGGAAGGGTTTGGCAAGCAGCGTTAATTTGCAAAGGTGGTGGGAGGACAAATGGAGAGCCCATCTGAAGGAGCGCAGTGTGACTCAGCACTCACATGAGCCACAGAGTCGACGAGGGTGGACACGCTCTGGTAAAGATTCTGAGCACGCCTTTGTCTGGACTCCTAAGCAGAATCTCTCTTTCTTGGTTTGGAGTTGATTAAATAGCCGTGTCTTTTCTTTTTCTTTTTTTTTTAAACACAGGAAGAACTCAATGCATTTATTTTAATGCACCAAAAAGAGTTATTAACAACTTCTCCTTCAGGATTCTCGTCATCAATATTTGAGGGGAGCGGGGGCCGTTTGGGGGTGTAAACAGCAGCTCCCTATGCTTCACACGCTGGGGCTGCATACTTATGAAATACTGCTGTCCAATCCATAAAGCTGGACTCTTTCATTCTCTGTGCTCTTGTCAGAACTTGGCGCCTGGTTTACCCATTAAGTCCTTAAGCCAAAGTGACAGAATCAAAGAGAGTATTTGAGTTTTACCACTGCCTTTGGATTTTTTTATATGTTTTTTTTTAGCTCCAAACCTAGACCGGAGTCCCTTCCTTTGAGCTGGAAACAGCGATAATGTGCCCCAGCTGAATTGAATCCCTCATAATCAGGCTACCTGATGTGTTTACGTTCCTTTAATTACCGTGGGAAATCTGACGCCCGCTGCTGGATGTTTCTCCTCGTGGCCGTGGCCGCCGTTTTTGTAGCTGTTGATGCTCGCCGGAGTGGTCGGGCACTGGCGGCTGTTGGCAGCTGGGCTAATGGAAGACTCGGTGATTTGTAGGTCTGCGCCGCGGAGCCCGGCGATATGCAGAGGAGTGGAATATAACGCGTTGCCTAGCAACTGGGGGAGCAGAGCCCGCTCCCGTCTCTCTGGCGGAGGGAAGGATGGCTCCGGGAGACGAAGCCTCACCTATTTGTTTGGTGTGTTTTTTTTGTAGCATCACACACTCGCCACGGCGAATGCTAAGGGCGAAAATGCGAGATTTTGTTTTGTAAATATCTTTATTAAAATTGTTCATTAATCCCCCTCCAAAGTAACGTCCTGGAATCGGCCTGATGAGGCTCCAAGTGTTGACTGGATTCTATGCTTTTGTCATATTCTCAAAATTCATGCAAAAAAACAAAAAAAGAAAACGAATACTTTCTTTAAATAAAATACGCTTGAGGTTCATTAACGAGCGAGTGCTTATTTCTGTGCTTCAACCTGTCAAAGTTTAACATTCAATTGATGTATTTATGGAGTCAGATAGGGTCTGTGTTCAGTGTTCAAATAGAGAGTTACATTTTACACAATTTCCGAGTGTATTTGTTCCCACTCTGAATTCGTGTTATATTAACTCTTTCCACAGTGTACTATGTATTCCAGCTGTTGTTGTAATAACTCTGAAAGAGTTTATGTACTTTCCCACTGTATACTTAACACTGTGGAATTTACTATGATGTTGCTTCCATAAATAATTAGGGTCTCATTATAAGGCCATATATAACTACTTCTAAAAACCATCCCAAAATCTCGTTCAGAGGATGACAGCTGGTAAGAAAGGAAACCTCCTGGAGGCATTAAAGACGTGGTTATTGATAATTAATTACACAGAACTATGTTAAGGTACCACCTTTATGTTTTACTTTATAGTTTCCAGGTAAAAAATATTTTTCAAAAATCAGTTTGACACCCACTGCATTACTTTTTCAAAACTACGCCACACATGACTTCTCACACAGAGGTTTGTGAATTGTATCAAAGTAGAAAAAAAGATTATTTGGGTAATTGTATCCCATTCAAGGTTCCTGAGAGGATAGGAGCAACTGCCTGGCAGCACACTGTCCATCTGGCCTTGTCGATGAATGATAAAATGACATTAGTTCACTGGTCCGGGGCACAGTAGTCCTCTTCACAGTCTCCACAAAAAATAACATGATATGATAATGTAAAGTTGCACAAGCTATCAAATGTGGTAAAAAAAAAAAACAGCTGAACAATGTGTGTGGTAATGTGTGACCTAGATATACACGACAGTAGTAAGACGAGTCAGGTTGTTATGCCATTGAAGCATAAACTCAGCCTTAAGGAATCTTCCCCAGAACACACACAACTGTATCTTGTGCCAACTTTTATGGACTGGGAATGACCCAGGGGGTTACAAAATATCATCTTTAGCCATTTATTTATTCCTATTTGGGTTGCGGGGCCCCAGCTGTGACTGGATGAGCCTGGGTATACCCTGGACATGTCCCCCCCTCCATCAGAGGGTCACACAGAAGTGTGTGAGACAGACGCCCACAAACGCTGACTCCTTTGGTCATTTTACAGTCACCGATTAACGTGCTGACCAATATGAGAGGAAGCCCCCCACCCGGATTTGAACCCAGAACCTTCTTGAGGTGAGAGATCAGTGCTCACCAGAACACCACCCTGCAGCCCCATTTTCTTTCAAATGATAAAAATTCTGTATCATTTTGAAAGAGCATAGATATACATATATATATGTTCTAAAAAATTGACAGGCTGAATTCACAAGCTTTTCCCACATATATTATAAGTATTGTTCATCAGAGGCTGGTTGGATAGTCTATAAGAAGCCTTAAGGCAACATCCTGAATATTTGCACCCAAACATACAGCGAATGCTGCATGTTTAAAGGAAATGTCAGCGCATGTATTCAATGTTTTGTGTGGTATTGTTGTAAAAGTGTAAACGTTTCAAATGTACATTTCTGATGTTTAAAATAGTAGTTTTATTCTAGATCAATTTAAATCATCCTCATATTGCTATGCATGACAGGTGATTTAAAATTTGCTGTGTTTTGTGAAATTGATTTCAAATTATTCACCATTTCATCACAACAAATAAGTTAAAAAAACTTCATAGTCTACACTTAGAACAAAACCAATGTCAGCAAACTCTCCTAGCAAGCAATTTTTCAGACCTGCCAGTTGCATGGAAAAATGGATTCGTTGATTTCTTCATATGAGTATTAGTGCAAATTCTAATATATCATTAATGAGTGAGTCTATATACAGCTATGCTTAATGCTATACCAAAAGTGTAAAACCCGACATTACGCATTTATGTAATTTCACAAAGACTGACACGGTTATGAGACACATCCATGTTTTCCCTGCTCCTTCTACCCGCCTACTTCCTGACCATTATGATACCTGAATTATGGCGGCTGTTATCAGTTTCCTCCTGAGGATGCCGCATGGATGAAGTAGCTGAATGTTTGCCATTCCTGGGCTATCACACAGGACACAGCTTATCCCCCATCTTTACACAACAGCAGAAAAGCCCGTTGATGTAATATTTCTGCAGCAGAAAGCTTAGATAAATATGATCTTGGCTGCCTCAACACTGTATTTCCATTCCTTGAAATGGAATGCTGGTATCATCCTTTTGATAAGCTGGGCTGCAAGGCTGGCTGTCTTTGACATTTCCCCCTCATATCTTTCTTAGAATTGCTCTATTTCTGTCTGGAACACACTCATAAAAAAGCGGGACGATACACATTGCATGTCTCCGCAGATCAGATAACCCACTGACAATGGCATATGGAGCCCGCCATCCATAGCCGGGAGCTTCGAGGCATGATTATGCAGTTAGGAACGATAGTGGACGAGGAACAAAAAAATGTGATTGCCCCCTTTTTTTAGATCAACTTTCATAGCCATTTCGGCTAGTTTAGCTGCTTTGTTCACCATTCAGCTTAGCTAATCCAAACTTCCATAAGCATAGTTTGTCTTTTTATTTAATGAATTTGCTTATCTCACTCTCAGAAAGAGCAGAAAAATCTAATTTCCAAAATGTCACATTTTTTTTTACATCTTCAGCACACACCTACAACTGTGGCTTTCTGGTTAAATTCAGAAAATAAAAAAAGCAATCCTTTTTTCTTTCCTGTATTTGGCGGACCATAAGCCTGAGACAGTTAAAGGGTTGGTCCACCCAGTCCAGTGTGGACCGTCGTGTGGAGGCTTCACTCTTCACACACGGCTTTCTCGTCTCCACCACCGGAATGCCAGGACGCCTTTGAAGAATATTTTGCAGATCTTTTTTGTGACATTATCCTGGCTTAAATACTCTTTAATTATAAGAAGATGGGTGTTTAAGGCTAAAGTTAATTAACGTGGGATTACAGAAACTTTATTTTGTCTTTAAAAAGTTGCATTACTGAAAACCAGTCCACTAGATTTAAACAGTGGATTAATGATTTTCTTTTGTCTAGTTAACACGAGTGGTTAGGTTTAGAAGCTTTATTCTTGTTAGGATGGATCTAAGAGTCTCCTAAAATTCCACCTCTCACAGAGCTGTGGTGATAAAGTCAGACTTCGATGAGGTGGGAGAGAAGCTGGCCTTTTTTGTTTCAGGTGTGCTTAGATTACAAACGTCTTTATTTTTTCTGTAAAAAATTCTTATATGATTTATTGGCTAAATTGACTTCCAATCTCTAAAAGTTTGTGACAATCAATAGAGACTGAAAGACGAGTCTGTCCAGCCCGACAGAGACACACATGATAGGTACTAATGAACGTCAGTCAAAGCTGATCCACTTTTGGGTCTTCCTGTCAGGACGGCTAAGAGCCTGCAGCACAGACGTGGACCTGCAGAAGACCAGGGTCAGGAACCAGAGGGACGTTTGAGGGAAAATGCAGAATAACACACACACACACACACACATACACACACAGGAGGCTCATGCATTCCAACAATCAAGATCTCACACTGGAGCAGCAGAGGTTATTGCTGCGTGGTTACAGACTGACATGGGGGTAACATTTCCTCGTACAGTTGCTCCAACTGTGTCATAATTCATGTCTCTGGGTGCAAAATGCTACAGTGTGGCAGAGGCTCAGCTGGAATAGGGGGACTACTGTCCTCTGTAGGCATCTGCCTGATTCACTGTGGCAGATGTGCCCAGAATCAACTTTTTACAAACAATTTATATATATATATATATAGCCGCCTATAATTCTGAAATCATCCATGTACATGGTTTATAATGAGATCAAAATAAAATGCTCATTAGCTTAGCTCATCTAAACTTATCTTAAATTACAAACCCAATACAATTTTAGGTGGAGATGATTAAGTCACAGGTTATTTTACTGCGAAAGACAGGAATTTCCTGTATTTCAGATAGGCTTGGTGGAGATTTTATGCTTACCGGAATCTGGCTTACGCTGTT